ATTATTATTATTTTTAATAAAATGCTGAAGTGGTAGGTAGATGCAAGATAAAGGTAGAAAACATAATTTAGTGCTGTAAGAGGGCAAATGTAGATGATCAGGTGTGTGCCTATAGACTAAGTATTAATCCAAGCTAGACTAGGGCAACATAACATCCACAGATACAAAAGATTTCTCTCAAAACAGCGGGGGTGAGGTTCTAAGCCTCACCTCTGTTGATCCCCAATTTCTCACCTGATGGTCCCCCTGCAACTGTGCCTGTCTTAGGTTGTTCCTCCCTTGAGGAATCTTAGTGGGTGAGATTTTTTTGTTCTTGAAAAATAATACTATTTTTGTTTATTGCAAAAGTTATATATGATTAATGCTGAAAAAAAATTTGGAAAGAGAACACAGAAAAGCACAAATGAATAAAGGAAGTAATAATAAAGCTCAGGAATCTGATGGATAAGTCCTAGTTAGAGGTAGAGGAGGGAATGAAGACATCCGGTGAGAGAATTGTGTGAACAAAGATGCGGGAAGAGGAATACTGGGCCTGGGAGTGATGTGTGTGGTCAGAGTGTGTATGTGTGTATTTGCAAAGCAGAGAGAAAGAGGGAGACCACCTTGACCATCGCAGGGGCTTAGAAGGAAGGAAGTTTGCGGGGAGGGTAGGCCAAGCCAAGAGGTCCTGAAAGGCTAGCCGAGAAACCAGGCTGGAGGTGGCAGGAGAGAGGGTGCTGCTGGAAGCTTCTGGGCTCAGAGGCCCTGAGCCTCCCATCCTGCGGCTCCATACGAGGCCTGGCTCAGCAGGGAAGGTGGGGAGGACGTGCGGGGCCACCCCAGCCACTGCCATACACTTTGCACAGCTGGAGGCGGCCGACGTGGGTGAGATCTTCAAGATCCGGCTGGGGCACACGGGTGAGGGCTTCGGGCCCAGCTGGTTCGTGGACACGCTATGGCTGCGGCACCTGGCGGTGCGGGAGGAGGACCTCACGCCCGAGGAGCAGGCCCGGAAGAAGAAGGAGCAGGACAAGCTGCGGCAGCTGCTCAGGAAGGAGCGGCTGAAAGCCAAGCTGCAGAGGAAGAAGAAGAAGGGCAGCGACGAGGAGGAGGAGGGGGGCGAGGAGGAGGAGTCCTCGTCGGAGGGGTCCTCGTCTGAAGAGGAGGAGGAGACTGAGGAAGAGGAGGAGGAGGAGGAGGAGGAGTTCGGGCCAGGTTTGCAGGAGGTGACTGCGGAGTACAGGTTCGAAGCCCACCGCTGGCTGGCGCGCGGCAAGGGGGACGGTGAGCTCGTCGTGGAGCTGGTGCCGGCGGGCCGGCCGGGCCCTGAGCGTAAGCCTGAGCAGGGGTCAGACGGTCCCCCGTGGGGCCCGGGGGAGGGGTGGGTGCCTAGCTCTCCTCTCACTTGGAAGCCCCACAGGGAGTGCCCAGCATGTTCCCCAACAGCTCTCCCCACCCGAGTCTGAAATGCCCCGGGGACAGGCCTGTGTGGGGTTGGCACTGCCTGGCCTGGGGCTCTCAGGAGGAATCGAGGACCTTAGGAGGAGCCCCGTCTTGCCTGCTGTACCTCAGTGTGGGGGACATGACATGGGAGGGCTGCTCAGAGTGAATTTTCCCATGACTCTCAGCTTGTCAGGCTTCACGGTGAAGGGGAGCCTGGGCTAGGCAGGAGGGACAGGTTTAGCTCCAGGTTGATGTAGACGTAGACACGTCTGTAGGTCCTTCCTGCTCCCACTGTCTGACTGGATCCCAGAGGCTGAGCCTCATCTTCATCTTGAGGCCCCAGTATCCTCAATGCTATATCTTTCTGTGTCCTCAGCCAATACCTACGAGGTCCAGGTGATCACAGGGAGCGTGCCCAAGGCCGGCACCGATGCCAACGTCTACCTGACCATCTACGGTGAGGCATACGGGGACACGGGTGAGCGGCCGCTGAAGAAGTCAGACAAGTCCAACAAGTTTGAGCAGGGACAGGTAGAGCGGCGGCTCTTTGGCCCTTGGGCTGGTGGTTGGGGCTCGGATGGAGGGAGCCCTCTGGTGCTTCCTGAGGCAGCTCCCCCCAGTACAGTGTCTGCGGCTCAGTGCAGCCAGGTGTGATGGAAGTGCCTCCTCTGTAAGCACAGCGCTTTGTGGTGGGGGACTAGAGAAAGACACAGGTGGGGGTCCAGCACCACGAAGCCCACAGGAACTGACCAGAGACAGTATAGGAAGCAGATGCTCAGGAGATGGCTGGGTGGAGCAGGGTTCAAGCAGGAAGTGCTGACATGGGCTGCTCTGGAGGAAGCTTGGTGGGAAGGAGAGACGTCAGCTGGGCCTTGGTGGGTGAGTGTGGTGATGTCTGAGGATGACAATGAGAGGTATTCTCCAGCCATGAGACCACACAGCAAATCTGTGGGGGTGGAAACGTGGAAGGCCGGTGGGTGGACATGAGTCCTCCCTCTGCACTGCAGTTAATGCTTAGCCATAGTGAGCACAGTCTCTGGGAAGCTTGATGAGACCAATTTAAGGGGCAGGGAGTATGAGAGCCTTGAAAGACAGGCTGAAAAACTGAGCTGCATCCCCAGGCAGCAGGAGTCACAGGGACTTTGGAGCATTCAAGAAATGCACACCCCCTCCTTCCTGCCTCTAGGTACAGTGGGAAAGTGAAAACTACCACTGTTGTCTTTGTCCTTCGATGTTTTGCAATATCCTCTGGCTGGAAGACTCCACGGCATCTCCCCTTTCCCATTCCTGCCCGCATCCCAAAGCCAGGTTCCTTCATTGACACAGAGAAGAAAAGAAATAACCCAAACCCATCAAAATACTGCTGGCTCCATCGACTGATTTATTTCAGAGGCCCCTGCTTTTTCTTTCAATACTCCCTTCCCACGATTTGAGGATCAGGGTTTACTTTTGTATTTCAGTACTTACCTTTAAAACTTATAGCTGCTATGATCCTGGTTGGAAGAGAACTGCTTTGGAGGACATAACTGGTATAATTGACAACATTTGAATATGGACTGTATGTTAGATAATAATATTGTGCGGATGTTAAGTTTCAGGAATTTGGTGATTGTGATTATATGAGGATGTGTTTGCTCTTAGGATAAATCTATGTAGGGGTGAAGAATGTAGGGGTGAAGGATCATGGTATCTTCCATTTACTTTCAAATGATTCAGAAAAAAATAGAGAAAGAAGGAGAGAAGGAAAGCAAATGTTGCAAAATCCAACATTTTGGGTGTACAAAATTTCATCATAAATTTTCTGTAGATTTGAAGTTTTTTTTTTAATATAAAGAGTTTAAAAAGTTACAGCCAGGAAGATCGCATTCACTTATCGGGTCCTGGTGTCATCTGCTTCCTCCTGTGCACATACATACACTCGTGTCATGCATTGTGTTCTCTGCCTAAATGATGAGCAAATCCAGGTTTTCTGTTCCTGTAAATCACTTCAGATTTGCACTTCAGCTCACAAGTGCTTAATCAAATTTTGTGATTGAAGGAGTTTACACCCACATGTGCACGCATGGTCCACACTCTCAGTGCACACCGAGCAACAGGCCCTAACACATGTCCCACAGCACAAATGCAGGTGTCCAGCCAACCTGTCTTCTCCTCGCCCCTCTCATGAGCACTTTGGGCGCGCTCCTACTCCTCCCTCCACCTTTGGGGTCTGGAAGACTCCACGGCATCTCCCCTTTCCCATTCCTGCCCGCATCCCAAAGCCAGGTTCCTTCATTGACACAGAGAAGAAAAGAAATAACCCAAACCCATCAAAATACTGCTGGCTCCATCGACTGATTTATTTCAGAGGCCCCTGCTTTTTCTTTCAATACTCCCTTCCCACGATTTGAGGATCAGGGTTTACTTTTGTATTTCAGTACTTACCTTTAAAACTTATAGCTGCTATGATCCTGGTTGGAAGAGAACTGCTTTGGAGGACATAACTGGTATAATTGACAACATTTGAATATGGACTGTATGTTAGATAATAATATTGTGCGGATGTTAAGTTTCAGGAATTTGGTGATTGTGATTATATGAGGATGTGTTTGCTCTTAGGATAAATCTATGTAGGGGTGAAGAATGTAGGGGTGAAGGATCATGGTATCTTCCATTTACTTTCAAATGATTCAGAAAAAAATAGAGAAAGAAGGAGAGAAGGAAAGCAAATGTTGCAAAATCCAACATTTTGGGTGTACAAAATTTCATCATAAATTTTCTGTAGATTTGAAGTTTTTTTTTTAATATAAAGAGTTTAAAAAGTTACAGCCAGGAAGATCGCATTCACTTATCGGGTCCTGGTGTCATCTGCTTCCTCCTGTGCACATACATACACTCGTGTCATGCATTGTGTTCTCTGCCTAAATGATGAGCAAATCCAGGTTTTCTGTTCCTGTAAATCACTTCAGATTTGCACTTCAGCTCACAAGTGCTTAATCAAATTTTGTGATTGAAGGAGTTTACACCCACATGTGCACGCATGGTCCACACTCTCAGTGCACACCGAGCAACAGGCCCTAACACATGTCCCACAGCACAAATGCAGGTGTCCAGCCAACCTGTCTTCTCCTCGCCCCTCTCATGAGCACTTTGGGCGCGCTCCTACTCCTCCCTCCACCTTTGGGGGCAGGTTAGAAAACAAGAGTGCAGACCAAACCCCGGATGTCTGGCTTCACTTCCACGCCCCCTTCCCCTTCATGGCGTGGGTCTTACAGCCAGACTCAGGCTGCCCCAGGTCCTGGGAGGGTGAAGGTGGTGGTGAGGTGAGGAGGGATGTCACCCTGCTGAGTGCTACCTGGCCCTACCCAGACAGACACCTTCACCATCTACGCCATTGACCTGGGGGCCCTGATGAAGATTCGGATTCGCCACGACAACTCAGGCAACAGGCCAGGCTGGTTCCTGGACAGAATAGACATCACTGATTTGAACAACGACATCACGTGAGTGGGACTGGAGGGGAGGGAGTGAAGGCCATGCATGCAACTAAGACAGTCCCAGACGCAGAGCTGCAGGGGGTGCTGTGGTGTCTGGGGTGAGGGTGGGGAGGCTGTGACATGGGTTTGGCCTGGCAGCTGGCTGGGTGGGCACTGCTTCCCTCCCTCTCCTCTCACTGGGCAGGCCCTTGGCACGCTTGCCTTGTCAGATGACAGTCTGGTAGAACACCCAGTCTAGGTCCATCAAGTGAGAAGGTCAGGTTTTCGGTCCCTGACAGGCCTTCATTGGCCCAAACTCTACGTCCAGACTTAGTCACCCATATGTCTTTCCATGTATAAAGCAATTTCTAGTACATTGTTTTAACATTCTAAACCATGGTAAATGAATTTTTCTATAAAGGCCACATAATAAATATTTCAGGCTTTGGGGGCCATTTGGTCTCTGCCTTTGCAACAGGAAAGCAGCCATCCATGATATTAAATGAATGGATATGGTTATGTTTCAATAAAATTTTATTTGTGGACACTGACACTTAAATTTCATGTAATTTTCATGTCACAAAATATTATTGTTCTTCAAATTTTTTCCCCAACCATTTAAAGATGTAAAACCCATGCTTAACTGTGGGATGTACATAAACAGATGGTAGGCCAGATTTGCCCACAGGCCATAATTTGCTGGCCCCTGCTGGAGACTCACAGCTACCACCACAAGCTCGGATGGGGAAGGGGTACTGCCCTCCGGTGAGCGAAGAACCACATCCAGGGGAGGTGGAGCCGCAGCCCCAGAGCCAGTCTGTGTCAGAGCCGGGGCCAGAGCGCCTGTGGAATGACGGATCTGGTGTGTTTCCACCATCCACCATCACGCCACATTGCCTCTTGCACAAAAGGGGCCAAAAGGCAAAAGACTTGAAAGAAGGCCCCAGATGTGGTGGGGAGGGGTGGAAGGAGGCAGAGAAGAAAGCGGGCAAGATCCTGAGGGGGTTTGGAGCTGCCCAGGGTCTTTCAGTGCCTGGAATATAGTAGACACCCCAGTACCCAGAGACCTGCGTGGGCTGGGTTTATTCCTGTGCACGAAGGGGAAGGGGTCAGTAGGCCCAATCCTCTGCTAAACCTTCTATGGGTGCTTTTAGCGGCGGGTTTAGAGGCAAAACCACCAGCTTTCGGGCCAGCCCTCCTCTGGTCTCTGGACCCAGGAGCACTGCTGTGGGCATGCTGCAGCTGTGGGCAAGCGGAGGGGCATGAACATCGCAGCGGAGGTATCTTGGGGACAGCAGAGCCGCCACTCTTAAGCCAGCCTTAGACGCCTTGCGCGCATGCGCTCCTCACAGGTGTGGGGGTGCTCGTGCCTTCCCTGTCTGGCTGGCTGGCTTTTTTCCTCTCTGGCAGGTTAGTTTCCCCGGCTCTTCCTTTGTGAGTCTCTCTTCTGTCCTTATTCTGCTCCAGCTTCCCACACACTCATTGTCTCTGCCCCGACACCTCTCCTTTCTTTATTTCTGTCTCTCTCCCTTAATTGGGCATAATTTAGAACTAAAGCCTATTATTCATAAATTATTTGACTGAATAAAAACTTAATTTTCCCACTCATACATGTAGAGGCTGAGAAGTAGAACAATATACATTTTTCACTTAAACACTAATTCAATTGCAATCTAGTTAAGCTCCTCCCACCATTTAAATCCACATCCGTCGATAGGAATTGCCCCACCTGCACCCCATCTGAGCCCAGGGGCTGCAGTAGCCTTATCTGGTTCTGCAACTGCCATGTTGACAGTGGGAGACAATAGGGCCGTAGGCAGGTGTGCGGCTCAGAGATGAAGCCCTCACCTACCTGCTCCCACCTCTCCAGGCTTTGACCACTCCCTTAGCGCATCGTAGGCATCTGGGCAGGGCTAGGTAAGGGGCACAGACGGGGTGGGATGGCCCCACCTCAGAGATGGGCTGCATTCGAGCGTTCTGGGCTTCAGTGCCTGAGGAAAACTGTCCAGCGCACAGCCTGCAGAGATCCTGACACCGAAGGGCAGGGAACTGCAAGCATCAGCAACATCATCATCGTCATCATAAAATAATAAACCAGCAGCAGCTCCAGCAGATTTCACTGAGAACCAGGCAGTTTTACAAGCACTTTAAAACGTTTAACTCCTGTAATCCTCACAGAGACCTATGAAAAAGGCAGCATTATCCTCATTTTACAGAATAGTAAACTAAAACAGAGTGGGGTTGCCAGTTAAAATACAAAATAGCCAATTAAATTTGAGTTTCAAATGAGCAACAATGTTTTAGTGTATGGCCTAAATATTGGATAGGATATACTTACACTGAAACATTTATTCATTGCTTATCTAAAATTCAAATTTAACTGACAGTCCTGTGATCTTATTGGTTAACTCTGGCAAGAAGAGGTAAAGAAACTTGTTCAAGGTCACATAACGATAGGTGGCAGAGTCGGGATTCAAACCCAGTCTGGCCTCAGAGGCGAGTCCTTAATTACCCCACTCTGCTGCCTATCTCACCCCTCGTCCTGCCTTCCCTTCTGTCCAGGCACCTCATTGCACTGGGCTCAGCCTCTGCCCTGAGGAGCTTGGACCTCCCTTCCCTATATGGTGCCAGCTGTTGCTGCATCAGCTCCTTAGCCACACTCTTTGTACCTTCTAAAAGCATAACTGAGTCATTCTATTAAAATCCACTAATTCAGCCCTTAGGTGTTGAACACCTGCTATGTACAATGCTCTCTGCTAAAGGAGCACTGACTGACAGGTTAATTCCAAAAAAGGTTGGGACAGTCCCCAGAAGCTCCTGTTCTTCAAGAACCTCCACTATGACCCCAACTGAGGGTTTGATATGCTTCAGACAGTGTTTCACAGCCAGTTTCAGTGGGTGTCTGGAAACCATATCTGCACATGTGCTGTCCCTTCCAGGCAAGTGACTCTAATGGAGTGAGTCTCAGGCTAGGTAGGGTGGGAAGGCAAGGCCTTGGGGTGCAAATAGGGGAGCATTCAGGCCCCATGAGGGCCTCATTTTGCAACCCTTGCTTTAAATTTTTTCCCCAACCATTTAAAGATGTAAAACCCATGCTTAACTGTGGGATGTACATAAACAGATGGTAGGCCAGATTTGCCCACAGGCCATAATTTGCTGGCCCCTGCTGGAGACTCACAGCTACCACCACAAGCTCGGATGGGGAAGGGGTACTGCCCTCCGGTGAGCGAAGAACCACATCCAGGGGAGGTGGAGCCGCAGCCCCAGAGCCAGTCTGTGTCAGAGCCGGGGCCAGAGCGCCTGTGGAATGACGGATCTGGTGTGTTTCCACCATCCACCATCACGCCACATTGCCTCTTGCACAAAAGGGGCCAAAAGGCAAAAGACTTGAAAGAAGGCCCCAGATGTGGTGGGGAGGGGTGGAAGGAGGCAGAGAAGAAAGCGGGCAAGATCCTGAGGGGGTTTGGAGCTGCCCAGGGTCTTTCAGTGCCTGGAATATAGTAGACACCCCAGTACCCAGAGACCTGCGTGGGCTGGGTTTATTCCTGTGCACGAAGGGGAAGGGGTCAGTAGGCCCAATCCTCTGCTAAACCTTCTATGGGTGCTTTTAGCGGCGGGTTTAGAGGCAAAACCACCAGCTTTCGGGCCAGCCCTCCTCTGGTCTCTGGACCCAGGAGCACTGCTGTGGGCATGCTGCAGCTGTGGGCAAGCGGAGGGGCATGAACATCGCAGCGGAGGTATCTTGGGGACAGCAGAGCCGCCACTCTTAAGCCAGCCTTAGACGCCTTGCGCGCATGCGCTCCTCACAGGTGTGGGGGTGCTCGTGCCTTCCCTGTCTGGCTGGCTGGCTTTTTTCCTCTCTGGCAGGTTAGTTTCCCCGGCTCTTCCTTTGTGAGTCTCTCTTCTGTCCTTATTCTGCTCCAGCTTCCCACACACTCATTGTCTCTGCCCCGACACCTCTCCTTTCTTTATTTCTGTCTCTCTCCCTTAATTGGGCATAATTTAGAACTAAAGCCTATTATTCATAAATTATTTGACTGAATAAAAACTTAATTTTCCCACTCATACATGTAGAGGCTGAGAAGTAGAACAATATACATTTTTCACTTAAACACTAATTCAATTGCAATCTAGTTAAGCTCCTCCCACCATTTAAATCCACATCCGTCGATAGGAATTGCCCCACCTGCACCCCATCTGAGCCCAGGGGCTGCAGTAGCCTTATCTGGTTCTGCAACTGCCATGTTGACAGTGGGAGACAATAGGGCCGTAGGCAGGTGTGCGGCTCAGAGATGAAGCCCTCACCTACCTGCTCCCACCTCTCCAGGCTTTGACCACTCCCTTAGCGCATCGTAGGCATCTGGGCAGGGCTAGGTAAGGGGCACAGACGGGGTGGGATGGCCCCACCTCAGAGATGGGCTGCATTCGAGCGTTCTGGGCTTCAGTGCCTGAGGAAAACTGTCCAGCGCACAGCCTGCAGAGATCCTGACACCGAAGGGCAGGGAACTGCAAGCATCAGCAACATCATCATCGTCATCATAAAATAATAAACCAGCAGCAGCTCCAGCAGATTTCACTGAGAACCAGGCAGTTTTACAAGCACTTTAAAACGTTTAACTCCTGTAATCCTCACAGAGACCTATGAAAAAGGCAGCATTATCCTCATTTTACAGAATAGTAAACTAAAACAGAGTGGGGTTGCCAGTTAAAATACAAAATAGCCAATTAAATTTGAGTTTCAAATGAGCAACAATGTTTTAGTGTATGGCCTAAATATTGGATAGGATATACTTACACTGAAACATTTATTCATTGCTTATCTAAAATTCAAATTTAACTGACAGTCCTGTGATCTTATTGGTTAACTCTGGCAAGAAGAGGTAAAGAAACTTGTTCAAGGTCACATAACGATAGGTGGCAGAGTCGGGATTCAAACCCAGTCTGGCCTCAGAGGCGAGTCCTTAATTACCCCACTCTGCTGCCTATCTCACCCCTCGTCCTGCCTTCCCTTCTGTCCAGGCACCTCATTGCACTGGGCTCAGCCTCTGCCCTGAGGAGCTTGGACCTCCCTTCCCTATATGGTGCCAGCTGTTGCTGCATCAGCTCCTTAGCCACACTCTTTGTACCTTCTAAAAGCATAACTGAGTCATTCTATTAAAATCCACTAATTCAGCCCTTAGGTGTTGAACACCTGCTATGTACAATGCTCTCTGCTAAAGGAGCACTGACTGACAGGTTAATTCCAAAAAAGGTTGGGACAGTCCCCAGAAGCTCCTGTTCTTCAAGAACCTCCACTATGACCCCAACTGAGGGTTTGATATGCTTCAGACAGTGTTTCACAGCCAGTTTCAGTGGGTGTCTGGAAACCATATCTGCACATGTGCTGTCCCTTCCAGGCAAGTGACTCTAATGGAGTGAGTCTCAGGCTAGGTAGGGTGGGAAGGCAAGGCCTTGGGGTGCAAATAGGGGAGCATTCAGGCCCCATGAGGGCCTCATTTTGCAACCCTTGCTTGCCCCTTCATGAGACCTTCCAAAGAGATATTCCTGACCCTTCCTCATTCCCCACCCCCACAGGTACTACTTCCCATGCCAACGCTGGCTGGCGATGGAAGAGGATGATGGCCAGCTGTCCAGGGAGCTGTTGCCAGTGGACGAGTCCTGTGTGCTGCCACCAAGCGAGGACGAGGAGGGTGGGGGAGGGGGTGGCAACAACCCCCTCGACAACCTGGCCCTGGAGCAGAAAGGTTTCCTAAACTATAGCCGATTTCTTCCCTCCAGCTCCCTCTCCTCTGCCTGTCTGCCATCGTAGGTCCATCTTCTCTTCCCCTGGGGCTCTGAGCACTTCCTCCTTGGGCACTGTATCTATCTGCTCTTTCATTCCTCCATGGCAAGGATGGGGAGGTGAGGGGGCCATATTCCCCCACATGCCTAGCATAAGGTTAGGTATAAAGTACAAGGCTTAGCATATGGGGTTATTATCAGGAATAGAATAGAATAGAGTATTGCAGCTGGCTCTGACTACTCTTGTGTCCTCCCTTCCAGGCACATTAGGGGCTCTCAATATGTTTTTGTCAAGGGAAAGAATGAATTTCAGGAGTCCTATGATGCTTGTGCTCCCTTCCTTGAAACTTGCCTCCCTGAAACAATTCCAGCCTTGGGAGAGTCAGACCAGGGCTCCTGCTAATGAGCCTCTGATCCTCACAGTCATTCCAAGCCTTCCCTAAGCATCTGCAGCTCCACTGACTGGGAGCTTTCCATGTGAGCTGGAGGTGGGGGAGACCGCATCTCTGCCTTCTGGAAGTTTCCAGACTAAAGGCAGCTGCAGGACAACACATGCTGCAAGTAAAGCGATTCATACAAATGGTCAACATGAACACAGAAACACATTCAGTACATTTTCTCCCTCCTCCTTTCATGGGAGGAGCAATGTGCCACTCACTCCTCCACACTCCTCTCCCGGCAGATAAGTCTACCACATTCTCCGTGACTGTAAAGACCGGGGACAAGAAGAATGCGGGCACTGATGCCAATGTCTTCATCACACTCTTTGGCACGAAAGATGATACTGGTAAGAAAGCAATGCAAGGTCGAGGTTCACCCACATTCCTCCCCAGGGAGACTAGGAGATTCAACAGAACTTTCCAAGGAATCCTGGTCATGCCTCTCTCTCTTTTCAAAAAGCAATTTTAAGAATTCCCTTTATTTTGTTTAATTTTATTGTGGGAAGAACATTTAACATGTGATCTATACTCTTAACAAAATTTAAATGTACAATACATTGTTGTTGACTGTAGGTGTATATTATACAATAGATCTGTAGAACTTATTAATTTTACTAAACTGAAACTTGAAGCCTATTGATTAATAACTCCCTATTTTCTTCTCTCCCCAGTTCCTGGTACCCACCTTTTCAGTCTTTGGTTTTATAAATTTGACTGTTTTGGATACCTCATATAAGTGCAATCATGCTATATTTGTCTTTCTATGTCTAGAGTATTTCACTTGCTGTAATGTCCTCAAGGACCATCCATGTTGTTGCATACTGAGAATTTTTTTAAAGGCGGAAATCGTGTTTTCCTTATCTATTCATCTGTCAATGGACATATAATGTTTTTCACCTCTTAGCTATTGAAAAGTACTGCAAAGAAGTTGGAAATACTAATACCTTCACAAGATCCTGATTTCAATTCTTATGGGTACATATCCAGAAGTAGGATTGCTGGATTACATGGTAGTTGAATTTTTAATTTTTGGGAACTTTCATACTGCTTTCCACAGCAGTCGCACCATTTTGCATCCCTACCAACTATGTGCAAGGGTACCAATTTCTCCACATCCTCACCAACACTTACTTGTCTTTTGTTTTTTTGACAGTAGCCTTCCTGACAGATGTGAGGTGTTTATCATTGTGGTTTTGATTTGCATTTCCCTGATGATTAATGAATATGAGCCTTTTTTCTTATTCTGTTGGCCTTTTGTATGTCTTTGGAGAAAAGTCATTAGTTAAGTCCTTGGCCCATTTTTAAATTGAGTTATGAGGTTTTTTAGTTATTGAGTTGAAGCAGTTCCTTATATATTTTGGTGATTACCCCTTATCTGATAGTTTGCAAGTATTTTCTCCCATTCTGTAGGTTACCTTCTCATTCTGTTGATTGTTTCCTTTGCTGTATGGGAAGTTCTTGTTGCCTATGCTTTTGGTGTCATATCCATGAAATCATTGCCAAGACCAGTATCACAAAGCTCTTCCCCCACATTTTCTTCTAGAAGTATTAAGTTTCAAGTCTTGCATTTAAGTCTGTAATCCATTTTGAGTTGATTTTTGTGTATGGTGTAAGATAGGGGTCCAAATTAATTCTTTTACATGTAGATGTCCAGTTTTCCTAGGATCATTTATTGAAGAGGCTATCCTTCCTCTATTGTGTATTCTTTCATGCCTATGGCTCTTGACAGATTGCATGTAACGAGCCCCATCTGAGCAAAACAGTTCCTTTTTTTTGTAAAAGTCCTATGTGAGGTGACATGACTACCTGGGTTGTGAACATTGGTTCCTTTAAAAACTCTTGTATCTTACTAGTCAGTGATACTCCAGGGGACAGAGAGCCCCTTGTGCTCTCTCCTGTCCTCACTGCTGTCTCTACCACTGTGGACGTGTTTGGAAGCCATGAGTCATCTGCCCTTCAGCATCCTCTCCCCAGGTAATGGCACCTGATCTTATGATCAGTCTTTTTCCAAGTCTCTCTGTAAGTTTTTATCATTTCCTATGCCCTTCTTGGAGGTGTCACTCTGTTTGCCTTTCAAAACCATAACAAAGGGGCTCCCAGGCCAAACAGTGAGTGGTCTCTTCTCTGTGTCTTCTGCCAGCTTTCTCCTTCTGTTCTAATGGCAGAGGTAGCCCTAACTCTATCTCTACCTCAGTAACAACCTGGGAAATGATGGCTCTTCCCAACTATCAATGAGATTCAGCCAGCGGGTTCCTTGGTTCTCTAATGAGATGGTCAAGAGCTCTTGGAATCATTCTGGAGCTTGTGCCAGTATACTCAGAGGATGTGGCATATAGCACTGGGGTCAGCCATCCATCCACTTGAGCCACCTGTCCAGCCATTCTGTCTGAGTTCATAGAGGAACCAGTCCCTCCAGTAGTCATCATGTACTTGCTCAAAACTCTGCCATTCCAGAGCTCTGTGCCAAGCATTGTTGAAGAATGAAGGGACCTAATCCCTGACTCTGAGGTGTTCAAAATCTAATACAATGGTGTAGTGGTGGAGCAATGACTCAAGCTTGACTGATTGGTTTGAATTTCTGCTCTATCACTTATTAGCTTGTCCTTAGGCAAGTTGCTTAACCTCTCTGTGCCTTAGTTTCTCCCTTTGTAAAATAGAGATTAAACTAATATCTGTGTAATACATTTGTGGGTTTAATGAAATTCAGCATGTAAAATGTTTGAGACAAAGTGACATAATAAACATTAATTATTATTATTTAACAGATTAGGTAATGCAGATAACATAATGAGTGAATTAGATCATAACTTATAAATATATGTCATTGCAATGGTTACTGAACCATGGCCAATGGAATTGAGGGGCCCTAACACTTGTTTTATTTGCCAAGGGAATTCTACTCATAAGGCGCATTCTTAAGCACTCAACAGACATCATCTTAGCAAATACTCACAGTTGCATGAAGAAGGCACCAAGACCACCTCTTTTGACGTTTGAGGAAACCAAGTCTCAGAATTAAGTTATTTGCCCAAGGCCACCCAGATAGCAAGTGGTAAAGCCAGGCATTGAACCGAAGTCTCTCTGACTCATGCACTTAAACCACTTGGTGATGAGTCAATGACTATCAGAAGACTTCCTACATGAGGTGGGTCTAGAGCTGAGACTTACAGGCACAAGTGGACCTGAAGGCACTGCAGTGCACACTGAGGCAAAGGCAGTGACTCTGAGACTACCTTAAATTCATACTAACACCACAGCCTGGGTGTCTCAGGTGATGGTGCGTGAGGTGGCCGGTGGAGGGGGGCACTGAAGTGTTCCTCCTTCTGTCATCCAGAAAGGAGTTCCCAGAGAATCCCCACCTGCAGCATCCATGCAGGAGAGCCCCTGATTCCCAGGGGATGCAGGGAGGGTGGCCTTGTCACTGGCTCCCTCCCCATATGGAGAAACATGAAAGGTATGAAAGTAGAACAGAGAATAGACATTGACTCCTAATTTGGCTCCACCAAGTTCTCCTGAATAATCTTGGATAAAACACCTAATTTCTTGGCATGTCTTCTTTTCTTTAGAAACAAACTGGAAATAAAAACACATACCTCAAAGGGATATTGTGAAGCTCCATGAAAGGACACACACCAAAAAAAAAAAAAATTGCCTAATGTGCAAAGATACCCAGTAGGTAGTAAATGCACAATCTGAATTTGACAGAAATTCAGAAAGGTGATCAGACTAGGTTTGACAGTCTCTGGTCCAGCCAGTCATGTTGGGGTCATTTGGTCGGCAGGAATGACCCTCCTGAAATCCTCCAAGACCAACAGCGACAAGTTTGAAAGAGACAGCATTGAAATCTTCACGGTGGAGACTCTGGACTTGGGAGATCTGTGGAAAGTCAGGATTGGCCACGACAACACAGGTCTGGCTTCCCTCCCCTCTGTTTCCTGCTAAGAATGTAAGGACCACAGACAGGTAGGTCCGCGTGGGTGTCTGGGAAAGAATCTGGCGGAACCTGGATGTCATCTGCCTTCCATGGTGACACAGCTTCCTCACTCCCTTCAGCCCAGTGGGGCCCTGGCCACATGCAGAGTCCTGGTCTGACTGGTCTGGGGTGGGCCTGCACACATGTGGTTTTTAAAGCTTTCCCCAAACCCCTGCTCTCCGTAATTTGGATGCGCAGCTAGGCTGGAGAATTCCTAATCTAGCTCAGAGGCTCTCAGACTTTCCTGTGCCCTGGGACCACCCTGGGGGCTTGGTAAAGCACAGCTCTCTGGACCCCACCCACACAGTCTTTAGTAGGTCTGGGGTGATACTGAGGCTGCTGGTCTGGGGACCCCATTTTGAGAACCACTGATGTAACCAGACTTTCCCAGAGCCCACTGACTCTACAACCAAAGGCTGTGCCCGAGTTTGTTCTCTCAGTAAGGAAGGCCTCATTTTCTGGTCTTCAAACCACGTTTCCTAAGCCTAAAGAAGGGTGCCCTCCTCCTAGCCTCTGGGCCTGAGTGACAAGGTTCTCTGCCTGGCTTCCATTTCCTCCTTTAAACCTGAGCATTCCTTTTCCCAGGGAGGACTATCAATCCTTCACTGATTTCCCTTCCCTTCATGCATCACAAACTAAGGCCCGGGCCCTCGGGTGTCAGCCCTGTTGCTGGGTGAAATTATGAAGTCCTTGTTAACACAGCCTCTCTCTGGCATCCCTGAGCTCTCTGGAGTGCCTTCCATCCTTGACAGCGTCCCGACCTCCCTCCCTACAGACTCTGCCTCCTGTCATCTCTTCCCCTTTGCTCTTGCTAATTTCACTGACAGCAGCCTGGATGTGATCCAGCTTCAGCTGGGCATACGTTTTAAGAGGCATCACTTTAGCAGTGCTGTAGCTAAAGGAATGACCCTTTTATGGTGGAGCTACAGGCAGCTGTCAGGTAGGGAAGGATGTTTGGAGTCCCAGAAGCTACCCACAGGAAACCGTCTGTGTGGAGGTCCTGATGGGCTCTGTGCCTCCTTCCTTCCAGGCAAGGCTCCAGGCTGGTTTGTAGACTGGGTAGAGGTGGACGCCCCATCTCTCGGAAAATGCATGACGTTCCCCTGTGGCCGCTGGCTGGCCAAGAATGAAGATGATGGGGCCATCGTCAGGGACCTCTTCCACGCGGAGCTTCAGACGAGGCTGTATACACCATGTAGGAACAATGCACAGCAAGGCTGACCCTCGTCCCAAACTCCATGGGGGGCCACCCATGAGGGGGGTGGGACAGAAATGTGCTGTGTCAGGGTTGGGAGGCACCTGAGGCTTCCACCTATGTTCTGGGGTCACTGTAGTTGAAAGGGGTGTCTTAGGACAGCTGGTGGAGGAAAGGAAAGGCTGAAAGGGGACAGCCCACCAATTCATGCCATCCAGAGCAGCTCCTCAGCTTTAAAAAGTCCATTTTTGTTGAACATTCTTGATAAATGTATTTTTAAGAATTCCATAAAATTTTCCCACTGAAAATTTCAGTTAAACAAACTGAAAACCACAGATCTAGTTAAGCCCCCTCATTTAAAGGGGAGGAAACTAGGCCCAGAGAAATACAGCCATTTGCCTGAGGACATGCCAGAGGCAGAACTGGAAGCCACGAAGCAAATCTGAGCCCAGGCCTAGAGCGCTGAGGGCCAGAGGAGGACTGTTCCTGCCCCGATGTTTCTGGGGCTCCTCCCACCACTGTCTAGCCTCAGGGAAGCTCGAGCCAATTGCCAGCTTCTTGGCCCAAGACCTCCAGGGCCTCGGGGCATGGAGGAACCAAGAGGACTCGACTCAGAGGAAGGCACTTGCCTTCTTGCCTGAGCGCCTGGCAGGTTTGGGACCATGCATCCCCATAACCATTGGTCAGGGCCTGTTCAGGCCATTGTAGCACCTGCTCAGGCAGGGGTACCCATACAGAATTTGATCTTACCCACTCTTGTTTTCTGTCCCCACATCCTCTCTGACTTTACATTCTGTCCACTGCCTTCAGTTGTGCCTTATGAGATCACCCTGTACACCAGCGACGTCTTTGCCGCCGGGACAGATGCCAACATCTTCATCGTCATCTATGGCTGTGATGCCGTGTGCACTCGGCAGAAGTACCTGTGCACCAACAAGAGGGAGCAGAAGCTGTTCTTTGAGAGGAAGTCCGCCTCCCGCTTCATTGTGGAGGTGCGTGGGCTCAGCAGACTGCCCGGGGAGCCAGGAGGCGGGTGAAGAGGGCTGGAAGAGGGCGAGGAGGAGCAGCCTTGTGTCCAGAGGCAGACACGCATCTTTCCTCTTGATGGGCGGCTGTTACTGAGGAAGATGGGGAGTTCATCCAGCCTCTCTGGGCCTCAGTACTTCCCGTAACCAGGAGGACAGTGAACCTCACCCTGCCCCGTTGGGCCTGGTGTCAGGTAAAGGCAATTATGAGTGCATAGGGCTTGGAGAAGCTAGAAGCACAATTCCAATCCACTGGGGCTGTGCCCAGTGCCAGCAACAGCAGGTCCACGAGGGGAGCCTGGCTTCCAGACTTGCTCATCACGTGATTGCCTCTCCCACTCACCTGCCAAGTTATGGCCAAACAACTGGCAACAGAAGAACATCCCGTACGCTCCTTGGCTCCCTGTCAGCCCTGGTCTGAGGGTTGGCTTATTGGATGTTTACTATGGATGCAGGTCAGAGTGCCCTGGTGTTCTGTGCACCTCAGTTTGGCACTTCCCTGGTGCCCCACCCCTGTGTGCTAGGCCAGTGGGGGATCGGAGGTGGGGAGACAAGAGAAGGCGAGGAGCCTGGTCTGCTACAAGGAGCCTGGTCTGCTACAAGGAGCGTGCGTGCGGTCCATCTGGGACTCCAGACCTACACACACAGCTAATGGGAGTCTGGTGATCATCAGCGTAACTGATCCTGTGGGGACGAAGGCCCTGTCATAGGGCTTTATCTTATTTATATTAATCATTTATACCTTATTTATATTAAAACTCACCCCTCACAACAATGATCTGCTGTCATTATCCCTATTTAAAGACAGGGAAAGTAAGGTACAGAGAGTTGAGTAGCTCACGTAAATTCACACAGCTTGGATAGAGTGGCAGCAGGATGGAAACCCAGGGAGACTGGCCCAGCGCATGTGCTCTTAGGCCCTGGAGTAGACTAGCCCGTAGAGGTGAGAGCAAATGGTGGGCCTGACCGAGCACGTCAGAGGTGTTCAGGGATGGGAGAAGGCTCCCTGGAAGTGGTGGCCTTGAGCCGGACCTAAAACTGGGCATAAGCAAGGACAAAGAGGGGAGGCATTCCTAGCAAGGGGGACATGGTGGCCAAGGGCTAGAGATAGAAATAAACACAGCATGTGGTTTGAGGTTTGACCAAAGGGGACAGGAGGAGAGTGATGAGACTTGGGTGGAGGACCTGGTGAAGCAGGGCTTAAAGGGAACAATGCTGAGGGCAAAGAGCTGGGAGTCTTGGGCCTGGACTCTCCAGGAAGTGGAGGTCTTTGGAGATGTGCCCCTCATTTTCAGGTGGGAAACAAAGTGCAACTCCCTCCTCCCCTGGGAGCAGTCAGCACATGTGGGAAGGTTGCTGCCTTGATGAAGTCTTTTAACCAGGAAAATTCAAGGGCGATTCATTTATCCACAGAAAGCAACATCTCATCCATGAAGATGTGGCGGTGCGTGAGTCAGCCGAGCCTGATGCCGGCAGTGCTAGGGGCTGTGATTACACCTCAGCATGACTTCCGCAGAATTTTATCAATGAGGTCCTTACCAATAGGCAGCTATAGCCTGCCCGTAATTTGTTGCTATTTCTTTTCTTTTCTCTTTTCAATTTTATCTGGGTGCTGGGGGAGTATGAGAGCTTGGAAACAAATGAAAAAGCTTTGTGGCCCTGTCTGTCCATTCCTCTTTTCTGACTGATCCAGGTAGGAGGGAAGGTGCTGGATTGTTAGCGCATAACCCTGGGCTCTGGTTCTCGCTGTGGCTCAGCCATGAATTCATGAGCAAGCCACTCCCTCTCTCTGTGGCCTATCCTAAGACACAGAGTGGCTGGGAAAAATAGTAATACTAACTAATATTTATCAAGCACTTCCCTGTGCCAGCCCTGTTCTAAGCACTTGATGTATATCAGTTCATTTATTCCTCATCACCATTCCAGGAGCTGGTGGCATGATTATTCCATCTTACAGCTGAAATGGCACAGGAGGTTAAGAAACTCTCGCCTCATGGTGTCATAATTAATGTACCGCAGAGCTGGGATTTGGACTCAAACCGTTCAGCTCCAGAGCTTTCATTGCTTAACTCTTCCTTGGGAGAATGCCAGGGTCCCTTCCAATTCTGATGTCATCTGAGTTCATCACTGAGGCCCGCCCATGGCCAGTGGTCCACTGATGACCTCCTTGCTCTCTGGGGGGTCACGGCTGAGAGGCCACCCTGACACAGTGCATGCAGCCAAATGGCTGGGTGATTAAAGTTGTAAAAGTGCCATCAAAGCCAAGGTTGTACACACCAGAGATGGGACAGGGAAGGAGGAAAAGTGGCCGCCAGACAGAGGGAGAGGCAGTGAACCTGACTCCCTGGTCATACCGGGCGAGTCCATGTCCTTAAGTGGAGATTCTGTGAGCTGGGGATTTCACCCACAGCTTCCTTGTTTCTCCGGCTGTGAAAGAGTAAGGCCTCATTAAAAATGTCTGCAGCACCAGCTTCAGCCTGAAATCACTGATCTTTGCTTCATGATTCAGGAAGCCCCTCGGGGCCCTCAGGGGCCATGGCTTCTCTGATGGCCATGGGCAAGCCGGCCCACAGGGAGTCAGGTGCTGCAGGGGCCTCGTTCATTCTCACAGTTTCCGGCACGTGGCTCACGTTGGTCACTTGGAGGGAGAGAATAGTTGACAAAGAGAACCATGACGGGGAGCTTAGCCCTAGAAGATACCTCAATGAGTTACCCTGCCCACACCCCTGCCTCCAGCTTTGGAAGTCATTATTCTCCCCCATTTTATGTATGGGGAAGTTGAGACCGGGGTGGTCGCGTGCCTTGCCTGAGATCATGCAGCTGGTGGCAGAGCCAGGGCCACACAGGGCAGGATGAAGTTGGGGGCGGGAGTCGGGCGTGAGGCTTCCCCAGGTGTGCTGACAGGCCTGCCTGTGTCGGCCAGCATGGTTGGGTGTGTGGGGAGGAAGAAACCACCTGCTGGAAGCTGCTCCACTTCATTCAGTCACTTCCGTCCATGGTTATAGAGGCTTTGCCTGTGATGAATGACTCAGTCAATCATTCAGATGCCATTTCCTCATCAAGAGCTCTCATCCACCCCCGAGCTGACTATGCTGTTTCTGAGCACCTGATGGTGCAGGCCAGGCAGCCAGCCCTGCGGAGGGGCTGCAGAAAACTCAGGTCGGCCTGCCCCTGCTTACTCCCAACTGTCCGGTCAAGCCCGGGCATGAATTCCGGGGACCAACCATGAGCCAGGCATGGGTATTACCGTCCTTGCCTGCCCTCTTCCCCTTTGCCCCAACCTCCTCTTCTACTTCTTGCCCTGTTGTTGCCCAGGGGCTCGTAGGGATGAGACAGGATGTGGGTGCATATGTACAGCACCATTTCAGCAGAGAACATGGCACATGGAAACGGGAAGAGGCCCAAGAAGCTAGAGGCCCTGGAACGGGCCTGGTGGGTTAACAGAGGGCAGCCTGGCAGAGAGGCCAGGGGTCAGACACCAGCTGTGTGGATGGCCTTGCCTTGTGTCTGGCCACTTTGCTGCTTCCTTAAAGGGCTCCAAGGGCAGGATCAGGAGATGAGTTACTCCTGACTGATCCTCCACTGCACCCATTCCCGTAGGGCCCAGACAGGAGAAAGGACAGATTATAGCTCCTGAATTTCAGGGACTCAGTATGGCAGGCACAGATCAGCTTTTCCATTCACTGGGACTTCCACACACACCATCACGGTTAGGGTTCAATACTGCGTGTAAGAGACTTGGCTGACTTAATCACACCCATTTTGCAGATGAGGAAACAGGCCTTCTTTTATCCTTTCAGCCAATACTTATTGAGCACCACAGTCACAGGCCCTTTCTGGGCTTTGAGGATAGGGTGGGGGAGCAAAACCAGGTGTGGTGCCTGCCCTTTGACTTTCAGTGGTGCTAGAGAGGGTATTACACCAATAAATGCAAACTTGCAGCTGTATTCTGGGGGTGGGGGGTGCTGTAGGATGCTATAAGAGCTTATCAGGAAGAGATTGTACTTTCTCAAGGTGATCAAGGGGAGTTCCCTGAGGAAGTGATCCTTGAACTGAGACCTGAATGGTGAGGTTGGGCACACACTGGTTTAGGTAAAGAAGAGGAAAGAGGAGGGGCTGGAGAGCATGTGCAAAGGCCCTGTGGCAAGACAATGTCAAGTTTGAGGGACTAGAGTTTGAGGGAGTGGCTGGAGGTAGAAGGGGCTCTTAGGGGCCAAGGAGAAGGTCAGGCTGGTAAAGCGGGGCATGGGCAGAATCAGAACTCATCTTCAGGTACCCAAGTCAGCTTCCAAGCAGGGAATGAGCAGCTATAACAGGAGTAATAGAAGATAAAGCTGGGCTTCATCATGAAAATGGGGGACAGCCTCCCAGAGATTGACTGACCTGAGTTCTGCAGTCTAGACTGATTTTAAGTGAAGAGAGAGGAAGGGAAGCATGAAGTGGAACATGTAAAGGGCAGTGTGTGCTGGCTTGTCTGGACAGCGGGGGCATCATGGGAGCTGGTGACGCCGGGAAGTTCAAAGGGACTCAAAGCTGGATACCCTGTGGGGGACAAAATGTTGCTGAGGCTGTGCTTTCCTGGACCTTACAAGCTAACATCTGGTGTACTTTCTCCTTTCCTAAGTTAGAAGATGTGGGAGAAATCATTGAAAAAATTCGGATTGGCCATAATAATACAGGCATAAATCCTGGGTGGCACTGCTCCCACGTGGACATCCGCAGGCTCCTCCCAGATAAAGATGTGAGTTTCTGACTGATCTGTCTTATCAATGAGGTCCTTACCAATAGGCAGCTATAGCCTGCCCGTAATTTGTTGCTATTTCTTTTCTTTTCTCTTTTCAATTTTATCTGGGTGCTGGGGGAGTATGAGAGCTTGGAAACAAATGAAAAAGCTTTGTGGCCCTGTCTGTCCATTCCTCTTTTCTGACTGATCCAGGTAGGAGGGAAGGTGCTGGATTGTTACCGCATAACCCTGGGCTCTGGTTCTCGCTGTGGCTCAGCCATGAATTCATGAGCAAGCCACTCCCTCTCTCTGTGGCCTATCCTAAGACACAGAGTGGCTGGGAAAAATAGTAATACTAACTAATATTTATCAAGCACTTCCCTGTGCCAGCCCTGTTCTAAGCACTTGATGTATATCAGTTCATTTATTCCTCATCACCATTCCAGGAGCTGGTGGCATGATTATTCCATCTTACAGCTGAAATGGCACAGGAGGTTAAGAAACTCTCGCCTCATGGTGTCATAATTAATGTACCGCAGAGCTGGGATTTGGACTCAAACCGTTCAGCTCCAGAGCTTTCATTGCTTAACTCTTCCTTGGGAGAATGCCAGGGTCCCTTCCAATTCTGATGTCATCTGAGTTCATCACTGAGGCCCGCCCATGGCCAGTGGTCTACTGATGACCTCCTTGCTCTCTGGGGGGTCACGGCTGAGAGGCCACCCTGACACAGTGCATGCAGCCAAATGGCTGGGTGATTAAAGTTGTAAAAGTGCCATCAAAGCCAAGGTTGTACACACCAGAGATGGGACAGGGAAGGAGGAAAAGTGGCCGCCAGACAGAGGGAGAGGCAGTGAACCTGACTCCCTGGTCATACCGGGCGAGTCCATGTCCTTAAGTGGAGATTCTGTGAGCTGGGGATTTCACCCACAGCTTCCTTGTTTCTCCGGCTGTGAAAGAGTAAGGCCTCATTAAAAATGTCTGCAGCACCAGCTTCAGCCTGAAATCACTGATCTTTGCTTCATGATTCAGGAAGCCCCTCGGGGCCCTCAGGGGCCATGGCTTCTCTGATGGCCATGGGCAAGCCGGCCCACAGGGAGTCAGGTGCTGCAGGGGCCTCGTTCATTCTCACAGTTTCCGGCACGTGGCTCACGTTGGTCACTTGGAGGGAGAGAATAGTTGACAAAGAGAACCATGACGGGGAGCTTAGCCCTAGAAGATACCTCAATGAGTTACCCTGCCCACACCCCTGCCTCCAGCTTTGGAAGTCATTATTCTCCCCCATTTTATGTATGGGGAAGTTGAGACCGGGGTGGTCGCGTGCCTTGCCTGAGATCATGCAGCTGGTGGCAGAGCCAGGGCCACACAGGGCAGGATGAAGTTGGGGGCGGGAGTCGGGCGTGAGGCTTCCCCAGGTGTGCTGACAGGCCTGCCTGTGTCGGCCAGCATGGTTGGGTGTGTGGGGAGGAAGAAACCACCTGCTGGAAGCTGCTCCACTTCATTCAGTCACTTCCGTCCATGGTTATAGAGGCTTTGCCTGTGATGAATGACTCAGTCAATCATTCAGATGCCATTTCCTCATCAAGAGCTCTCATCCACCCCCGAGCTGACTATGCTGTTTCTGAGCACCTGATGGTGCAGGCCAGGCAGCCAGCCCTGCGGAGGGGCTGCAGAAAACTCAGGTCGGCCTGCCCCTGCTTACTCCCAACTGTCCGGTCAAGCCCGGGCATGAATTCCGGGGACCAACCATGAGCCAGGCATGGGTATTACCGTCCTTGCCTGCCCTCTTCCCCTTTGCCCCAACCTCCTCTTCTACTTCTTGCCCTGTTGTTGCCCAGGGGCTCCTAGGGATGAGACAGGATGTGGGTGCATATGTACAGCACCATTTCAGCAGAGAACATGGCACATGGAAACGGGAAGAGGCCCAAGAAGCTAGAGGCCCTGGAACGGGCCTGGTGGGTTAACAGAGGGCAGCCTGGCAGAGAGGCCAGGGGTCAGACACCAGCTGTGTGGATGGCCTTGCCTTGTGTCTGGCCACTTTGCTGCTTCCTTAAAGGGCTCCAAGGGCAGGATCAGGAGATGAGTTACTCCTGACTGATCCTCCACTGCACCCATTCCCGTAGGGCCCAGACAGGAGAAAGGACAGATTATAGCTCCTGAATTTCAGGGACTCAGTATGGCAGACACAGATCAGCTTTTCCATTCACTGGGACTTCCACACACACCATCACGGTTAGGGTTCAATACTGCGTGTAAGAGACTTGGCTGACTTAATCACACCCATTTTGCAGATGAGGAAACAGGCCTTCTTTTATCCTTTCAGCCAATACTTATTGAGCACCACAGTCACAGGCCCTTTCTGGGCTTTGAGGATAGGGTGGGGGAGCAAAACCAGGTGTGGTGCCTGCCCTTTGACTTTCAGTGGTGCTAGAGAGGGTATTACACCAATAAATGCAAACTTGCAGCTGTATTCTGGGGGTGGGGGGTGCTGTAGGATGCTATAAGAGCTTATCAGGAAGAGATTGTACTTTCTCAAGGTGATCAAGGGGAGTTCCCTGAGGAAGTGATCCTTGAACTGAGACCTGAATGGTGAGGTTGGGCACACACTGGTTTAGGTAAAGAAGAGGAAAGAGGAGGGGCTGGAGAGCATGTGCAAAGGCCCTGTGGCAAGACAATGTCAAGTTTGAGGGACTAGAGTTTGAGGGAGTGGCTGGAGGTAGAAGGGGCTCTTAGGGGCCAAGGAGAAGGTCAGGCTGGTAAAGCGGGGCATGGGCAGAATCAGAACTCATCTTCAGGTACCCAAGTCAGCTTCCAAGCAGGGAATGAGCAGCTATAACAGGAGTAATAGAAGATAAAGCTGGGCTTCATCATGAAAATGGGGGACAGCCTCCCAGAGATTGACTGACCTGAGTTCTGCAGTCTAGACTGATTTTAAGTGAAGAGAGAGGAAGGGAAGCATGAAGTGGAACATGTAAAGGGCAGTGTGTGCTGGCTTGTCTGGACAGCGGGGGCATCATGGGAGCTGGTGACGCCGGGAAGTTCAAAGGGACTCAAAGCTGGATACCCTGTGGGGGACAAAATGTTGCTGAGGCTGTGCTTTCCTGGACCTTACAAGCTAACATCTGGTGTACCTTCTCCTTTCCTAAGTTAGAAGATGTGGGAGAAATCATTGAAAAAATTCGGATTGGCCATAATAATACAGGCATAAATCCTGGGTGGCACTGCTCCCACGTGGACATCCGCAGGCTCCTCCCAGATAAAGATGTGAGTTTCTGACTGATCTGTCCTGTTTCTTTTGCCCCTTTCCAGAAAAGATTCAAAGCAGATTCCTTATAAGAACCTGAAGCCTTATTAAGTTGAGATAAAATCTTCCTAGGAAAATTCACCCCGTTCACTCAGAGTGCAGAAACTATCTCAGGTCCAAGGCAGAATGTTTTAGAACCTGGTTTCAGGGTCACAGAGGAGGGTCTGGGCACATGTCTCTGCTCCCCGCCCCTAAGGCCATACTACCATGCAGGACCACACATGCCCTTCCTGCCTCCCAAGGTCAACGCCCAGGGAGAAATCCACCGGAACAACTTGGAAAACATTCCTGAAATCACAGAATCTGAACCCTAGGAGGCAGCTCTTGGTCATAGCTATAGATATGGGTGACTTGGGAGCAATTTTAAAATACAGAGCCCTTCCCTTTACTGGCTGAATCTGAGTCTATGGGATGGGCTTCAGCTATCTATTTTTAAGTGACCCTGGGAACCTTGGCCTTCAAGAGCCAATCCCTGATGCAGCTGTGGAAGTCTTCAAGTACTGGATCTGCTGGAATTGGGGCAGGGCCAGGGGGCTCCCTGCAGCTTTCACATTGTCTCTGGGGCTCTACAACCCTGTCCTTGATCCCCGTTATTGTTGACATGCTGATGAACCACTGAGGCTGACAGTTTCCACATGAAGGGTTCACCTTTCCTTTGCCTCCTCCCTCCAGGGCACAGAGACCTTGACGTTCCCTTGTGACCGGTGGCTTGCCACCTCAGAGGATGACAAGAAGACCCTTCGAGAGCTGGTCCCTTATGACATCTTTACTGAGAAATACATGAAAGATGGGTCCTTAAGGCAAGTCTACAAGGAAGTGGAGGAGCCTCTGGACAGTAAGTGCATGGGCCCTCGTCTCCATCAGCAGCAGCCTCCCTGTTAGGGCACCTTCCCATGCCAGGCGGAGCCTTTGCTCCCAGGAAGCAGCTTCTGTTGTCTCTGTTCTGTAGAGAGGGCAGCTGAGGCTTGCCAAGGTTATGTAAGTGGCCAGAGTCCACACAGCTAACATGGCAGGGTTCTTTTCAGATGCTAAGCTGTCTCCACGGTCATGCTCCAGCCTTCTCCTGGTTGGACCATGGGATGATCTACCCAGATATGTGTCCTCCTCTGCCTGGACCATCCTGGTCCTTGTTCTTGCCCTTCTCATTGTTTATTTGGCTACTAATCTGCAAGTCTTGGTTGTCTCTGCCCTTACAGGGTCCAGCGGTCTCAACTGGGCATGAATCAATAAGCATCCAGGATTCATGTGTGGCCTGAGCTGTATGTGGGGTTTGGGTGTAACTCCAGGGTGTCCAAGGTCATGGGCTGCTTCCCATGTGTGCCAGTGACCTTGGCCCATTCCTCACTGATGTGGTTTTCTCTGCAGGATTTGCATCAGCCTGACCACGTGGGTCTTGCACTTCTTCCTTTACTTGTGAACCCATTTTCTGAGTCTCTTCTTACCTCTCTGACTAGCCCGCTGATCGCTATTTTCATCTCTCGCCAGGTGACTGCCCAGGCTCAGTCCTCAGCTTCCTCTTTCGTTCTGCACTATGTGTGCACACCCATCTCCCTGGGCCATGGGACAGGGTCACACCTTTATAATGGCCAGCGATGCCAGTGTCCATGTCATTCCTGTGTTATTCACCAGCTAGTCAGCTCTGAATAAGCTTCAACTATGTCAAAAAATCCAATTCACTTGTAAAAACCAGCTTTCTACCATGATGATATGCAAAAGAATACCGAGGGCATCTGTAGGATCAGAGATGCTTAGAGAGCTTGGAAGTCCAGCTTATATTGATGCATTGCCTAAAGTAAAATCTGTGAGGGAAATGGAGTCAAATCCAAGATTCCAAGCCCCACATGGAACCCGAGGGATGTAAAATAGCTATCGTTTCCTCTAATCTGAGTTGCCATTTGCTTAGAGACAAAAACAAGTGTTGCTCCAGTAATGTGCCTTGTCCTGCTCACATCCCTTTCTCTGAATCTTCTTTGCTATTAAATAGGGAGGATAATTCCCTTTTCCACTTAGATCCCAGAGGGCACCCTGGAAAGCTGTCCCAGCGGCACACTTGCCCTGTTCTGTATTTATCACATACTGTAAACCTACCCTGTGCTGGGTGGTGTTTCTAGGGAAACATCTTTCCACTGAGATCTGTATGGCCTGGGTGGGACGGGGAGGGAGGAGGATCCAGAAATAGCCTGATTTGACTGAACAAGTGCATTGCTCAGCACCCAGAAGCTGAATCAGTTTTCCTATTCCGCAAGGACTGGAGAAAGCAGTGGGAGTGGGAGCGGGTGGGCAGGAGGGCCATTTATTTACAGCCGGTGATGACACAGCACTCCACTCTGGGACCAGGGCTCCTAGAGGAGTTCCTGACCAGGTGTGGAGCAGGGCAGACTGATAACCAGGAAATGAATGGGGAGAAAAGGGAAGGGGGGATGGGGACAGTCAACAGTTGTGTCTAAACTGTGATAAGATTCCTAATGTTACCCCGTGTATTAGCTAAATAAGCTTGGGTAATGTTGACTCTTCTAAATATCAAAGAACAAGAGTTTATTTATTAATGCGATGCATGAAATGCTGACTGGATTCTGTGCTGAGCTGAGCAAGGCAGGGTGGGGCACCGTGACTCGTCCGGGTTCCTGCCCTTGGTGGGGCAGGCCTCTGACAGCAGCAGATGAGAAATGCATAAGGCTGCTCAAGAAGGAGTGTCCAGAGAGTCAGAAGAGCAGGAGAGAACAATGCCTTAGAATCCAAGGGAAAATGAGGAAAATAACGGGAACCACGGTGTAGGCCTGAGGTCCATAACCATGGGTATGAGCAACTCAAATCACCTTCCTTTTCTAAATGTCATTCAATGTGATTCTGAGCCCGCTGGCAAGGGTTGGCAAGGAAGTCCATCACAGATGCTACAGAGAGGGGAATCCCCTCTGCTAGGGTCTTAGAGAATCCAGAGGCCCACGGGAGGGGTACCCCTAGTCCAGGCTGGGTCCCACCTACTCCTGTGTCCTCCTGCCACACAGGACGCTGTTGGTGGCTGGCTCTATGCCTACGCACAGCTACCATTTCTCTGAGTGGCCATAAACATTTCTCCCTGGACTCCAGCTATGTTCAGAGACCCTCTCTTCAGCCTTGAGGCCTCCTTGCTTCACGTGCCCGATAAGCCTGCAACCATCTCCCCCTTGGGTCTCTGTGTGCAGGGCGAGGGTTCCTGCCTCCGCAGAGACTCCTAACCCTCCCCCATCCCAGGTGAGGGAAACTAACCTGCTTCCAGGGGGGCCATTTCTGTCCTTCACCTCCAAGCCACAGCTTCCACCCTTCACCTTAGTGATGATGCAGCCAAGTCCTCTCTTCCTTGGCTTGAAACTCCAGAGCCCTTAGGACAAGGTCATGTGGAGAAGAGACAAAGAACTCTTAGTCTCCTGAAAACACAAGATTTGCCTTCCCCCTCTGGGGTGGAGGCTGGGAAAGGAGATCATTTATTCTTCCTTGATGACCCCACAGCTGCAAAACAAAAGCAAGATGACACTCATGTTTATTTTCCTTAATACTGTTTAATGACTGTCACACCAGCATTTACTGAGCCCTTTCCACAGGCCATGGGAGACAAGGGAAAGGGTGGCAGCCACTGTAGCCTTGGGGAGAGGGGTTTCCCTGGAGCACTGGGGCAGATGCTGGATGGCAGTGGGTTAAAGAATAAATGAAAATAAGGAAGTGGATCCTGGGGGAAGCTATACTCTCAAAAATATTTGATTTTTTCCATAAGCTGTTTAGAAGGATCTAGTGTGAATAAGTGGTTACTCCCAAATGGGGAGGCATATTGTTAATGTCAGGGCAGGTGGGTTTAGTGGCATGGTGTGTGCCCACCTCAGGTGGTTTCCCACATCTTCCCCAGAGTGCTGCAGGCTCTGTGGTGTGTGGTGTGAGGGCTGCCAGACAAAATGGCCATCCTGTGGGTCTTAGCATCCACCTGTGTCCAGATCAGATGGGCAGACCTCCCACTCACAAGTCAACAGATTTGTAGCAGAATGTGCATAGTTGAGCGGATAAGAGGAACATGTATACTTCTCCTTGAGTTCTGGGCCAGAAGCTAAATACCTCCAGAAATCTGGTTCCCAAAAACCTAAATCAATGCCATTCTTCTCTTCACTTTGTTCATCTGTCTGTCTGTCTGTCTGTCTAACTGCCCACCTAGTTGTGCTATACTCGGTGCAGATCTTCACAGGAAACGTCCCTGGGGCAGGGACAGACGCCAAGGTCTACATCACCATCTATGGAGACCTGGGGGACACAGGCGAGCGGTACCTTGGCAAGTCAGAGAACCGCACCAACAAGTTCGAGAAAGGAGCGGTAAGAGAGGCACTCGGAGTTCATCTGCCTCCCTTACCCTGCTCGGGGCCAGATATCTGAGGCCCAGCTGTTCCTGGTCCCCAGGCTGTTGGGCACCCTCAAACACTCTTAGGAGGGAATTGGCCCTCCCCCTGCAAGGCGGCTGTTCACCCCCTGCCTGCTCATGGACCCCGGATCCTGCATCTGGGGTTGGGTAGAGGAGAGGCGGGGGACTGCGTAAGCTCAAGGCCTGTCTGAGCCCTACATCGCTGGCCCTATGGGAGGGGTGATGGCCAGAAAATCCAGTTCCCTATGGGTGGCTCATGGGTGTGGAGGTGAGCATCGCAGAGTGGCAGGGGCTGCACCAGAAGCTAAAAACTGCAGGTCTGGAGGCCTGATTTCTGCCGTTAACACCTTATACGGCTGAACTTCTCTGGCCTTGGATTCCACATCTGTAAAACGAGGAGACTGAAATGAATCAGCTGAACTGGTTGTGCAGAACTCTGGACAACGCCAGGGCCTGTGGGAGAAATGAGGGGCCCAGGGTGGGTTGAAGTGGGGGCAAACAGGTACTCCACTCCCCCCATGTGGACCCACTTTGACCCAGTCTATCTCCTGGGGTGCCAAGCAAGCCCTCTACTAAGCAAAGGGTACTATGGCTTGAAGCTCATGGCTTGAAAACCCCATGAGTGGACAGTGTCCAAGGCCCTCCAGCGCTGACCTACTGTGGTTTTACAAAGAGGAAGACATCTGTCCGGATCTCCCTTCCCACCAGCTGGGCCTCTGTCTCCTCACTGTACTCACCCCCACCCCTGCCCCAGAGGGGCCATTTCTGCCTTGCCCCTGTCTCCTGCTCCTCACCCTCTTTTCATTCTCTCCATTATCTTAAATCTGCCAGAACCCCATTGCAGCTAGCCACAGGGTGATCAGAGCAAGGTGAATGGCTCTTAACCTAATCTGTGGTCTTGCCCGTGGCCTTGCACACATGGGGACCAATCAGTGGGTGTTTACTAGGGGTCTCCTGACGTCCAATCCTCAGCCAAGCATGCCCTTAGTGTTGAAACATTTGCTGTTGTGAGGAGGCAGTTAGCTCTGGGACAAGGAAAGCAGATGTCATCTCAGTGGGTCTGCAGCTGGCTAGTGACCCTGTGAGCCAGGCCATCTGGAAGGAGCCCCAGCCTGACCACAAGGTCCCAAGGGAACTGGCCCCATTTACTTGCTCCCATTCATTTCCTCCATCAACCAGATAGGAACCACTAACCCTTAGTTTTGATTTGCTGCTTCTAAGTGGGAATAGTAATGTGATATCTACTTAGACCCCTGGACTCAAATACAGGACAAGAACTGTAAAAGCACTTTGTCTCAGGGAAAAATCATTTCACATACTCTCCAACCCCCACATGTACAAGAATTTTTTGGTCACCCCACTCATGAAGTAGCTAATAGAAGGTCTCTCCGTTTTGGAAATGTGGAATGCCAAAGAGGTCAAGTGACTTGAATTAAAACATGTGAAGTACCTAGAGCCATGCCTGGCACAAAGGTAGCTCTTTATTAGTGTTGGGTACTGCCAGGGTTTGGGCGAGCTCACCCTTTCCCTGCCTGGAGCCGATAGCAGGCAAATGCACTGTGAGACAGTAATGGGCTGCATTCGGCTGGTAGATCAACTTTTGTTTATGGCTGTATCCACAGAGCCTGGCACAGAGTGGTTACAATAAATATTTCTTGGGTGAATAAATGCATGAAAGTATAAATGAAGGTGATGCAATCCATTCTCCTCTGTGTTCACAGATTTTTTTCTCTCCTAGCAATTGTTACATTACAAGAAAAAATCTTTATCCCCATTCTGTCCCATCCCTTTCTCCTCCTTTCCTCTGGCCTTGATATCCCATCAGGGAGCTAGAGCTACTTCTGGCTTAGTCTTTGATGATTTATGTGATTTTATGTTAACTGATGAGCATCTAGAAGCTTCCACTTCTCTCTTTGGCATTCCATGTTTCCAAAGCGGAGAGACCTCCTATTAGCTACTTCACAAGTGGGTGACCAAAAAAAAACATTTGCTTCAGAATCCAGGAGTCACCCTTGCCCCCCCCAAGTCCCAGTCACTACTCCCTCCCCACCCACATCCCATCAATGCCGGGTCTTGAGGACTCTCCCTTCTAAATCTAAGAACAGCTTAGTCAGCCCCATTATCACCGGGCCCTTCCCAATCTTACCTTGCTTATTGAACCCGCTGATCTCCCTGCTCCAGGCCCCTCAACTCCAGTCTAGTCTCCGGGCTTCTTCAATTACCCTATCAAAAGATGACAGAGCAAGCCACTGCAACCTGTCAGGGGCCTCCACTCATCCCAGATCTGGCCGGAGCCCTTGGTAGGATTCACAAAGCATGGCCCCACCTGCCAGGCTGTGTGGAATGTCCTCTGTAGACGCCTGGGCCCCAGTTTCCAAAATGCCCCACGCTCTCCCCTGCCTTCCTTTCTTTCCAAGCCTTTTCTCTGCATCCATGTCCATGTGCCCATAGAAAATACATAATGCTTTTCTGTGGTTTTAATTTTTTTACATATAGCAGCCTACATGGATGCTTCTTCAGCTTGTCTTTTTGGCTTGGACATTTTTCTGTGTTAGGACATTCAAGCTGGCTCATTCTTGTAACCACCACACACATAACATTCCACTCATGACGTTGCCATGGTTGTTTAGCCATTCCCCAGGCACTGGACCTTGGTGGCTCCCAATTTTCCACTGTAAAAATTGTCCTGCAGTTAAAGTCCTTGTGCATATATAAAGGTGTTCCCCTAGGACAGATGGAAAGGGGTTGCTGTGTCACAGTGTGTGCCATTTGTGCTCTAAAGAACCCAGCTACTTGCCAGCACCCCAAGGCCTGCACAGGTCCACGCCTGCTGTCAGTCGGGCACCATTGACCTGCAGTTTCCCCAGTCCACAGACTGACTGCCTGGCTGCCCAGAACATCCAGTCCCCCATCTTCAGCTTAATGCCACCACCTGGACAGTCTCCCAGCCCTGCCTCTAGTCCATGGACAGGTGGCTGCTCCCCACCTTTGGGCTGGAATCACCCACCTCCTCCCCTCCCTGCCTGGGGCTGTGAGGCACCCAGGAGGGTCAGCAGTATCCTATTGTATTCATCTCTGGATTCCCACTGCTCAGCACATCTTCTGAAAGGAAAGTGGTGTCACTCAAGGTCACCTGTCCCTCCTCCCCTCCCTAGGCTCCTGTTGGCCACATTCAACCTGTGTTTTGACCCTGACTCACCCAAGGCCTAGAATGCCACTTCTCTCTGAGCTATCCATAAAGAATCCAGTGTCCAAAAGTGTAATGTCATTTTCCTGAAGGTACAGTCAGGGACCCAGAGGAGGCCTTATGTGCCATCCCCCACGGACCCCTCCTGAGCCAGACTCCAGGCGTCCCTGAGCTGTGCGCAGCCTTGCCTCCTCCAGAGCCTTTGCCCTCCATCTCCTCCCAGGCAGCTGGCTCCTCTGACTGCTCCCAGCTTCCCCCTGGGAATTCAAGGATGATTTCACCTCTCCCGGAGCCCTTACCCTCCAACCTCCCACCTGAACTCATGCCCATCCTCAGCACAACAATGGACGTCCAGGTACCAGGACTGACTGAGCCCTCTCACCTGTCCCACCCCACCCACACCCCTCATCAGAATCCATCTTCCCAACACCCCCAGGGCTCATGCCAAGAGAAATTAGGCAGCAAAACAGGGCCCTTGTGGAAGTGAGGCCTTGGAATACCAAACACTCTGTGTCAGGTGCACGGGCAACAAAGCGGATGGGAAGCGTCGGATGGATGGTTAGTGTGGGCGGAGGTGGGGGACGCCGCCCGACCCAGGTCCCCACGTCTGGACTCCCCAGGCTGACACCTTCATCATCGAGGCTGCTGACCTGGGTGTCATCTACAAGATCAAGCTCCGCCATGACAACACCAAGTGGTGTGCAGACTGGTACGTGGAGAAGGTGGAGGTCTGGAATGACACCAACGAGGACGAGTTCCTGTTCCTGTGCGGGCGCTGGCTGTCCCTGAAGCGGGAGGACGGGAGGCTGGAGAGGCTCTTCTATGAGAAGGTGCGTGGAAGGCAGCAGGGGAGTCTGGCTCCGCCAAGGCCTGACGGCATCCTCAGAGCTAGGGGAGGCCCCAGGGGGTGGAAGATGCCGGAGCTGTAATGGGCCCGGTGGTGCTCCCCCGACAGGAGTACACTGGGGACCGGAGCAGCAATTGCAGCAGCCCCGCCGACTTCTGGGAGATTGCCCTGAGCTCCAAGATGGATGATGTCGATATTGCCACAGTGACAGGGCCCATGGCCAGCTATGTCCAGGAGGGCCCAGGTAAGCCAGGCAGTGGGCTCTCCAGAGGAGCAGCAGGCACAGGGACATGGTCTAAAGCTGTTCGTGGACAGACACTGTGTTAGCCCCACCATCATCAGACTTAAATCTAATGCTTTAACCTACTGCCAATTTCCATCTCCACCACCACCCTGGGAAGGCAGTGATTAGCCCCCTTTACAGACGGAAAAACAAAGGCCAAGAGAAGCTAGGGCAGTGATGTCCTTAACTCACTGATCTGCCACCTGGAGGGCACCATCATAGACACTGCCCTCACCCAGTCTCAGAGTATCCATTCAGCCCGGAGGGCCTAGGACAGTTCTCATCAGACGCAGTGAGACTCCCTGGCATGTCAGTAGAGGGTCAGAGGACTCAGCCGTGCAAACATAAGGCGTGACAGGCAGTGGGGGGCAGGAGGGGCACCGAAGAAGTCCTAAACTGGTTTTGGGGGATGTGAGTTCCATTTCTGGTTTTGACAATAATACATGTGGCCTTAGACAAGTTACTCTTTTGGCTTCAGTTTTTGCTCCATGAAGCAATATTGCAATGCCCTGACAAGTTCATTTTTTCCAACCAGACTTTTGAGGTAAAGCAGTTCTATATTTGTCTGTTGACCATTTAAATGCACTGCCTGTCTGTTCAGTTCTTTTAAATATAGAGTGTGACAACCACTGTATTTCCCTCCAGGAGACCACATGGTGGGTCTGTAGGGTTGGGGGAAGAGAGATGATTGTTTTATATTCTACCTTCTTGCTATGTGAATAAATGATAGGACCCACAAAAAAGTACCTCTCCTTAATTAAGCACTATGATCAACTGGAGAAAGGCCAATGGGACTTCCCTTGTCAAGATGAAACAAGGCCCTGGGCAGGTACAGAAAACACTGCAGGTAATTCCAGGCAGGAAGGTCTAGTTTGGAAACCTGTCAAAGAGAATACAGATTGCCTAACCTGTAACTCACTACCACTAGAGCAGTGTCTCCCAAAATTATCCAGGAAAAGGATATCAGTTAGTATATCAGTTAGTAACTGCAAGAGACAGAGACCTAGAGATAGTGGCTTAAACAAATGAGGGATTTTTCTTTCCTCTCACATAAAAGTTCACAGGTAGGCAACTGGGATTGACACGGTAGCTCCAGGGAAGTCAAGGACATAGACTCCTCAATCTGATCACTCCAGCAGCCTTATAAGTGGTTCCCAACCTAAAGGTTGCCCATAGTCCTAAAATGACTGCTAGAGCTCCAGCCATCACATCCATATTCCAAGCAGTGTGAATGGAAGGGTGGGGGCAAAAGGTGACCCTCCCATTTGAGCCAGACCCTTTGAAAGAAATTTCTCCAGAAACTGCTTACATGTCATGACCACAACTAGCTGCAAGGAGAATGGAAAAATCATTTTGTTCCTTCAGTTTTTCTTTACATTTATACTCCACATACGAGTGAAATCATTTGGTACTTGTCTTTCTCCGCCTGGCTTATTTCACTGAGCATAATGTCCTCTAGCTCCATCTATGTTGTTGCAAATGGTAGGATTTGTTTCTTTCTTATGGCTGAATAATATTCCATTGTGTATATGTACCACATCTTCTTTATCCATTCATCTACTGATGGACATTTAGGTGTCAGCAGGGCTTTTTAAAGTGGCAAGGAAGCTCCCTTTGATCTTCATGTGGGAGTTACCAACTCCTTCATTCCTTAAAGAGTAGATGTTCACCATAGAACACTCACTGATTGGGAAAGCTCTGTTGTACTTTGTCTCAGGGGCAGGGAGCTGAGCTCTCTGCCTGCAGAGGCCCCGTTGCGAGGCAGGGCCCCCCATGATCCCTTGCAGTTATTCCTTACTACGTGTCAGTCACCACCGGGAAGCACAAGGATGCTGCCACTGACAGCCGCGCCTTCATCTTACTCACTGGGGAGGATGACGAGCGCAGTAACCGCATCTGGCTGGACCACCCCCGAGGGAAGAGGGGCTTCAGCTGCGGCTCCGTGGAGGAGTTCTATGTCGCAGGCTTGGATGTGGGCACCATCAAGAAAATAGAGGTGCTGGCCCCTGGGGCCCCGGGGTGGTGACCACCCCCAGGAAGGAAGGAGCCAAGCAATACACAAGTGGGAGGGGAGTGGAGGGCTGGCAGAGCAACCAACCTGGAGCCCCATCTCAGAGCAGGTAGCCAGGGAAGATCTCCTGGCCTTGGCCATCAACTACCTGGGTGACCTTGTCTGAGTAACCTGCCACCCCAGGACTCTGTTGTCCATCCATCCAATGGGAATGCCCTATGGATTGGTTCTCTATTGCTGGGTAACAAATTAACACAAACTTAGACACTTAAAACTACACAAGGGTATCATCTCACAGTTCCTGGGTCAGGAGTCCAGAGTGAGTTAGCTGGGTCTTCTTCACAAGGTCTCCCTGGGCTGGAATCAGGTTGCTGTCAGGGCTGTGGTCTCATCTGAGACTTGGAGTCCTCTTACAAGCTCACTGGCTATTGGCAGAATCCATTTCCTTGCAGATGTAGGCCTGAGGCTACCAGTTTCCAGAAGTTGCATATTCCCTGCCATGTGACCTTCTCCAAAACATGGTAGTTTGTTTCCTCAAGGCAAGCAAGAGACAGTCTCTTCTGCTTCAAGTCTCTCTAACCTCTTCCATCTCTCACATCTGGAGTCTTTTTTAAAGGACTCATCAGATTAGGTCAGGTCTACCCAGAATAATCTTTAGATTAACTCCAAGTCATCTGATGAGACACTGTAATTTTATCTTCCCAATCTCTTACTCCTCATGGGAGGGACCCGGGTTGGTGGAGGCAGAGTACATTGGAAGGAAGCACGGAGGGAGAAGGGCAGAGTGGGGAAGGGGTTTCCCTCCCAGTTGTGCCCAGATCCTCATGGCCCTGGTGTGTCTTCCCCTAGCTGGGCCATGATGGTGCCTCTCCCGAGAGCTGCTGGCTGGTGGAGGAGCTGTGTTTGGCTGTGCCCACCCAGGGCACCAAGTACATGTTGCGTTGCAACTGCTGGCTTGCCAAGGACCGAGGTGACGGCATCACCTCCCGTGTCTTCGACCTCCTGGATGCCATGGTGGTGAACATTGGGGTGAAGGTATAGCGGGGAGCTGGTATGTTCACTGCATTGAAGGGAATTGCAGGTTGAGCTGGAAGAGCAGGAGAGGGAAACGCAGGGAGGGATGCAGGAGGCTCCTTCCTGGAGCAGTGGCAGGCACTGCAGCTTGCTACCAGCCAGACTTGCTTTGCTAGGAGCCAGGAGACCCAAGTCTCTTTGAGTCTGCTGCTGTGTGGCCTTGGAAAAGTCACCTGGACTCTTTGCATCTTGGTCTTTTCATGTAGTATATGGAAATAATGCTTTCCATCCTATTCCGTGTAAGATCTTGATGAGAACTAATGAGATCATGAACAGTCCATGAAGAGTTTGCAAGCTCTACATAGACATGCAGAGTTGTTAGTTTGCAAAGGCCCCTCAACACGAGTAGGACAGTGATGGGGACAGATAGCACTTGGGATACCGTGAGCACCTGGGTCTCACAGTGCAGTGATTGCTGTCTGCACAAGACCCTCTTTAAGTAGAAAAGGCTGGAAGGCAGGAGCTCTGTGGTTCCACCTCTAACTGGCCAAATGACCTAGGACAAGAGGTATACACCCATAGGTCAGTGCCAGGCAAGAGACAGGATGTCTGGGTGCTGGGGCCCAATGACACACAGCCAGTTGGTGGCACAGGGGCCTCTGGTTCAGGTGACCCTGCAGGCTTCTTTTTCTGAAAAGCTGTAGGGTTGACAGAAGGCTCCAGCCCTCACCTCTGTTCCTGAATCCAAACCAATGTGCTACTAGAATTAGGGAAGGAGTTGTCCCACAGAGATAAGAGGAAATCACCCTGGATCTGAGTGTGCCCTGCTTAGATTGTCTATGGAAATGACGGCAGGGCCGAGCTTTAGGCTCTAAAATCCTTGACAGGCAGGAGGGAGGATGCCTGCCCCTCCCCTGCTTGACAGCCAGAGAGCAGAACTTCCTGCAGCTTAGACACCCTCCCCTCCCTTACCCAGACATCTCTACCAGTGGCCAGATGGACGGTATGGGTGGGCACACAATTCATCCAGGGACCTCTGTCCTGACCCAGTTCCCAGCATACCTGTGGGGGGCGGGGGGGTGCTGCCCACCAGCATATGCACACACCCCTCAGTACAGCTGCCTCTCCCTCTGAGCTCTTCAGTCTGTGAAAACCCAGCCCCACGCCCCTGTTGTTCACATTACAAAAGAATCCAGGTTTGTCACTTCACAAAGAACCACAGGGTACTTTGGCCAGGCCATCTCCCTGGGATGTCTGGTAGCAGACCAGAATTACAAAAGCCCTGCTTCAGTGTCTCTTTCTGGAAACACACCTATTACATAAAAAGAGATGCTTCTGTATAAAGAAAAGAAAGATAGACACAGAGAACACAAGAGTCTAGAGGGACCAGCCTTCAGGGGCCAGCCCCCATGAGGTCACCAAAGCACTCATTTTGATCATTCTGTTTTTTATGCCTGTCTGGGTAAGAGCAGAAAAGTGTCAGGCTCCTGCTTTCATTCCCAGTAGCTCCCCCACCCATCACAATGCCCTTGATAGGTGCTCAAAGAGCATTTTCCTGGTAAAGCAAGAGGCTCTTCAGTCATTTCCTTGGCATGCAGGTACTGCAGTTCTCCACTGGACCGAGCCTGCAAATACCAGTTCTAAACTTGCAGTATGTCAGTGAAGATGCTGGGTGCTGCTTGGAAAGATCCAACAGCCAGCATGCGCAACATCGGAGACGCGATCACTGTGACAAATAACTTCGGTTCTGAGTTTGAAGGCTTCTGGGTAGTGGGGACAATGCACAGGTGGTAACACAGTGTGACAGCCCCAAGGGAAGGAAGGGCCAAGTGTATTCAAAGGAGATGGTCAGCCTGGCATTTCCTCAGCCATGTGTATAAACCTCTTCTGAATCGTTGAGATCTAATTCTAGTCCTTGGGCACCTGGTGAGAGGGAACAGAGCAAGAAGCCAGAGCAGTGGGGAAAGAAGGGGAAAGATGGTCCCTCTTGCCACCTGGCTGCCTCTCAAAGGAAGAATCAAGGCAGGGGCCTCAGTGAGGTCACCCTCCTGCAAAGAGCAGACTGCTCCCTTTCCTTCCAGTGGAGACAGAGGGAATATATCCTCTTTGCAGCAAACCTCAAGCAAAAGGGCAAAAAAACCTAATCTAAAGGGCAAATCACAGAATAGGTGTTTGGCCCAATTCCCATGTGAATGGAGGCAGAGCCCCCTTACCCGGCGCCCAGCACACTCTTCAGTCACTGGCACTCAGGGTGTGTGCTGGCTGCAGCACGAAGAAGGAAGGGACACCCAGAACCCAGAACAGCGCTGCTGCTGACACCATGCCACGTGCAGGCCCAGCACTGCGCATGCAGGTGAATTATCTGTAGCTCTCACGATGCTGCAGTCATTGTCCTGATTTTACAGCAGAGGAAGGAGAAGCAGGGGAGGGTGGGGCATCTGCCCAGGTTCAACAGCTGGCAGGCAGCAGATCTAGGATTCAGATGGTGCCCTGGGTATGGCTCCAAAAGCTACTGTCCTGCCACCACGTGCTGCCAGAATGCATAGACCTAGGTGAGGATTTGATTGACAAATCGATTGATTTGATTGACAATTGTTTAACAGGCTTTCAGTCCTGTTTCTATTGCTCACATGTTCTATAGAGAACATACTGAACTTCTCTCTAGCCCCGCCCTGGGCACAGCCAAGGACACAGAGAGCCAAGGCCTGACTGGTGCTCTCTGGATATTTGCAGTTGATTGACTGGGTGGGGGGCTCTTTTCAGAAGCACAGAACTTGGAGAGCATGTGGTCTTGCCCTGGTGAAAGTGCGGCAAGTTGGTGGGGTTGGAGGGTGAGGCCAAGGCTCAGAATCCACTTCTCTCTTCTGGCAGGTACTCTACGAAATGACAGTGTGGACGGGTGACGTAGTGGGTGGTGGCACCGACTCCAACATCTTTATGACCCTCTATGGCATCAATGGTAGCACAGAGGAAGTGCAATTGGACAAAAAGAAAGCCAGGTATCCAGAGGTGACCTCTGCCCCTTGCCCCTCTGCTCATCCAGTCTCCACCCTCTAGCCCCACCCTGCCCTCAGCCAGACTGCTTCCCTCCCTTTCCCCTCATACCTGGGCCTTCCAGCCTCACACCTTCATCCCTGTGATTCCTGCCTCCTGGAATGCCCTTCATCCACTCCTTTCTGTCTCAAGACCTTTCTCTTCCAAGGACCAGCACAAATCTCCTTCCTCCAGGAAGCCTTCCTTCCTTCTCCCCCCCTCCCTCCCTTCCTCCTTTCCTTCCTTCCCTCTGTCACGCAAAAGTGTTTAATGTAAGGTCTGCAGATAAGTTGGTAGCATTTGATCATTGTGAATCTCCTGCTTTCATTCACCGCACTGTAGTAATGTAAGGTCTTCACATTAGAGGAAGCTGGGTGAAGGAACACAGGGACTCTGTTCTATTTTTGCAATGTTCCTGCAAGTCTAAAATGATTGTGCAATACAAAAAAAGAATTTTTTTAATATTAAAAAATGATTGAATACTAGTATGTGTCAGGCACTGTCTCAGACACTGGGGGGATCATAGAACCAGAAAGGGAAGAACCCCCAAACTCCCAGAGCTGAACGCCTGGGGGAACCACAGCAATAGCATGAATACCAGTGTGGGCTTCTTCTGTGCATTTTTCTAACTGAATGTAGTGACTCAGTAGTCCTCCCTGCAACCCTGTGAGGACCATTATTATCATCCCTATTTACAGGTGAGGAAACTGAAGCACAGCAAGGGGAGGTCATGCTGTTCAGGGTCCCATAGCTGTAAGCCGTGGAGTACATATGGCCCCAGTCTTAAGCTTTAGGTTCTACTGCTTCTTAAGACAGTTGTTAGTAATGACAGTCAAGGGGGCTTCATATGGTTCTTGCTGTCTGCACTTTTCATTGTATCCCCAGCTTTGTTCTGGGTTTGGGCTGGTTTTCTGTGTCCCCCAAACCATTCCCGGCCCCTGATATCTAAAGCACCAGAGAAACTCAGAGCCCAAGCCTAGGATTTCTAAAACCCACCCAGAGCCACTTGCCTCTGGACGCACGCAGCTGCCTCCCCTAGGCCAGGGGGCAGCATCCAGGGCAGAGCCCGTGAGGCCAGGGACACTGCCCACCTGTGCAGCTCAAGCCTGGGCGTCTGATGAGAAGAGTCTTTGCCCGCCTTCTCTTGGCGCTCCTGCCCTCTCATCGTGCACCCGCCCTTTCCTCCTGGAACTCTTCCCTGAACAATGACTGATGATGATACTTGTAATGGCTGCCGTTCACTGAGCACCTACCTCAATGCCAGGCAGTCAGAAACGCTCATTAAAAATATCAACTCACAGCACCCCTTGTAATACACACCTACAAATAAAGGGTCTGAGACAGAGACGTGAAGTAACTTGTCCAAGTTCACAGGGCTAGTAAGTATGGGGACTGGGATTGGAGCTCACACAGTTGGGGGAAGTCAACAAAGGCCAAATGAGAACAGGCGGAGGCTCTTTCCTTAGAACTTGCTATAGCAAGGTGTCAGCCACCATCACTGGTTTGGTAGAGTCCAAAGGCTGTCAGGAGCTTGGGAAAGCTTTCTGGTGAAGCATTATTTTTGGCATGGGGAAGCTGGTGGTGGGCTAACTACAATGGGGGCATCTTATGTGGTTTGCTTGGGGAGCATATTTGGATTTCTCTGGTTAGTCCCAAGTTGGGAGTGGGGGCAAACAGGGGACCTGGCAGTCCTTGCCCAAGTCCTGACCACCATGGGCCCACTGGTGCCGAGGCCATGTTCTGGCTCCCTGGGCTGGTGCTGTAGAGCTAGTGTTCTACTCTCATATATAGTCTTGCTATTGTCCGTTTATATTTTCACACTATTACAGTCTTTACCTCTATTCTCTGACCCTAATCTCCACCCCAACCCGAAATCCGTGGATTTTCTTGGATTAATTATCCCGCCCCTACATTCCACCTTATTTTGCAGACATACACAGACTTCATTGCTGGTGAAAGAGATAGACACCTCCTTTCTGGTAGTATCTTAATTCCAAGCATGTTGCTTGAAAGTTACATTATAAACACAACCATTTGTAAATGCTTTGAGGCACCTTGTTAAAGGGTTTTGCTTTTCTAAGTAAAGAATTATTTTGTGAGGATGGCCATCATTTCTTAATCACTCTGGTTTGCCAACTCAGGACTCTTACCCAAGGCATGTTTTGCCTCATTTCATTTGCAAGTGGGCCAATGTTTTATCTGTGTTTGGGAGTCCTTGTTATGGGTGTCAGCACCTTGACCTGGAAACTTGGGTGGTAAGGCCCACTGGGTTTCAGTTGTGTGCACAGCTTGGTGTTGAGCAAGATACTCACCCTAAGAAATGGTGTGTGACTAGAATACAGGCAGAAACATGCATGCATACACACAGAAGACATTGTGTGGGTTTGCCTGGCACAGTGTTCTTGTTGTCAAATGCTGTACTCAGAGGCCAAAATTGATAGCGATTCACTTGACTCCATTTCCCCAGTTGAAGTCCCCAACTTCTTATCTTGCCACTTTGGGAGAAATTGTTCTATAAACTAATCAACACTGAGATGCTGGTGAATTAATGTGGCATTCGAAAAAAAGGATGCCCTCAAAAGGTAATGCTTAAACTCAAGGCATGAATCTCTAACAGTGGGATTTGAAGTAACTGGTATCCAGTGAGTGTAGGCGCGATTTTTAGACAAGGTATGCGGTTTTCTTTAGAGGGAAGTACCTATAAGGAACCATTCCTAGGCCCAGTGAAGACCCTGTGAACTTGGAGATTCCTTGGAGAGGAAGCAAAGGAGATTTACAGAGTTCTGTTGAGTTTGCCCTTCAGGCTGGTCTCCTGGCTTTCACTCATGCTTGATGCAAAGATGAGTAGAGGCTGAGCCCAAGGGGATGCAAGCAGAGCGCAGAACCCAAATGAAGTTCCAGTTGCCATTTCAGGAGGCAACTAGGAGCTATTTGACCAGTGGCCATGCCAGAGGTGTGATAAGCTTGTAGGTTTTGAGTCTTTCTTCCGCAGCACTTGGATATAATGCTGCCTGGCTAGCAATAAAGCTCTGAGAATGGAATGGGCCCATCTGTGGGGACTATGGGAGCAGGGAGTTGTTGGGGAGGCTGAGTCCTTCCCTCAGTGGTGCTTGGAGGCAAGTACCAGGGGAGAGAAGAGGAAGGTAGGCTGAGGCTCAGGGACTGCCGTCTTCAAGGGCACCCAGGTCAGGTAGTTGCTGGGGGACCCCTCGGACACATCGTCTTCAGCTTAGAGGTGCCTCCCCTAGGCCAGGGGGCAGCATCCAGGGCAGAGCCCGTGAGGCCAGGGACACTGCCCACCTGTGCAGCTCAAGCCTGGGCGTCTGATGAGAAGAGTCTTTGCCCGCCTTCTCTTGGCGCTCCTGCCCTCTCATCGTGCACCCGCCCTTTCCTCCTGGAACTCTTCCCTGAACAATGACTGATGATGATACTTGTAATGGCTGCCGTTCACTGAGCACCTACCTCAATGCCAGGCAGTCAGAAACGCTCATTAAAAATATCAACTCACAGCACCCTTTGTAATACACACCTACAAATAAGGGGTCTGAGACAGAGACGTGAAGTAATTTGTCCAAGTTCACAGGGCTAGTAAGTAGGGGGACTGGGATTGGAGCTCACACAGTTGGGGGAAGTCAACAAAGGCCAAATGAGAACAGGCGGAGGCTCTTTCCTTAGAACTTGCTATAGCAAGGTGTCAGCCACCATCACTGGTTTGGTAGAGTCCAAAGGCTGTCAGGAGCTTGGGAAAGCTTTCTGGTGAAGCATTATTTTTGGCATGGGGAAGCTGGTGGTGGGCTAACTACAATGGGGGCATCTTATGTGGTTTGCTTGGGGAGCATATTTGGATTTCTCTGGTTAGTCCCAAGTTGGGAGTGGGGGCAAACAGGGGACCTGGCAGTCCTTGCCCAAGTCCTGACCACCATGGGCCCACTGGTGCCGAGGCCATGTTCTGGCTCCCTGGGCTGGTGCTGTAGAGCTAGTGGGTCAGCGTTCTACTCTCATATATAGTCTTGCTATTGTCCGTTTATATTTTCACACTATTACAGTCTTTACCTCTATTCTCTGACCCTAATCTCCACCCCAACCCGAAATCCGTGGATTTTCTTGGATTAATTATCCCGCCCCTACATTCCACCTTATTTTGCAGACATACACAGACTTCATTGCTGGTGAAAGAGATAGACACCTCCTTTCTGGTAGTATCTTAATTCCAAGCATGTTGCTTGAAAGTTACATTATAAACACAACCATTTGTAAATGCTTTGAGGCACCTTGTTAAAGGGTTTTGCTTTTCTAAGTAAAGAATTATTTTGTGAGGATGGCCATCATTTCTTAATCACTCTGGTTTGCCAACTCAGGACTCTTACCCAAGGCATGTTTTGCCTCATTTCATTTGCAAGTGGGCCAATGTTTTATCTGTGTTTGGGAGTCCTTGTTATGGGTGTCAGCACCTTGACCTGGAAACTTGGGTGGTAAGGCCCACTGGGTTTCAGTTGTGTGCACAGCTTGGTGTTGAGCAAGATACTCACCCTAAGAAATGGTGTGTGACTAGAATACAGGCAGAAACATGCATGCATACACACAGAAGACATTGTGTGGGTTTGCCTGGCACAGTGTTCTTGTTGTCAAATGCTGTACTCAGAGGCCAAAATTGATAGCGATTCACTTGACTCCATTTCCCCAGTTGAAGTCCCCAACTTCTTATCTTGCCACTTTGGGAGAAATTGTTCTATAAACTAATCAACACTGAGATGCTGGTGAATTAATGTGGCATTCGAAAGAAAGGATGCCCTCAAAAGGTAATGCTTAAACTCAAGGAATGAATCTCTAACAGTGGGATTTGAAGTAACTGGTATCCAGTGAGTGTAGGGGCGATTTTTAGACAAGGTATGTGGTTTTCTTTAGAGGGAAGTACCTGTAAGGAACCATTCCTAGGCCCAGTGAAGACCCTGTGAACTTGGAGATTCCTTGGAGAGGAAGCAAAGGAGATTTACAGAGTTCTGTTGAGTTTGCCCTTCAGGCTGGTCTCCTGGCTTTCACTCATGCTTGATGCAAAGATGAGTAGAGGCTGAGCCCAAGGGGATGCAAGCAGAGCGCAGAACCCAAATGAAGTTCCAGTTGCCATTTCAGGAGGCAACTAGGAGCTATTTGACCAGTGGCCATGCCAGAGGTGTGATAAGCTTGTAGGTTTTGAGTCTTTCTTCCGCAGCACTTAGATATAATGCTGCCTGGCTAGCAATAAAGCTCTGAGAATGGAAAGGGCCCATCTGTGGGGACTATGGGAGCAGGGAGTTGTTGGGGAGGCTGAGTCCTTCCCTCAGTGGTGCTTGGAGGCAAGTACCAGGGGAGAGAAGAGGAAGGTAGGCTGAGGCTCAGGGACTGCCGTCTTCAAGGGCACCCAGGTCAGGTAGTTGCTGGGGGACCCCTCGGACACATCGTCTTCAGCTTAGAGGCTGTTCTTTAAGAGGACAGTGGCAGATGTGAATGTGCACCAGGCCCTACCACGGCATTTGAGGATGGTGGGAATTTAGGGTCTGTTCAGATTTCTCTGACTTGGGTCTTCCCTAAAACCGCCACAAGGATGCTCTGGCAATCAGCAAGCAGGTGGATGCAGCTTCCTGATGCCTCCCTATAATTCATGGGGGCATCACCGAGGTCGGTGACCTTAATGAGCCCTAAGGAGGAGTCTGAGGAGCCAGGGTCAGAGGAGCCTGGGGCTGCAGGCTTGGCCTTTTGCCCCTCGGTCACATCTGCGCCCGTGGACACTTACCCCACCACTGGGGCATCACCCTGCTACTCACCATGACTCATAGTTCTCTCCGTGCTGTTCCAGGGCAGTCTCCCCTCCCCTGTCCTTTTGGTGGTCCCAGAATGTTCCACTCATGCCACTTGGCGGGGTGTATTAGTTTCCTGAGCTTGCAACAAAAAGTTATTGCAAACCTAGTGGCTTAAAACAGCACGAACTTATCCTCTCACATTTCCAGAAATCTAGTCAGCGCCACTGGGTAGGAATCAAGCTGTGGTCCCAGCCACACTGCCTCAGGAGGCTCTTGGGGAGACCCTGTCCCCTGGATCTCCCCGCTTCTGTGCCTGCCGGCACTCCTCGGCCAGGGGTGCATTGCTCCGCTCTTCAAGGCCAACACCTTCCCATCTCTCTCTGCTCCGTCTTCACATCACCCCATCCTTTGCATATGTGTCAAATCTCCCTCCCTCTTGTAAAGAAGCATGATTGCATCAGGGCCCACCCTGGGTGGGGTATTTCTCAGCCTACCTCAGGGGCTATGACCCACATAGCAAGGATCTGAAAACACTGCCGTGTAAGGAACAGCCAAAAGTTCCAGGGACATTCCATTTTTAACCTTTTAATTATGAAATATATATGTATTTATCTTCTTATGTGACCTATGTCAATTAGTATAATACAGTATACTCTTTGACATGACATGAGTTACTCAGAGACTATAGTTTTATTTATTTGTATCCAGTCATATATGTAACATGTGTAATATGTATAGCATATACATGGATATAAATCATAAATACTTACATAGAGCAAAAACTCATGCAGCCACCATATAGGTCAAAAAAATTAAACATTCCCAGTTCACTCTACATCCCTTCCCCTAGAAGTAACCATTATTGGACTTTTAGGGTTTTCTTGCTTTCCTTTACCATTTTATCCCCACACTGGGCATGCCTCCCTTAACAATCAGCTCCCATTTTGCCTGGATTATAGTTTATAAGTGAAATTAGGCTATGGGTATCTCTTATACCTTCCCTCTTTTCTCCACATTAAGTTTCTCAGATTTCCCTGAGCTGCTGTGATTTGCTCATTTTCCTCACTGCTTAGTATTGAGTTGATGAACACTTTGGGCCTGGAAAAGAGAGGTCTGAAAGCTTGTTGCAGGGAACTAGGGAGGGGAGGCAGTAGAGGCCCTGAGTTTGGCCAAACTGTTGACAATTAACAATTAGCTCCAGTGGACTGAGCTGGGGCCAGTGCAGGGAGGCCCAGCTCAGTGCAAAAAAAAAAAAACTTTCAAGGAGTTGACCATGGCTGTCCTAAGAGGGAAAGAGCTGCCCAGCTGTGGGGCCCCATCAGAGCATGGGCTAGATTGTGATTGGTATGGAGAACCCAGACTAGAAGGAGCTTGGTCTTGAATGAAGCTACAGCCAAGGCTCTGATCCCGGCCAGCCCTGAGAGCCGCAGCCGTGCTTCTAAGATGCACGAAGGCAAACTGCCTGAGCAGCTGCCCCAGGGAGGTGAGCTTTGGACTGTACAGCCTTCATTCCCATCTTCCAGCCAGTCCCTTCCCAGGCTTCCTACCTGCAAACCTTCCCTCGCTTCATAGCAATGACTAAAATTCTTCATTAAATCGTTGTCCTTCCAGCCTAAGGTTTTGGTCCTAGTAAACCCTCAGGATGTTCTAAACAGAAGCTAGTGAGTGAGTGAGTGCTGGGCCCTTTTCCAAGTGCAGCCTTTGATAGAAGGAAAGTAGAACAGGAAGGGAGAGAGGCGCAGCCAAAGGCTGCTCTCCCCACACCTCCTCTTCAGCTCCCAGGTGGGGCCTCCTTTGAACAGGTAGGCAGGGTAAACCTGGGCTGCTTCAGCAGCCCTGACCTCTGAGCCAGAGGTAGGGGGCCTGGGCCAGAGGCTGACTGCCTCTCCAACAGCAGCCCCTCAATGTGGGAGCCCTACGCCACATCAAGAAGTGTCTTAAGTGTGTGTGGGGGGAGCAGAGGGAAGACGTCTGGAGGGACTAAGCCCCATTGAGGAGTGTTCCCTTTGAAAGCGGGCCATTTACCCTGGGGGGACAAGTCCATCCAGGTGTAACTGGGGTCTAGCCTGTAATGAAGGGTGAGGGGCAAAGTAGCTTACTCCTCAGTCTTCTAGAAGAAACACTTTTTCTCTCTTGCTCTTTCTTTACACCTGCCCCATTTTCTGGAGATTCTTGGCTAAATTTAAAGGGTGAACATTAAAAAGAAATACAGTGAAGAATTCTGAAGTTCCTTTGAGCTACAAAATTATATACTCCCAGAAAGAATAAGAAATCAACTGAGTTGAAAGATTATTTGAGAGACTCTCCAGTACGTGATATGAGCTTAACAAGGGAATTTGTGAGCACCTCCTTCCTGATCCACATGACCAGAGGGACAGACAGGGTTTAAATTAGAGCAGAAGAGATTTAGGGCAGACTCTTGGGAGCCAGTTTTCACATCTAAAAATCATAAAATGCAACAGGAACAAGTTGTCTGAAAGGATTAGGCCTCTGTTCCACCACTGCCTTTCAGAATAGGAGTAGTAAGACCTTGGTCTGCAGCATTTGCAGTCCCAGCCCCCACTGGCTCTAGCCTCTGTTTTAAAAAATATGTCTTGTATTCAAGGAAGCCTAACAATTACCATGCAGTGTTATATCTTTAAAGCCACCTGCATTAGCCCCAGGGGCTTAGCAGCAGCAGCATCTGGAATCAGTCAACAGTCAAGCAACCAGTCAGCACAGAAGGTCGCGTTATCCATAGAGCATTGTGGGAAGAGCAGGAAGGAATAAAGATACAGTATCCCTGAGACAATGAGGTCATTCAGTATAAAAACAGTAGTCACAACAAAAGTCGCATTACCTTCTATCCGCCTGCCATTTTACAGTTATTAGTAGCTTGCCCAATCAGGGGCCACTGCACTCTGTTGTGTGTATTGTATATAGAAAAATGCAACTAGCAAGAGCTAGAGTGGCGCGATGCACAACCTGGCCCACCATTCATGGCAGCCCTGTAGAATCTTGATTAAAAATTTTCAGGTATGGAGTTCTTTTTCATTTTAAGTTGATTTCATATCCATTTAGTTCTCATGAGAGTTTTGTGAGACTGCAGAACTAGTGTCATTCTCCCCACACTACAGATGAGGAAACCAAATCCCAGAGAGGCACTGAAACTGCTCTAGAGCTGGTAGAATGAAATTAGGACCCAGAACTGGTAGCTGTTGACTCAGGGCCATTTCTACCAGCTGAACTCACCTAACCCAGTCTTCCAGGTGCAACACACAGGCTACTGGGAAGTCATGGGAAACTGAAAGAGAGGCTGAGTAAAGGCCTCCTCTTCCCTCTTACCCTGAATCTGGTCTTCAGCACAGCCTCACCCCCTCACGATGGCCAGCTTCCCTTCTTCATGCCCCTCTTCCACCCCCAGATTTGAGCGGGAGCAGAATGACACCTTCATCATGGAGATCCTGGACATTGCTCCATTCACCAAGATGCGGATCCGAATTGACGGCCTGGGCAGCCGGCCCGAGTGGTTCCTGGAAAGGGTAAAACAACCAGACCCCTCACCCTCCCTTCCACCCCCTGTCCATCCCTTCTTCCTGCTCTTTTGGGTTGCTGGTGGACCTTGTTAAAGTGCAAATGTCACCTTAAAGGGCTATTACTTGAACCTGACCTGTGTAATCTGGCAGGCCCCTTGGTGTGAGTTAACCAGAGAATGTAGTTTTATTTATGTGTGTCCAGTCAAAACCGAATCAACTGCCAGAAAACACAGCATGTGCTGTCAGTGTGACATGGACGGAGACTTGGCGTGGGCTTCTTGGAGGGAGGATAGAAAGAGGAGCAATAAGAATTCGGGCAGTAAGAGGCTCTAATGGTGGGAACTTCAGGGGGGCGGCAGGGGAGCTTCGGTGCCCCTGTGATTGTGCAGTTAGGCCATTCCCTCTTTTTCCATCTTGGACCTATGTTCTGCCCAAGTCAGTCCTCTTACGTCTTGTCCACCAGAGGTCATCTGTCCTGAGCCCCCTCAGGTTCCTACTGGCCTCTTCAGCCCTGAGCAGATTTTTCTCCAGCCAGCAATGGGGTGTCCATGGCAAGGACAACCTGGTAGACCGCAGCACACTGTTCCCGGATGTTTGTGGCTGACAGTGTTTGGTTGGTCCATTGTTCTGTCATTTGTTCAGCAAACATTCCTTGTGCACAATGACAGCCCCTCTCAGAAACATGTTTTGATGAATTGTCCATTTCCAAACCTTTAAGCTAGGGTAGTCGTGGTGGGGGGTTCAGACCCTGTGCGAGGTACACAGGACAGGGGCTTTGTGCCCGAGAGGGGCCTTTCCACGTGCCTTGAGTCTGTCAGGAGAACTCTTCTCAGGTCTGGGACTGTGGGTCCTCGGGATACGAGGAGATTGGGGGGCTGGTGGAGGTGAGAGAGGGTATTCCCACGCTGGCTCCTCTCCCCCAGATCCTCCTGAAGAACATGAATACTGGTGACCTGACCATGTTCTACTATGGAGACTGGCTGTCCCAGCGCAAGGGCAAGAAGACGCTGGTGTGTGAAATGTGTGCTGTCATCGATGGGGAGGAGATGATGGACTGGACTTCGTACACTGTCTCAGTTAAGACCAGTAACATCCTGGGTGAGTCGGGCCCCTCCCATCTCCTTCCCCACCTCCCACTACCCTTGTCCCTCCTCAAATTCTGGCTCAGGTCCCAGGCTCTGCTCAGGGCATTCTTTTTTGGATGGCCTTCCAAAAAGTTAGTCAACCCAAGTCCTTTCCAGTGTGTCACTTTCCATCTGGACAGAGTGTCCCCTCCTAGCCAAGGTGGACAGAGTGTCCCCTCCTAGCCTTGGTTCTGGCCCTTCTCCCTTGGGGGAATGGGGGGAATATTATCAGACAGTGTGGTCCATATTTTTTAAAACGGTGCAGGAGTCCGACTCAGAGCCCCTCTGTCTGCTGCTGCCTGACACCCTCACCCAGGTGCCGTGCAGCTCAGATGCCCCTGGGTTCTTTCCCACATCGTGTGCTTGGCGACCATCTTCTGTGCTCCAGCGTTGGCCTGGGGTCTTAGGATGGAGATATGACCCTGGCTCTTGTGGGTCTGACATCCTAGTGGAACGGTGGCAGCAAGGCTCTCACAGAGGTGGCACAGGTGCTGGGGACCCCAGAGGAGGGTGCCTTACCTAGCTGGGGAAAAGGGGAAAGGTCATGGAGGGCTTCCCAGAGGGGATGCCAAATTCTAGTCCAGAAAGACAAACAGAAGCCACTGAAGTAGAGGGAACACTAAAGGAAGGGCCTTCCAAACAAAAATAATAGCATGTACAAAAGGCCTGGAGCTGAGAGGAAATACAATCTCATCATAGAGGCATTGCGTCCTACCTACCCTCCCTTATACCAACCCTGTTCTCCGGGAGATGTTGGAAGGAATCTGAAAAACTCATTCACACTGCCTGGAAATAGCTAGTGAGGGATTAATTTGTTGGCTCTGGTAGCTTACACTTTCAACAGAGAGGTATTTAGCCAAAGAAATGAAGTTCTCGTGGTGGGATCTCAGTGATGGGTCAGTACAGCTGGTAAATTTGTTTCGGGCACCTCCTTTTTTCCTTTGCTCCTCACACTGGAGCCTTCAGTCTTTTGGCTTAAAGTTCCAAGTATCTACATGTTTCCAAGCCCCCTATTCCCTCATGATGCGCTCTCAAAAAATAGTTGATAAGTTTATTGATAACCTTAGAGTATGTATCAGAAAAGCTTCACAGCATCCTCTCTCCTGAAAGCATGTTTTTAACTGAAGTCAGTACCTCTATTTGGCTTAAGCAAATGATATAAAGCTCTAGTGTAGAATTTCAACCAGAGGTGAATTTAGGGAACAAAGAGAATTCCTACTTCCTTCTGAATCCACATTGTGAGGGGGAGAACCTCTATTTCTAAACTGTAAAGGCAGTCCATATGCACAGATTTTAAGTATGGGTGTATTTCCCCAGAACTACATGAGTTCTTGCACTAAACCATTCACACTTAATAACCAGGACTCCAGTTAGCCCAGTAACATTTACAAAGCACAGAGATAAGATGGAGGACAGAATTAGAGCCCCAGGAACCTCAGAACACTAGCCAGCTCTTTCTGATCTCACCCCTGGCCTCCTTGACTCTGAACTTGCCCTGGCTCTTCCGCGGCAGTCAGGATGGAGGCCAGAGCAGGAGCATTGTGTGTTGGGAGAGGCCAGCACCCATAGCCTTCATCTTGTGCACACCCAGGAGCAGGCACTGATGCCAATGTGTTCATCACCATCTTTGGGGAGAATGGGGACAGTGGGACCCTGGCCCTGAAGCAGTCAGCCAACTGGAACAAGTTTGAGCGGAACAACACAGACACGTTCAACTTCTCCGACATGCTGAGTCTGGGCCACCTCTGCAAGCTGCGGGTCTGGCATGACAACAAAGGTAGCACCTGCTCGAGGCCTGGGTGGCAGGGAGGGCAGGTGTCAGCTCTCCACCTGGGCTCTTCCCCGTCTCCCTGGCAGTGTGCTGACCCTTCTACCCCAGGGTGGCAGGCAACTAAAAATGGTTGATTGCCATCATTTTAATGCTTCCATCAGTTAGAAGAGCAAAGGAATCTGGAAAAAGTTTAGAGATGAAGCTTAGTTCCTCCTAGTTGCCCCTGGGGAGATAAGTGTTTCTTAATTTTCTGTGATGCTAGAGCATTAATTTTACTTAGTTCAGACATAAAACTTTAAAAAAAAGAGGCTATATCACCAAATTCACTTCCCATGGATTTTCTCTAAAGGATTATACTTGTTTACTCATAATGGCAAGTCTAAAATTAGTCAAATTCACCTATGAAAAGTGATGGAATAGGCTATAAGCCAAATGAGTTTATTTTTAACTTCAAAGTACCTAAGGCATACTTCGTGACGTCTGCAATTGTGATGAAGTTCGTGTTCTCAATGTCTCTCTGCTTATCCTGTTGTCTTCAGACCCCTCTGACCATTTTTTTCTGGCTTTGGGCCTCTAAGTTCTGTGTTATGTAAGTTGAATCCTAAATTTCACCTCCTGGAGGCATACCACTTCCTTCACTCGTACTGCTCCAACTCACCCCCCTTGCCTTCCATTGAAACTGGCCTCTGCAAAGCTGTTCACTCAAAGCCTTCTCCAGTCTTTTCTGAGTCTCTCCAGTGAGGGGTCCAGAGTTGTCCAGGTTGCTGCGCTTGTCCTTACCTTTCAGATCCCCACTGATGACCCACGTGTCTGTCATGGTGACTGAGGAAGCCCACCTTGGCATTTGCAACCTCCCTTCCTGAAGGAGTTTTTTTTTGTTTGTTTGTTTTATCATGGGTTAAACAGCTAAATTTTTTTCTGTATCATAGAATAAACTCTGGTGAGGAAAAGAAAAAATAGCCAGTGTTCAAAGCAATAAAGTAATGAATATTTGCACAGCGCTGCACAGTTTTCAAATCTCAGTGTATCCACTCAGTCATTGATTTACCGTGTTTACAGACATTTACAGTATTCACTGCATGTCTGGCACTCTGTTAGGTAGTAAAAATGCAAACATTTGATCTTTACAACTTTGTGAACTGCTGCGGCAAAGGCAGCTTATTATCTCTTTTTTCTACAGCCAAGGATATTGAGGCCCAGTGAGGTTTGAAGGACTTACTCAGGACCACATGGCAGAAAAGGTACATGGCCAAAACTCAAATCCAGGTCTTCTGATGCCTATTCTGGTACACCAACCATGCTCCGTGCCAGCCCATCCTGCCAGTCACCCTTCTGCACCCTCACCCAGCCACTGTGCCAAAAGGTGAAGAAGAAGATGAGATGAGGGCAGATTCTTCTATCTCTGCTTACTATGTCCCCCCACCCATGTATGTTTATTATCAGTGTATGTGGGTGTCTTATCCAGGAAAGGGTGCAGTAGAAGGGGATGCTTTTTCCTCACCTGTCCATTCAGGAGTCATGTGCATTTATGGGAAGAAACATGCTTGCAAAACATTCTCAAGATATCCCTAATGAATCTCTGTCTTTATCAGGAAGGAAACAAAATAAAGACCCCTGAATTCTTTCCCACCCTCTTGTCATCCATTATGATTGTCTTAGGACTAGTAGCAGGTCGGCTGGTGGTTGAAAGTCTGGCTTAATAACAAGAGTCATAATCATAAAGACCATCTTCTGCCCCAGACACTTCACAAAATCAGGATTAGCCTCTACCCAGGACACTCAACAAATGAATCTCTCAGGACAATCACTTCCATGTTTGACTGGGCTACCACTGCGTGCGTCACCACAAGCCTACTTAGAGGTATTTGGCAGATCAGGTTAGTGGGGGAAGGATGGAGATGTGGCCTGTCTACCCGAATACCCATGTGTATAATCTCCTGCAGTGCTTATGCCAGAGGCAAGCCATTGTTTAGGAAGTATGTTTCGAGGAAGCATGCCCCTGCCTTCATCGGAAAGAAGCACATTGTGTCTGTGGGCTTTTAATTCTCTGCCTGGCTTCCAACACACGCTGACAAGATATCATTACTCTTGAGAGCAGGGGCCGTAATTTATTCATTTTTATCTTCATAGTTGCTCACAACAGTGCTATACCATGAAGCTCCATATGGAGTATAAAATGCCATTACTCTTAGCTCCATTGAGACTCCCCACCAGGAGAGAGCTGAGAAATACCAGGGCCTTTAATCCCGTACTGCCATAGCCCCTATCTCAGAAGCAACAGAGAAACAAAGGGACTGTTGAGAAGGAAGAAGTATTATTCCCAGCCAGTTTGAACAATCCCCTAGGGTTCAACCACATGATGAGATCAGAGGGCCAGGGATTCCCTGGTCACCTCCTAATCAGGCCAGAAAACTGGGGAAGGATTTTGTGTTGATCATGACGACCTCCCTCTCTTTTCCAAGAAGGGAAGATAATCCCAGGAACGTTTTTAATATGAGTGTTGCACTCACGGGAAGTGAGGGTGGAGCAGATGGACAGAGAGACTGAGGAGGCCCGTTTAAAAGCCACTGAATTCTACAGAAATCATTCGATGGTCTTTGAAGCCGTCGTGGAGCCATGGTTCTGACTCTTCCTCTGGCTTTTCGCAATCCTGGCCTCTGCAGCCTGTTCCCAGGGCTCCTCCTACTTCAGGGGATGACCGTTTTCAACCTGGCCTGTTACAGACATTCCCTCAAGCTTGTCAAGATGGTCCAAATTACCAGAAAGCCCACCCCCAATTCACAACAATAAAAGGCAGAGGGTTGCTGGTCCAGGATCAGAGCCGATTTCTCTTCTGCCTTCAAAGACCACTGTCACCAGCTCCGTCTCACCCAGCTCTGAACCCCACCTGACTAAACTCCGGAAACCGTACTGGTTCTTTGTTCCTTGGCTAACTTTTCCTGGTGCTGCCTCACCTTTAGGGTCCGCCTTCACCCTCCATCCCAGTCTGTTTCTCATCAGAAACTTTCCAGAGTTCTCTTGGGCATTCCCGTTCCACATTGTATCCTTTCTTCCAAACTCTCTAGGGAAGTAATTTCCTCACGTATTTGAGGAAAGTGTTGCAGAAAGTTATGCAGTAGTATTTCAGGAGTCAAGGAATGTTTGTTTTTAGTGATGCCTGTGTTTTCCCTTTTCTTGTTTTTCTCCTCCTACATGATCTGTCCTCTTCCCAGACAATACGAGCAATACAGTTCCTCTGCTACTAACCATCCTCATAGTTTTTATACTGGTATCAATCAGTAAGTCAAATATGATTGACTCTTGTTATTTGCAGTACTGATGCTCTGTAAAGTTGCTGCCAACACTGAATTAGCAAACACTGAGCCAGTGCTTCTAGGGGACATACAAGGTTAGATTACGTGAGCCTCTGGTCACAACATTTTCATCAACTGATCAATACATAACCTTGTTTTATATGTGTTCCTCTGTAAAAGACACGTCACTTAATATATACTATTGATTTATTAACAGTGAACTCATGGCCAACAGCACTGTAACTCATGCCTGAAGGAAGGTTATGTAACACATCTGTTTCCTCCATGAGGCATATCACAGCCTTCTTGCCCTCAGTAGAGAGCATGTCAACACTATATTTCTGGACCATTTTAAACAGTGAAATCACAAAAAAAAAACCCACAAAAATGTGAAAACATGTTTCTAAATAGACCACAAAAAATGAATTTTGAACTTTGAGGCCAGCTCTTATTTAAATTTCACCTGGCATGCAATAACTTGTGCCTTTGGGCAACCCAGTAGTCATTCATAAATACTCAGGAGATGACTTTGCATCTGAAATTCTCATCCCCAGCTGAATTTCCTGCTAAGTTCTTATGCATCCTTCAAAATTGAGATCAACTGTCACTTTCTTCATGAAATGAAGTTAAGTGCTCCCTACTCTATTCTCCTAAACTGCTCTGTTCATACCTTTATTTGTAGCACTCACCTTGCTGAATTGTAACTGTCTTCCAAAATCAATTGGCAGATTTTGAGTCTCTCAGGGGTAAGAGACCTTGCTTGACTCCCCTTTGAATTCCCTGAGGCTTGTACTTAGCAGATATTTAATAATTATGTGAAAGAATAACTAAATTTATGTCAAGCATCAGCTTGCAGCAGCTTATAGATCCTTAATGAATGGCTCTAGGATGCCATCCTTTTCTAGAACTTCCATGGAGATCTCTTTCTCCCCTCTGGGTGTTTGAGATCTTCCCAGATATAGCCACATACTTTCAGACACTTGTATCAAAGGATTTGTAACTCTTCAGAGGCAGACTTAGTGGGTTGAGTAATGCACCCCCACATACACATACTATTCTTGTCCACCTGGAAGCTCAGAATGTGACCTTAATTGGAGATAGGGCTTCTATTAGTTAAGGATCTTAAGATAAAATCATACTGGATTTAGGGTGGTTCTTAAATCCAATGACTATGTCCTTTTTAGAAGAGAACAGGACACAAAGAGACATATGAAAAGACCATGTGAAAATAGAAGCAGAGATTGAACTAGAGATAACAGCTACAAAGCAAGGAATGACAAGGATTGCCAGGAGCCATACCCAAAGTATAAAAAGGGAGGAGGATTCTTCCCTAGAGTCTTCAGAGGTATATGGCCCTGCTGACACCTCAATTTTAAACTTCAAGACTCCAGGACTGTGAGAGAATACGTTTCTGTTGTTTTAAGGCACTGAGTTTGTGGTAACTTGTTACAGCAGCCCTAATACAGCAATGAAGGCCCTAATGGAGGAAAGTGAAGACTTTCCTAGGGCCCTGATTAGTCACGTCTCTACAGCAAAAAATCTGCCTCAGGATTTGCTACTGGATGGAAAAATATTCAGGGACACTGGGCCAGAATAAAACACACCAAATCAAAGTGCAGCCCCATCAGAGAACCTAGTATCAACAGGGCTGGCTGCAGTGAGAGCAGGTGGTTCAGAGTTATCATTCTCAAGGTGGTAGCAGGTAGGGATCTGCAGGGCAAACTCATTGCTCTTAACTTTTACAACTGGGTCTCCATATCGCTGCAGGCAATTCAGTGGTAACCAACTATTCTTCTAAGCAGGGAAAAGAGGACAAATCGAGAGCCAAAGGCATCATACACTAGCCTCTATTCCCACTATGGACTTGTTGTTTAATTCCAGCCACTGGGACTTCTGCTTTGTAACCTAACTCCCACCAGGCACCCCAGCATGATTACATCTCCCTGTTTATGATTAACAAAGTCTCTTAAGCCCTTGTCTCCTCAAAGAAAGTTCTTCTCATCACCTTACCTAACTTGAGCCCCCTCCCAGAACAGTCATCATATTTGTAACTACATGCTTATTCTTTGTCTCCATTACTTGACTATCAGCTACTGAGTACCATTGTCTCATTCATTGCTCTTTCTCTAATGCCTATCAAACTGCCTGTGGTAAAGGCTAAATATATTTTAATGGAGCTTATTTATATACTTTTTCAGTCTCTCATACCCATCCCTGTCTTTGTATGCCTCAATTCACAGGGAATCCACATTTCTCCAGCATCAGTTTTTTCTTACACCTTAGTACTTCCAAAAATTTTGTTCTGGCCATGAACCTAAGCACTCTAATACCAGCCGCCCCCACCTCCAACACTGATTCGCACACATGTAGACTTTATCAGTTTTTGTGATGCATTTTTCTTCTGTGCAATAAACGACAGCTAATTCTTTTCTATTTCATGGCTGTCAAAATCCTGAAAGAAAAGTGAGAGGGGTCAGCACCATGGACAGCTCTGCACAGTCAGTCTGTGCGGTTCAGGTGCCCGACTCTTGAACTTGATTCCTCCCTTGGATAGCCCAGGACTTTCTGTATCTTCTTCAAGCCCAGGTGGTTAGGATACTGGGGTCAGAAGAGGTATGGGAAGTCCATGTTCTGTGTCTAACTTCCTCTTTATAGTAACTTTCTCCTCCAGGAATGGAAGTTTAAATGTTAATGTAGGCTAAGAAGGCCAAATACGTCCTTAAGCTCAGTTTTTGCCACATTTTTTCCTATTAGCTTTAAAATATTCCAGCTACAGTATGGTTCCCCTGCATAGCAATTTATGAGGACAAATATATTTCATTTGAGAGTCTCCCATTAAAAAAAGTTGTGGATCCCTGAACAAATACCATATGTTAGGTTACAAATGTTTAATTAACTTAATAGCATAACAATCTTCTCTTTCCCTGAACTCACCTTTCCATCTTTTTGTTTATCCAACAGTTCTTTTTTATGAGAAATCTTAAACATGCACAAAAGTGAAGAGAATAGTATAATGAACTTCCACACACCCATCCCATAGATTTAACTAAAATTAAATTTTGAAATTAAAATTTTTTATTAAAAGGAACACAGGGTGGGGGTTGGTGGAGAGGAAAGAATGCCTTCCCTTGGGACATTTTCCAGAAGAACCAACATTTCGGCTTTTCTTTCTCTGCCTTCCCCTTCTTTCTGTGTTCCACTCTAAAAGCCTCTTATTGGAGAGTCATTTCCAGACTGAATACAGGGAGGCTTATTAAGCAGTTTAACCCATTTCCCAATACTATCAGGAGCTATCTCAGAAAGCAGCCAATTTAAAACTTACAGGTGAAATTGGCCCAAATGCAGGAAAAAAGAAAAGTTACAGAGTTTTAAAAAAAAGTTACTGATAAAACCACTCACCACTGTTAAACTCAACACGTGTTTAAAACCTTAACTTAATTGTTTTAGCACTTTTTTCTACTTCAGTAAGTATGAAGTACTTTTTAAACCTAGAATAAAGCTACACCAGGACTGCCAATACATATGCCCTGCCCGTGAGCCTTCATATCTACTCCCTCAAGGCTAGATGCCTTGAAGTGAGTGTTGGTCTTCGTGTGTCTCTTTGTGCTTATAAGACCTTGAGACTGCAGGCAGGACCCACAGTTGTTGCGTTGGGCAGTGTCTGGTCCCAGAGAAGATTTTTTTTGTGGGGACAATGGGACTGTCCCCACAGCCCACGGTGGCATGAGAGGGGAAGACATGAGAGTAGAGGATATACATTCCTTCCTTGTGAGGCTGCCGGGTGGACTTACTATGCGCAGCAAGTATCACCACAACCTGTCACACCCCTGGGATTTCCCTCCACAGGGGGCTCTTCGGCTTTCAGAGTTCTCAAGGACTTTGAAGGGTAGAGAGCAACGAACCAGTGATTGGCACAAATAATAGGCAACTGTCACAGAAAATGCACACGATTCATATTTGACAGCTATGATTTGGGGAAAACATTTCTGAGGGAAGCCCTGCCAATTATAGCAGAAGCAACTGTATGTTCAGTATTAAGCCAAGACTTGTCAATTTCAGTATATACCCTAAGGAAATAGCAGCTTCTGATCCTTTCTATGATTGTTGGACAGCCAAGGTCCTTAATGTCATAACATAGTCAGCACTCCTTGAGCAGCTACTACAAGTCAGTCACTATACTAGACATTGGGGACACAAAAACAAATAAGACCCGGTCCCGCCCTTGAAAGCTCACAGTCTACGGGGGAGACACATGTAAACAAGGATGACTCAGGGGGGTCAGGGCATGGCTAAGGCAGATGCAGGATGCTATGGGAGCAAGAAGAAGGACATCTGGCACAGGCCTGCTGGACATCAGGGGACACTGGGAAAGCCTACCTGGAGGAGTTGATACCTGAACTGATTCTGGAAGGACAATGGGCGTGAGCTAGGTGAACACTGGTATCTGGAGGTAGTAAGGTTCATCCTTCAGCTTTGTGAACTCCAAAAAAGTCTGTTGTGGGGGGCAGAGACCCCCATTGTGAATCTGATGACAGCTATGAGCCCTCTCCCTGGTAAAATGCCTGTGTATAGTTATAGCACAATTTCTTACAGCCCGTAGCTTGCTTAAATCCCGTACATAAATCCTCTAAGGGTTCATGAACCCCAAGTTAAGGATTTTGCAAAGAGAATTATATCCTCAGGGCTGGAGTGCCCTCAGAGATCATCTGACCCAATCCCTCATTTCATCCACCAGGAAACCAAGGTCTAGAAAGGACAGAGAAATTGTCCCGGGCAGCATGGCCGGCGGGCTGGGGAGCGGAAATCTGAAAGTGGAGGGAGGAGCACAGTTAGCTCCAAGTCCCCCCAATGTCTTCCACAGGGATGTTTCCTGGCTGGCACCTGAGCTACATCGACGTGAAGGACAACTCGCGTGATGAGACCTTCCGCTTCCAATGTGACTGCTGGTTCTCCAAGAGCGAGGGCGACAGGCAGATCGTCCGCGACTTTGCCTGTGCCAACAATGAGATCCATCATGAGCTGGAGGAGACCAGTACGTGGGGAGACTGGTGGGCCAGCCTACGTGTGATGCCTCGCCAACTCTGCAGAGTTAAATGACAACTAGCTCAGGAGGGAGGGGAAGGGTGTTTGAAACTCTAAAGCACAGACATTTATAGCTGGAGGGGAGACAGGTGTCCAGTGAAGGAAGTCATGCTGAGGAGGTGCATAAATAAACATCCTAAATGTTGCTTGGTGAACCTGAAACAGCCAAGAAACTAGTACCAGATCATGGCCCCAGTTACAGAGACTAATTAGGTAGCATGAAAACCTACTGGGGACTAGCTCACCATGGCCTGAGGGCTGGTCTGGGCAGTTTGGTGTGAAGCTCTCTCTCTGCCTTATTTTTATATGATGGTCTCCATGCAGTTGGTGCCTGAGGCAACAGCTGGTACAGGACTTCCTGGAAACAGAATATACAGAGGGAGCCAGCATCTCTATCAGCCACTGTCTCTTTGGTCCTTCCTCAGGATATTTAAAGGGAAAGAGTAATTGATCCCTAAGGGTGGATGGCCATCAAGCACTAGGGAGGTGTTTCTTTAATACAGATGCCAATGTCTGGGTCCAACATATTTGAAGAGGTCTTATAAAGGCAGAGCCCAATGTAAGGAAAGGATTTTTCCAACTTCAGTTAATAAGATAACACTAGCTGCAGTAAGAGGAAAACTCCCAAATAGCAATGGCTTAACACACCAAAATTTATTTCTCATTCATGTAATAAACAGTACAGAGTGGGTAACTGGCAGGAGGTCTTCCACGCTGTTATTCAGGGACGCAAGCTCTTTTCATCTGCATCTCTGCCATTTTCGACAGGTGGCTCCCATATTTCTTGCAGAAAAGAAAAGAGTGTGGAGAAGGCATACCCCCCTACCTTCTTAACAAATGGACTCACTTTCCATTGCTGAGATCTAATCATATGGCTCCTGGATGCAAGAGCACCTGAAAAATGTAGTCCTGGGCTGGACAGCCCCTTCCAGGCAAACACTGTACCCCACGAAGGGAAGGCATGGACCTTTGGTGGAAAGCCACCCACCATCTCCACCATGCCATCCAAACTACTCAGTGATGAAATTAGCTGCTCTTAGAGGTACTGAGCCCTTGTGTCTCTGGGGGCATTCAAACAAGGGCCAACATTGTCAAGTGTACTGTATGAGGATTCCTGCCCTAATTCTGAGGATGGATTCTCAGCATGTATAATTGCAATTACTGAGGAATTACTGGGTGCCCCATTTTATTTTAGATCTTATGAGTGATACATATTGCTCTGTGACCTCTAGTCTAGTTGTATCAACCTTGCACATAGGTCAGTCTCCCTATACAACTGTAAGCCCCCCAGAAGTCAGTGACAGAATCACTCATGTTCATAGCCCTCTGCAGCTCTGTAGGCTGTGGGACTTAGTAGGTGAACAATTAGTCAGTACTCAGCACATAAAAGAAGATGTAGTCCTTTTCCTTGGAGCCCCACAATCTTGTTAAAGGGAGAGGCTTAAGCTCCTTACTCAGTAGGAATGCTTAAGCCCTTTCCACAAGTGCCAAGATGAGCAATAGAGGCTCTTCAAACCATTGGCGTTCAGGGGAGGAGAGATTTGTGAGGCTTGGAGCATAATCACTGAGTCTCCACAGATTTCCTGCCAAACAGCTGCTAAATCCTGCGGTATTTGGGTGGGCAGGGAGATTATAGAGGGGAGGTGGCACTTGCAATAGTTCCAGAAGGACATTTCCAACTGGAGATGGGAGAGCAGGGGTGCAGAGCCCAAGAGGTGGCCTGGATCCATCTGTACCAGGAGCCTGTAGGGGGCAGAGCAGCTGCCCGTGGGGGACTGACAGCCATGCCTGTGTCCTCAGGTGGAGGCTCATCAGGGGAGAGGCACAGTCACAGCTTGAGCCACACATCCCAGCCCTCAGCTACCTTTATTTAACCATTTGGCAAATACTTATTGAGCATCTACTAAGTGACATGGCCTATTTTGAGTTCTGGGCACTCACCAATGAATAAAACAGAGATTTTGCCCTTTTTTCACTTAAACTCAGTGTCTGTGACCCAGTTTAAGCTTGTGAGGACAAACACCCCATCATACTTGAATACAGCTTCATTTATGGAAAGCACTCCACACCCCTGTTCTCATTAGGCTCTTGTGGCCTCAGTCCCACCCTGAGCTAGAGAGGGTACAAATTCACACCCCTATATCATGGTTAAGGAAAACAGAAAAACAGAGGCGTAAAATGACACATCTAAGGCCCATTCACAGCTACTGGGACCCAGGTGGCTTGATTCCTAGACCAGGAGTCACTGCACCACTGCAGGATGTCTTGTCTTTATTGGGCCTGGCTGGTACACCAATTTCTTGCAGAAAAGAAATGAGTATGGAGAAGGCATAACCCCCTACCTTCTTAACAAATTGACTCACTTTCTATTGCTGAGAACTAATCATGTGGCTTCTGGATGCAAGAACACCTGGGAAATGTAGTCCTGGGCTGGACAGCCCCTTCCAGGCAAACACTACACCGTGAAGGTCCAGCCAGTCTGTTAGAAAACCCATTTTCATATTCATGTTCTTGAGACTTACATTTGGGATGTATCGGCAAGCAAAATGAAGACCCCTGCCCTCATGGCACTTACATTCAGATGGGAGGGGGATGCAATAAACAATAACATAACAGGTAAATGACAAGGCATGTTAGATGGTAGTAGGCAATAAGGACAAGAGAAAATAACGGCACTGGAAAGGCAGGCCACAAGTGTGGGGGAGTCAGGCTGCAGTTTTGATCAGGATATTTGCAGCAGACCTCCAAGGGACATTTGAGTAAGGATGTGCAGGGGAAGGAGTAAGCCAAGACAATAAGGGTGGAGATGAGGCAGAGGGTCAGCACTGGGGGCAGACAGAACAATCACTGCCAAGCTCAAAGGCAGAAGGATGCCCCAGTGTGCCAGGAGCAGCGCAGCGGCAGAGCAGCTGGAATGAGTGAGGCAGAAAGTAAAGGAGATGAAGGTGGAGAGGTTATGGGGAGCCGAGCTTTCCCTCTGTCCCTATGGCAACATCAGTGTGGAGGTGAGGGGCAAGAGAGAGAAGTTTGGTGCCACCCAGAGTCTAGCCCAGTCCTGATACCAGGCACCCACTCACCAAATGTTGGGTGAATGAGTGCAGGCATGCCTGGGACCTGCAGGGGAGGGAGGCTGTGATCCTGAGCAGGGCACTGGCATGAGATCTGAGACAAGCCATGCAGAACTGTCTGCCGGAGAGTTCAGGGCACTCCTGGGGTCTCACCCCTGGGGCCTTCCTTTACTTTCTGTTGTTGGGTCCAACCTCTCCTCCCTTCTCTTCGCATATGATCTCCATTTTGCATCTCAGGGACTTTCCACCCCTGAGAGCCAGGCCCAGCATCTCTCCAAAAGCCTATCCCCACCTCCTGCTTCCTGGAGGTGACTGGTTCACCCCTAGCAGCCCCCAAATTTGCTAGGCAGAGGTTACTTCTATAAATAAAATGGGAATGAGCACTCTAGCCCCCAAACAAGAGCAGGTTCTGTTTATAGTGCTTCGATTGTGCTCATTTTAGCCTACCCTCCTCCTTCCCTAGGCTGTGGTCTAAGAGCAAATTTAGGACCTGAAAGGATTGGCCGTTGTGCTCCTGCCCCGGTGGTGGGGACTCCCCCGCCTCTGCTGACCCTCTCCCACCTTCTCCACTGCAGCCTACGAGATCGTCATAGAAACGGGCAATGGAGGCGAAACCAGGGAGAATGTCTGGCTCATCCTGGAGGGTAGGAAGAACCGATCCAAAGAGTTCCTCGTGGAAAATTCTTCTCGGCAGCGGGCCTTCAGGAAGTAGGAAGAGGGGTGTCTACCAGGGAATAATGGTGGATGGGGTGGGTGAGGGAGGGGCCTCAAGGCCCAGCCTCCCTGTGGGAGCCATCAGTATACAAATGGGCCTCAACTGCAAGTACTTATTGAGTACCTGCTGGGTGCCAATCCCATGCAAACTGCTAGGGATGAAAGGGGAGATTTATAAAAGGGCAAGGAAGAGACTGCCAGGTAAAGAGAGCCCACTGTAAGGGACTAGAGCTTAATTATTCCAACCACTAAAAAGATAGAATAATTATGTAACATGATAGAGGAGCTTATTACCACCACAATGGCGATCACAGTACAATATATAAAGGTATCAACTTAAAATGTTGTATACTTTAAATGTACACATTCAAATGTCAAGTATATCTCAATTTTTAAAAGTTAATGGAAAACTACAGCAAAAATTAATTGATTGATCAAAGATGGACCAGGAATCACCGCAGACACTGTCCCATGTCCATGCAGCTCAGGGGCTCCAAGGCTAGTTGAAAAGGAAGACATTCACCCATAAAATTGCAAAGGAATCATAAGACAGCATAGAAATAAGTTCTAGTTAGAGGGAGGGCAGGAGAAGAGAACCTCAAGGTGCTTTGTAGGGAAATCACAATTGGGTGTCCTCTGCTCACGGCTCCAGGTTGGCAGACACCCTGGAGAATCTCACCTCCTCCTCCTCCACATCACAGCCACTTCTGCCCTGCTGAGATGCCCCCTTCATCTCCCTGCTCCCTGCAGAATTGCTTAAATAAGTCCCATAACCCACTGTTCTTTGTTCAAACTCCCTCTGCATCAGGATTAAGTCTGGGCTCCTTAGACTGGCCCTCACAGACTACCACAGCGTGCTCTCACCCCCACCTTCCATACCGTCGCCATTGCCTTCACTAAACTGAGACCGCCCCAGCCAGCACTGCCCCCAGAAATGTCTCAGCCTCCACACTCCACTATTCCCATCCCGTGACTTTGCCAAGGTGGGTCCACACCAGGGAACTCTTCCCTTCCTCCCCTCCCTCCATTCTCGGATTCCCACCACCCTCTTTAGTCAAGTGCCCAGAGCCCAGGGCCCAGGGGTTCACCCTCATCCCAACTCCATCCTCTTACTGATGTTACCATTCATTGGTGCTGGGACCAGGCATCTGGCAGAGCTTTCTAATGGTTGTGATTTTCTTATTCCAAATGAGACTGAACCCCTCAGTGAATGGAGGCCTGAGATCTGGTCTTACTTCCCATTCTACCCCTAGTCCTCAGACCAGGGCTTGGAATGCAGTAGGCACACAATACATGCTTACTTCCTTCAGTGTGCATGGCAGTTCTCATTTGACCCACCTTTGTGTCCTCCAGGGGGGCCACAGACACGTTTGAGTTTGACAGCATCTACTTGGGGGACATTGCCTCCCTCTGCGTGGGCCACCTCGCCAGGGAGGACCGGTTTATCCCCAAGAGAGAGCTGGTGTGGCATGTCAAGACCATCACCATCACAGAGATGGAGTACGGCAACGTGTATGTACTGTGCCTCCTGCCCCCGCCCCCAGGAAGTGCCTGGCCCTCCCTGGGGACTGAGACTGGACCATGGGCAAGATCACAGGGTGTGGGGGAATGGCCCCTTGGAGGTGGAGTCGCCTCACTAGGAGGCTTATAGAAGGCAGGAAGGGAGGAGGCAACTGTACTGTTCTGGGGCTGTCTGAACCACAGGCCTCCTGCCAGAGGCAGGGGACTGGGCCAAATGACCTTGGGTGCTACAGCCTTATAATTCAGGGACGCTTCCTTGGAAGAATACTGGGCAAGCCAAATAGTGCCAGGCAGCAGAGACTGACTTTCCTTCCCTTGCCCTCCCATCCCTGTAGAATGACAAGCACAGCTCTGCCACCTGCTGCTGCCACGGTCATAGTGAAAGCCTCTGTCTGCATGGGCAGAGCAGGGCCAGAGACCAGGTGGCCTAATCCCATGGCCACCTGCCTCCAAGGACCCCAGGGGCACTTTGCATTCCCCTACTAGGGCCTTCTGGAGACTGGGGTATTTCTGGAGGATTTAGAGTTTTAGTTACCTGGGTAACCATCCACAGCCATCAATTTTCCTAATGAAAACCACTTGGTAACTAACTACATTGAAGACAGAAAGAGCTGGAAGCTCTGGAGGGCGGGGGAGACACTGAGAAGGAACCAGAGAGAAGGAAGGGGAAGCCCAGGGCAGTGCTTGCTCAGGCCGAGGAGTGAGTGGGAGCCGAGGGGCATGACCCACAGGGGCCTGTGCTGCCAGCCCCTCACGGTCCCCCTTGGACCTCCTTCCGGGGCTGGCCCTGTCCTGGTAATGCCTTTCCTGATTAGCGTGGGAGGCAGAAGCTGCTGCCAGGTGCAGGCCAGCTGAGGGACCCTCAGCCACAGGCTCCAGCCTTCAGGAACCCGTGCTTCTCAAAGTGACATCTGTCCATGCCCACCTGTGACCTGCAGGCTCCCAGAAGTGGGCTCCTCCCACCAAGCTGCCCTGCTGGGAATCGGTCAAGAAATGTTCTGGCTGGTGAACTCCTGTATTAGCCACCACAGACTGGGCGTCTCAAACAACAGACATTGTTTTTCTCATAGCTTTGGAGGCTGGACCATCAGAGATCAGGGTGCCAGCATGGCTGGATTCTGATAAGGCCTCTCTTCTTGGCTTGCTGTGTCCTCACATGTCCAAAAAAGAGAGAGAGCTCTGGAGTCTCCTCCTCTTATGTGGATGCTAATCCCACCATGGGGGCTTACCCGCCCTCATCTAAACCTAGTCACCTCCCGAAGGCCCACCTCCAAACGCCATCACACCGCATTGGGGTAGGAGGGCTCCACATATGAATCTGGAGGAGAACATGACTGAGCTCACTGCAGCTTCCCTCTCAGGCTGCAGTGTTATTTGTTGCTCTTTTAGAAAAAAAAAAAAACAGCTAGGGTCCACTAAATCCTGTAGGAGCTTCTGGGCATGGCTGCTAAGAGCAATACTGCTGAGAATGTGAGAGCAGGAACAGAGAGCGCTGAAGTTACCAGCTCAGCCAGCCAGCCAGGGCCAGGCCAGAGCCCCTGCTGCAACCCCGTACTGCCTCCAACCACGGGGGCTCCTTTGCAAACCCCGAGTAAACAAAACAACACAAGAATACAATGAAATAGTCACCACTTGAGTTAGCTTTAGACTGATAAAGTTGGCTGTGAGAAAAAGAGCCAAAGACCTCAGCACCACCTGGCACCTTCAGTTCTCAGGAGGAAGGGGAAGGAAGGCCCAGCCCATGAACCCCCCACCCCACAGTCCTGGGGCCGAGTTGTAGGATTTCTTGTCCAGTGGAAAGAAGCCACCACTCCCAAGTGAGGCATCTTTTCCTACACCCTCAAGAGCGTGGCCCTTGTCAGTATGTCACTCAGTCTGGAGGGGAGGAAGGGATGTCCACGGGGCAGGGAACCTTCCCAAAGGGGAGGGAGAGGCAGGGACTCCAGAACTGCTGCCACCAGTCAGCTGTGTGTCCTCAGGCAAACGGCCACATGTCTCTGTGCCTCACTGTGTCCTGGGGGGAGAGCTGGATGCTCAGCAGAGTCTGGCAGTAGGGGAAGGATGGCAAGGGTCCAGCCTGGGGGGCTTTCAAGAGACATACTCCAGCCCACCTGCCTATGCAGGTGGTTTCTGATGGATGAGAACATCTCGCTCCAGAAATGCCACCTCCACGCAGAAGGGGGACTCTGCCGGCATGGCTCATCACTGCGGCTGTTCACGTGCCGCTGTGCTAGAACACCCAGGCCTTCTGCCACTGTAAGAAACCACTTACACAGCATGGTGGATGCATCCACTGTTCCTCTCCAACCACCACATTAACCATAATATTTGGATTTCTGTGACTCCCAAATGAATTTAATCTCAATCTCTTATAAACACAATAAGCTCAGATTTTCATCTTCTAACCTTTTCTAGATCTGACTTCTCTTCCGCAAAGCACATTGCCTTCTTCTTTGCCACTGATAACCAAGGATTTCAGTGGAAGGATATAGAGGGGCTTTTATTTTAAACCAAAAACAGCTTTATTGTTTATCCCAATATCATTTACAATACATAGTCATTATAAAAATTCAAATAATATTAAAAAGTATATAAAAGAAAGTAAAAATTCCCTAAAGCCCATCAGAAATGGTCACCACAAGCATTTGGTGGCCCCATTCTGTCTGGTATTTTTCCGCTATCTCACATACAGACCGTTCATAGAAGTGTGATCATGTTACCCATGTTTTTTTCAAATATTTAATTTTTATTTGTTCTCTGCTTTTGTCTTTACTCTTGCTGGTGACCCTACCCCATTTTCAGCAGGAACAGCCTGGTGTGTGTCCTCCCACACCTAGAGTCTTGACTCTGCAAAGCCCTGACATCCCACATTTTGGTGATCTTATAATTATGTTTATTAGGAAACATTTCCTTCTAGCTATACCAGGGAATATTTTTCAGCCATTAAAAATAATGAATTAAATATGTACCAGATGACTTGGAGCAAGTCCCAGGAAAAGCAAGATATGGGAAAACACTTATTATATGATACCATTTTGCAAAGGGAACACTGACGTCCCACATATGTCTGTGTCTATGTGGGTCTATGCAGGGTTGGGTGAAATGGAGAGAAATTTGGCAAGATACACTCACAACTGTTCCATGTGTTATCTGAGGTGAAAGTGAGATGCTGAAGCAGAAAGGAGGAAGAAAAAAAGCAATGGAGCTGAGCAAAAAGGAAAAGAAAAAGTGTATTTAGAAAAACATGCATATGATCACAATTTGTGCATTTATGTAGAATTATGTATATCATTGGGCATTTACATAAAAAACATTTTCAAAGAATGTTTAAACAAGGAATGCAATTATATTGCCCTCTAAGATTGTTGATATGTAACAACAATCCAGATTTACCAAGTGATAAATTGGAGGAGAGAGATCTTAAAACAGAATGAGGATTTCCTGCAAAGGGTCTTTAAGTGGCTGTTCTTCAGGGGGCCTGGCAGGTTGGCTGCTGTGGGCTCTGGCTCTGCATCACCTCCGGCAGTGACTTCTCCTCTCCAAGTCCTAGTTTCCCTGTCTGTGCAATGGAGGATGATGCCTACAGCTCAGCATTGTTGTGGGAGGTAGGCAAGATGCGAGAATTCAAGGCCTTGGCAGAGGAAGCTTACAGAAAACCAAGTTCTTTTTGCTGTTGTGGACTTTCATCTAAAACAGTGTTTGGTGTTGCCCCTCTAGGTCTTGCACGGCTGCACTCCTGAAGTCATTAGGCAGCGCCAGGACTGCTTACTTCCAGAGCTATTAAAATATTAGCAATTTGGAATGGGAAGAAACCAGAGTAGTCATTCATTCTAAACCTCTAGCACTGCCAATGGGAAAATCAAGGTCCGGAGAGGCATGTGACTTGCTCAGGGCATACAGGTGGTAGATGACAGGGCTGGGACAGACCCAAGGCCTCTTCATGCCTTAGGCAGCGCTTTCCCGCCATGCCCTTTCACTTCCTCCTTGGTAATTATTGAACTCACTGCTACCACCCAGAGGCTAAAACTGGGGAGTGCAATGGGAGCTTGAGAGGGGACCTTTTGGTCCAACACCATTGCTGTCGGCCCTGGCCTTGCTTCTGCTGTGGTGGCTTCTTCAGTAGAGAACTTTCTCTAACCCCTTGTACTCTGCAGTCCTTGAACACATGCATGTGCACACGCCTGCACATGCACACACACACTCATAGCCAAGGGTAAGGGATCTGGGAGCACACCTCCCATAGTCACATTTTCAATTGGCTGTGCCTGGGATTGTCACTCTGGACCCCGCAGCTGCCTCTGCAGGTGACAGTGTGGGGCAAAAACATTCATCAGTCCCTTTGAAATAGCAAGGGATCAGCATGATTGGTGTGGTGTGAGCTTAGAGAACGGCAGGTGACAGGTCAGAAGGGCACATGGAGGAGGTCAGATCATGCAGGGTCTTGAAGGTCTCTGTAAACAGAGCAGTCATGTTCTGAGGCCCATATACGCACAGGGTCACTGGCCGCCATGTAGAGAATTGACTGTAGGTAGTCGGAAGCAGGGAGGCCAGTTAGGAGGCTGACAGGTCCTGGCAGAAGATGGTGTGACTTGGACCATGGACATAGCAGGGCCCATTGTGAGATGCTACCTAGATTTCCCAGCTGGCTGATCCTGGATCTACTGTGAAGGCAGGGTCAGTGGTATTTGCTGGTTGGTTGAGTATGGAGGGTGAGGGGAAAAATAAAGGGAGGTCAACGGCAATGGAAAGGATAGAGATGCCTCTCACACCATCACTGAATTTTAAGATAAATGAGACCCTATCCTCACATTTTAATTCAGGAATTTCCAGTCCCAATATACTGACACCTGGGGAAGGAATTGTTTATGGCTGGTGTCCTCTGAGCTTTCTCCCCCCAACCGGCCCGCAGGTACTTCTTTAACTGTGACTGCCTCATCCCCCTCAAGAGGAAGAGGAAGTACTTCAAGGTATTCGAGGTCACCAAGACGACAGAGAGCTTTGCCAGCAAAGTTCAGAGCCTGGTGCCGGTCAAGTACGAAGTCATTGTGACGACGGGCTATGAGCTCGGGGCGGGCACCGATGCCAACGTCTTTGTGACCATCTTTGGAGCCAATGGGGACACAGGCAAGCGGGAGCTGAAGCAGAAAATGCGCAACCTCTTCGAGCGGGGCAGTACTAACCGCTTTTTCCTGGAGACACTGGAGCTGGGCGAGCTGCGCAAGGCGCGGCTGGAGCATGACAGCAGCGGCTACTGCCCCGGCTGGCTGGTGGAGAAGGTGGAAGTCACCAACACCAGCACAGGTGTGGCCACCATCTTCAGCTGCGGCAGGTGGCTGGACAAGAAGCGCGGGGATGGGCTCACCTGGAGAGACCTCTTCCCTTCTGTCTGAGGGGCCGGGACCCTCCCTCCCACCCTCTCTGCCCCGCTCCTGGCCAACCCTCCCCTCCCTCCACCTGGGCTTTAAGCAGTCCTGGGGACCCAGTGGTGTGTGGCTCTCTGGGCAAGAACTTCACAGTCTTTTGGAGGCCACTGTAGGTGACTACTTGTGGGGTCCTGCCCTCCCCAGTCTCCTGGATCTGCAAGAACCAATCAACATGTGCCATCATCTGTGGCTGCACAAAAATAACTTTTTGCATTTTCTTTTCCAGTAACCACAGTGACCAGGCTGAGACTTGCTGCTGAATATGGATGGGAAATTGGGGCTTCACCCAGGGGATAGAAGTGGGGAAGGAGAGGCCATCAAGATGGTATATTTTAAGCAAAAACTAATTAACACTTTTTTCCCAAAAAAGCTGGGCTAATTAAATTATTACCAACCACACCCCACAGAGAAGTCATCTTGGTATCTGCTCACTAAGAAATGATCCTTTTTTGCAGTTTCAATAAATTCAGAAGCAAAATGAGAAAAAAATCAGGAAGGAGGGTTTTGGCCCAGGGGAATTATAAGCCTGTGAAAAGATAACATGATTCTTTCCATCCCTTCACAGAGAACACATTGCCACGTGCCTGCTGGCTGCCACAGCCTGTGATATGATAACACAGTTGAGACCCAGAGACCTGAGCGGCAGGTGGCAGAGGAATGGTGCCTGGAAAAGCCAGGTCACTATTACACTCAGGCTGGGAGGGGAGGAGGGGCACAGGGCTATTTACCACATGTCACCTGTGGCTCTGTGGATAATTTGGACTGAGAGCTGTCCTCATGGGGGATATGATCTTGATAGGGAGGTAGCAAAACCACATACTCGTGTGGATGCATGCACATACACGTGCATGTACACGCATACACATACACACACAGTCCGTGATCAACGATCACAAGGAACTGAGCAATGCGCATCCAGAGAACAGCAGAACTCAGCACCTAACTTGTGATATTCCTGCAGAAGGAGGCCAAGCGGGAAGGTACGTTGGGTGGGGAGGTTTTCCTGTGGGGAGGGCACCCCAGTACCAGGGTTCCTGCTGTCCAGCTGTGTCACCCCATGCCCTCCAGCCCAGACAGGTGTAAACTCTTAGTGAGGCTTCGTGACTTTGAGAGAGGTTGAAGCTGAAAGCAGAGGGTCAGAGGCAGCCTGCCTGGGCTCGAGTCCCAGACCCACCCAGAGAGCTTGGGAGAGCTTGAGCATGTTTTTTGGGGCCTCAGTTTCCTTATCTGTCAAACTGACTGATAATACCAGCCTCATAGGTCATCATGGTGACTAAATGAGTTAATAGGCAGACAGCTTTAATTCAGCAGCTGCCCTGAAGTGTGATGTGTCCATGATGTTGAACAAACAGGACCCAGAGGAGGGAGTGAGGAAGAAGGAACCATTAAACAGCTTGACTTGTATCTTTTTCTGTGGAACTGGTGGAATGAAATGTAGGCAAGCCTCACAGCTCTCCTGGACTCTCTAGGTCATAAAAAGTCCAACCACCACTTTAAGTCATATCTCAACTCTGTAATTTAAATATCCAGCTCCAGTATAAAAGCCAAACATCACACTCAGAGTGGAGTCTTCACACAGACAGAACCCAAGGTGAGGGAGGAGAGCATGTGCATGAGTGTGAGTGCACATGTGTGTGTGAGTGTGCGGCAGCCTCACCTCCTCCTCCCCACCTCGCGCTTTCACTGCTGCCCACCTCTCGCTGAGCTTCAACTCCTCCAGGCCAGGAGCCGGCCCCCTCCTCTGGGAGGGGTGCAGGTGTGGCGGGGTCTTTTCTTTCAGACCTACACCCTTTGAGCCCTTCCTCTCCCAAGCAGAGGGCTGGACTCTTCCTCTGTCCCTTCACCCTTTCACCCCATCTTCCTGTCTAGGCTCTCAGGAGCCCTATAATAGGTGCTCAGGCATCCTTTGTGCTAACAAACCCTGGGCATTCAGGCCACTGACTTCTGTGCTCTGCGGCCAGCCAGCCCATCTCTCATCCCTACGACTTCTCTGGATGGGGCCACACACCGTGCCCTCAACAGAAGTGGATGCATCCTTTCTCCAGGTAGCCCTGCTGAAGCCCCAATCACTAGCCTTGGGTGAAAGGGCAGCCAAAAGGAAAGGGGGACTCCCAGGCCACTCACAGCTCTTTCTGAATGTCCTGTGTTCGCATCCACCATCCCTTCCCAGCCTCTCCCCCTTTCAGAACCTGCAGGAGACTGGTCAGAGTTGACATCAGTTTTCTGCCATGCCCTCTAGCAAGCACCATGGGTAGGATGTGGTATCTATTGTCTTGTTGATCCAGCCAAAATTGGTAGAGGCAGAGCCTCCAGCTATCCTCCTGCTGCTGAAGTGTTCAAAAAATGTTAGAGCACTCTCTGCGATAGGGCAAGCCCAGTTTGACCACAAACCCCATGAACTTAGTCAACTTTCTTTCCACCCCTCATCTACCCTGATCCCTCTGTAGACTTGTCAAGGTCAGACAAAATCATTACCATGCAAGCCCCATAAAACACTGTTAGATCTTTGATCACTCAGGTGTTCTCGCTATCCACAAGGCACCCAGCCTCCCACCAGGTTCCCCAAGTTCCCAGAACCTGGGCCACCTCCATGGAGGACCAGGGGCCCACAGCTCTGTGCCCAGCAGGCTGCCCTTCAGCCACACCATGCACACTGGTCCCTTTTGCTGGGCCTGTGCTGGGGCTGGGCCTCTGCCTGCTGTCTCCTCGCACCCACCCACGGTTCCTTCCTGCTGCGGTCTGGCGCCTCATGCTAGTCCATCCACCAGCTTTATCAGAGCAGAAACTGAAGTCCAAAGTGGGCCTCTGGCTCACCCCAGGGCTTAAACTGGGCTGTCTGATGCCCTTCACACTCTGTGGAGGAGCCCCAGCTTAGATGTGCTTGGTGGTGGGAGGAGGAGATAGCCAGGGGGCTGGGAGACTTGCAGAATTCACACTTGGTCAGGTCCCATCTCCACAGCCCTGCCTCTGTGGGCTTGGCACTGCCTTCCAGAAGGGGCGCAAGAGCCCTTAGCAAATTGTACTGTTTGGGGCCCTTACATCCTCCTTCCTCCACCTGGGCTGCATGGAGGCCGTAGGCGAAGAAGGTGGGGGAGAGCCACTTAGCGAGTTGCGGGGAGGAAGGCAGAGGTAGGCCACTCCCTGCGGCATTCTGCTCTCACCTGCGGCTGCTCCTGTACCTGCCCTCTCCCCTCAGGAAGGAAGGAGGGGCAGAAGCCCAAAGGAAGCTCTGCCTTTCAAGTCCATCTCTCCTGTGCAGGCTTCTCAGGAATGCCCCTCTTGGGAGGGCAGAAAGCAAGGCTGGGATTAGGATGAGGCAAGTAAGAAGCCCAAGGTGCGCCGTTTAAGAGGGCCTCAGTCTGGCGCAAAGGCAGGGCCTGTCCCTGAGAGAGCAGACTCCCACGGTGTTGTGCCAGGGCCACCTCACTTGCCTCCCCTAGTCCTGGCCTGAGCAGAAAGCTGTTCTACCTATGGCCCCGCAGAGGTCTGTAGCCCTCCAGCTAGCCAAGGTGAACAGGTGAACAAGGCGAAGGTGAACAGGCCCCTTCTCTTGGGAAGGTCCCTCCTGAACTGACACAGCCGACACCCACTGCTGACATAGTCCCTGGGCTTCACTGGGGCTGTCGCCACCTCTCTTCCAGCCAAGACAGAGCCCCTCACCAGGGCTCAAGGTGAAGAAAACAAAGGAAGGCATGGTCTCCATCCTCCACCCTAGCACGCCACCCAGCTCCTCCCTCCATTTCTGCATCCTGACAACTGCCCATTCCCCCCCAACTCCACTGGTCCTAACAGCCCTAACCTTGTCAGAAGGTTCTTCCTTATAAGGATGGCTTCTTGAGTGACAAAGTTTTCTATCAGCTCCATCTTCTTCACCTGATTTGGAGACAAGGTTACATTAAAGAATATCGGGAGAGAACCTTAACTGTATTACTTTCTATTAACTGCTAACAAAGTATCTCCAAATAAATATCCCTGGGGGTCTACGTCAAAGAAATGGTAAGACTGATGCGCAATTAGCATAAGCTATTTACATACAAACTGTTGCACCGAAGTCTAAAAAATACTTTTGTGCTTAAGTAGGTTAAACAAAATCCTTCCAACCTTATTTTCTCAGCTCTTTGGCTAAACAACTCTTTTCTTCCAAAATTTCCACAGAAGTAAATGCAGCCCAGTTCAGTTATACCCCTTCTGAATTCTGATTATGTGGGATCCAACCAGCTGAGGTTAGAAGTACTACGGGTGCCCCACTTCATGAGGACCCCAGGCTGCATGTCCATCCTGAACATTCAGGTGCCCCCGTTTCTCCCAGACCCTTGGCAGAGCATGGCAACAGGCATCAACCCCCAGCAAAGGCCCTGAGTGAGGGCCTGGGAAGGGGCCTTCCAGAAACCTCAGCCTTCCTTCCAGGAACCTTGGCCTTGAACTGAGGTGAACTGAGGGGGTAAATAGAGCCTGTAAGAATGAAAAAGGTTTTGGTTAGATGGGCCTGGAGAGTGAATGATTTTTTAAGGTAGGAAATAGCATTTTAGGCCTAAATGCAACAGGGGAAGGCTGGGTGGGGGGAGCTGAATGGTGGGGGCGGGGGTGTTGCTTGTGAGCTCCAGGGAAGGTGAGTTCTGTGCTTCACTCCCATCCAGGAGGCCTCAGTTTGGCTTGCCTCCTGGAATCTTCAACTGATGCAGGAAGCCCCTTACAAAGCGGTGATTCCAGAAGTCTTGGTTTTGAGGCCTCAGCCATCAGCTTTCCTATTGGATAGGCAATGACTGGTGGCCAGCCATGGCTAGGGGTGATCAGAAGGGAAGTAGACAGTGATGGGGCCAGGAAATCTCTCTAGGAAAAGAAGAGGGACGGGAGACCAAGAGGACCAAGGAGAAAGACAAGGGAAGGCAGGGATGTGTTCAAAGACATCGTCGTCATCATCATAGCTAATATTTATGCAGCGCTTAACTATATTCCAGACACATGTTAAGTACTTTACATATATTAGCTCATTAAATCCTCATAAGACCTATAAGGCAGGTGCTATTATTATCCCCATTTTACAGATGAAGAAAGTGAAGCACAGTGAGTTTAAGCAACTTGCCCAAAGTCACCTTGTTTACAGGTAGCACAGGTAGCCCAAGCAGGGCTTTTCCTCAAATGAAGTGTCGGATGGAAGTTCGCTATGTAAAGCAGATGAATGAACGGCAGCTCTGAGGAGGAACAGGGGAGAGAGAAGCTCTGGCCCAGAAGGCTGCTCAGCCCGTGCAGGGCAGGTGTGGGAAGAAGTATCCTGTGCTGGGTTGAGGGCTGCTGAGCAGAGCGTGCCACTGAGGGCAAATCGGAATGGGAAACAGGAAACATTCTGGCTAGAGAAGGTTCTTGTCCGCTCCTGCCCAGGAGTGGCGGGGCTTCCTGGGGCCTGAAGAGTGCTGGGAAGGAGCAGGGCATGAGGTGTCGCATTGCAGGTGGCCTTTGCTGGGTTGTGGGGACAGGGGTGGCAGGGAGGAAAGCACCCGCTGGGAGACTCCCAACAGGTCTCCAGGAGAGGTGAGGAGAGTGTGATGTTAATTATTTCATGTGTCAGTTTGAAGGGCCACGGGGTGCCCAGATTAAACATTATTTCAGAGTGTGTCTGTGAGGGTTTTTCCAGATGTGGTTAGTACTTGAATCGGTAGACTCAGTAAAGTAGATTGCCCTCCCTGACGTGGGCAGGCATCATGCAGTGCCTGCATGGAACAGGGTTAACAGAGGGAGGCAGGATTTGCTCCCTTCCTGACTACCTGCCATACTGGATATCGGTACCTCCTGCCCTTGAACTGGAACTTACACCAGTGGCTCTCCTCGCCTGCAAGCTTTTGGACTTGGGCTGGAACCCCAGCACCTGCTTTCCTGGGTCCCCAGCTTGCAGACGGGAGATGATGGGACTGCTCAGCCTCTGTAATCATGTGAGCCAATTTTCATAATAAATATATATAATATGAGTGCATACACACACACACACACACACATCCTACTAGTTGTATTTCTCTGGAAAACTCCGACTAATACAGAGACTCTGTTCTTCCTTACTTTACATCCTAGGGGACCTTCAGGGGCAGTCCTGGGGCCTATGCAGAGTGTGAACACGCATGTTTTCTGAGAGGTCACTTTCCTTCTGGGCATTGCAATAGGAAGAGGGCGTGGGGTGGGGGTACATTAGAGAGGCTGTACATTTGCCCGTGTGTTGTGGGCACAAAATCCAAGGAAAAAGAATTACTCCCCCAACCCCCCTCCTCAGCCCCAAAAGTAGCCCTGGTCTTTCCTCCCAGGAAACCTCTGTTATAACTGTAAACAGAGATTAAATAGACAAGGATAATAGAGAGAGGCAGGGCCCAGTAGGGACCTGTGGAATTTGAGAGAGGGGAGGAAACTAGTCTTATCCATATTTTTACACTTCACAAAACCAGGTAAGGGACATTTCGTTCCCATGTCCACGTGCAGGTTAGTGGTGACACAAGGACTAAGAAGGCCTGGTTTATGGATCAAGAGGCATGGATGAAAATCTGTGGAAAGCTACAGACAGCATTTTGGTTCACCTCACTGAACAAGAACTAAGATTTAAACATCCATTAACCTAATGTAAACTGTGGACTTTAGTTAATAATAATGTCTTAGTATGGGCTCATCAGTTGTAACAGATGTACCAGGCCAGATGTTAATCAAAGCAGAAACTGGGTGAGTATGTGGGAATTCTCTACTTCCTGCTCTTTTTCTGTAAACCTAAAACTACTCTAAAACAAGGAAGTCTATTCCTTTTTTTAAAGCTCATTTATATGGGTTCCACTTGCAGTTTATGAAAGAAAGTCATCTTTTAGTTCACTGACCCACACATGGAGAACAGACTCTAGACAACGCAGAGGACCTGAGTTTGGGCTTTTACAGAGGAATAGGAAATCCATGCCAGGTGTCAAAACCAACTTCCTTCTCTACTACAGACAAGCTGAGGAGGCCTCCAATTCAAAACACATGAGATCACCTCTGAAAATTGACCAAAAATAGGAACTTTTCCCTTAAGATCCATAAATGGAAATTTAGGAAACAGTTTAATTAGATCCACTGCATTGACAGATTCTTTGAGAGATAAAGACAGAAAAAAGAATAGTGGATAGGAGATGAGAAGGAGGAGGAAGAAGAGGAGGGGGGAGCGAAAGAGAATGGGGAGGGAGAAGGGAACCGGGGTAAAGGGAGAGAGGAGGAGGAAGATGCATGGGGAAGAGAACAGTATCACCTTACATCTTGGACAAACACAGGTCCAGGAGAGGTGTTCTGTGGACACGCCTCATTATGCATTAAAATAAGCACCCTGCAAGAGTGAGGTGTAGTTAGCAATGCAGTTCATTTTTATTAGTTATAAATAAAGTACAAAAAAATCCACCAAAAGTGAATCTAAGCATTTACACAATTCCTAATGTCTCCACCTTTTCATTGATGCACTATTGCTTTAATAGTCATAATAAATATTCTTCTAGCTTTCTGCTATAAAATAGTCTATGTAGCAAAATGTTGCACAGCACAACAGAACAGAACAGCAGGAGGATTACAAAAAAGGACAATCAACACTGAGGATAATCCTTTCACTTACCAGAGGCAACCGAAGTCCCCCCTGGAGGGCCTGGAGGGGCTGGCTCCCTAGCTGAGACAGGAGCCAGGTCCAAGGCCAGGGGTGGGGCTGGGGAAGGGGAAGTGTGGGGTGAGGCGGGTGGGGGCAGAGGCGGTCAGGGCAAAGGGCCCTCCCGGCTCTGACCCCGAAGAGCAGCATAAGGCATGTCCACCCAGGAGCCCTGCCAAGGGGGCAGTGCCTGCCAGGCCTGGCGGTATGGTGGCTGTGCACCCCAGTGGGTGACTCCACAGGCCATGTCCAAGGAAAGCAGGTGAACAAGGCTCCAGGGTGGAGGCAGAAAGGGAAGCTGGGCAGGCAGCAGGCAGGAAACCCAGGGGACGGGATCCTAGTCCAGCCAGAACAAAGTTGGGGCTTAGGAATCTTACACGGGCCAGCTGCTCCTACAAGCCTGGCCAGGCAGTGTGGCAAATCTGGGTGTCCGCTTCCTCCCGCATCAGCACCATCCCAGGGGGCCTCATGTGGAGGGTGGTCTGCTCCACCAGGCAAAGGCAGTGATGTCAAGAGGCAAGAGGGAAGGATGAGCTGAAGAGGAAGGGAAGGAAGAATATGGGGCCGAGGCAGACATGCAGAGAGCACAGGAGTGACCCTCCCACTCCTGGCCAGGCTCCCAGCTGCTTAGAAGCTTCTCCAGGGGGTATGAAGTCCTCTCTCTCTTTTGACTCAAAGGCTTCTGGGCTCACCACTGTGTCAGGCCCTCCCCTAGCACTCTTCCTTGGGGGGCAGTTAGACTGGTGGCCACCACCTGTTCCCCACAGCAGCCCCTCCTGCCCAGAGCCCCCTGGAGTGATGGCAGAAGGCTGGCAAAGGAGGAGGTGCTAGGAGGAGAGACCACAGGCCCTGACTCTGTGCCCCAATCTGTTGTCAAGGGTGACACCTCAACAACAGGCCCTGAGAGATGATAGGACGGGGATGCCAATCCCAAAGGCCATGGGGCTTAGATTCTGCCTATCCTGTCCTGACATCTCACAGGACGTGGACCTTGTGACGTGCATGTCCTGTGCCCGGCGATACAGCCACCCATCTTGCCAACCTGTCACGGCAGTGTGCTTCATATAATAGGACAGGCCTTCTGGATGTCAACTTGAGCAGCCCCACTGTATACATTTTCAACCCCTCTCCTCCTTCTCTCTTGTCTTGTCTCTCCTTCCCTCCATCCTGCCCTCCTCCCTTTTCTTCTTCCTGAGAGGGTGAGAGAGCACAACACAGTGGTCTCTGCTGGATCTGTGTCATATTCGATCCAAGTCTGAGGGGCCCTAAAGACCCTTCAGTCACTCTTACCAGCCCAGAAAACAGACCCAAGTGGCTTGCTCAGGGTCACATGAAAATTGGCAACAAAGCTGGTCCCCCTGACCCCCAGTCCAGGGCTTATTCTAATCAGCCAGGCTCTTTGACTTTCAGCTGCTGCTGCTGATCATGTCCCAAGGGCCCAGTTCTGGAACCAGAGAGATTTGGAGCCCAGGTGGAGAGAGTGACCTCCAGCACCCTGGACCTTCCCCAGAGGACAGAGGCAGCAGGGCTGAGGTTGTGGGAAGGGCGAGGTAAAAAGGAAAAACAAGTTAATGATGGGGAGCTGGTGGGGAAGGGTAGCAAGTGAAAGGATTACCCCAGTCTGCTGACGAGTGCAAATTATACTTATATATGTGCTAAATACAGTCACTATATTGGAGTTTTTCACTAGATCACAGCATACAGAATCAAAAGTTTGCATTTCGTATGGAATGTATCCAAAGAGGCCAGCACCACAGTAGGACAGCTTGCAATCACACACCCTGATAGTTTGGACGAAATAAAGTTCGCGGAATTTTATTTAAAATTTTCATTTGTATTCCTAGTTGTTTGTCATCGTACCAAAGCATGCAAAGCATTCCACTCCCAGAAACAACGCCAAAATGAGGTAATAGGAGTAATAAAAAAAATTAGTATCCTTTCTAAATAAATAAATTATAATTAAAAATGCAAAACAACTATAAAAATAATTAAATAAGAACCCACGATATCTACAAGTTAGTCATAAATTATGATTGTTAAATATAAGGCATTTAAACTCACAAAACCCTGTAAACTAGCAACGTGCCATGTTTTTTGTTTTTTGTGGTTTTTTTTTTTTCATTTTTGTTTTTCTATCAGCTGAAATCGCTCTAGCATTTGCTCTACGCGCGCAGGAGATGAAACACGACGGGACCTGACAGACGTTGCTACAGCCCCACACGGGGAGTGTTTGCCCCGCCAGCAGGCAGGGACTCGGGGGATTTCTTCAGGACAAAAAAAAAATCTGGTGCTTTTTCTTCACCATTGAAAAAACTGTGCTTGTTCATTAGGCGTAAAGAGTTAAGAATACTTGCACGGAGGCTGGGAACATTTGCAGAAAAGGAGCTTGAGTCCCACCACAGGAGTGGGCAAGGGCTATGGGCCCAGGGTCTCACCTAGTGGAGGAGCCCAGCCCAGCGCCTCTGCAGAGGCCCTTGGCATTAGTTCCATTGATTGGTGTCTTCGGTGGACCCGCTGCGGCCAGGGCTGCTTGCAGCTAGGAGGCCCCGCTTGAATCCTGGGGCAGCTCTCGCCCCAGAAGGCACTCATGCGTCTCAGTCAAAAAAGGGTCTGAGTCCCTTGAGTAGAGCAGAAAGAGGACCCCGGGGTCTTCCCTCCCGGAGGTGGTGGGTGAGATGCTGAGGCCAGAGCCTGCCTCTTCTCCCCTCTTTCCAGGCTCCCGGACAACAGGGGAGGGGCCTCAAGGGAGCAGAGCACAGACCCCTCTCCTCTCTGCTCACAGGACTCTAGGAGCTGGGAGGGGCCAAGTCCACAACCCTTCTGGGGCCCACTTCCAGGGACAAGGGCCCCAGAGAGACGGGGAGGGGAAGGAGGCTTCAGGACCCAGAATCAGCAGCTGACCTCACACCTCTGGGTGGATCCCGCCCCAGTCAGTGCCTAATGTTAGCCTGGGGCACTGAGGGCCCCCAGAGGAGGAGGAGGAGACCAGCCCCTCGCTCAGCCTCTGAAACAGACCTTGGTACCCATAGGAAGTCATTTTCAGCAGCTCGGGTTGGCACACAGCCCTGCGGACTTGCAAGACGGGTTGGTCTTAGAGAGGATCAGACAATGTGCGTGTTGGAAGGAAACTGAGCAAGCATCCAGTCCAACCTCCTGTGTTACAGCTGAGGAAACAGGCCCAGAGAGAAGGGGGGTTTCTAGCATTGCGAACTTGGTCAGGTAAGGGCCAAGACTGCAACCTGGGATGTCAGAGCTCGTGCCATCCTGCCTGCGCACTGACTCCCTCAGCCTGCCGGCCTTTCAAACCAGCATCAGACAGAACAAGAGCCGGAGACTAAGAGGGGCGCAACCTTCCCTAGACCACCCTGGCTCCCTCCAGGTCAAAGTAGGGTGGGGAGAATTCCCAGCTTCCATGGCGAACGAATTAGACACAGCAATACTCATGTCTGTCAGCCCCGCATCAGGCTTTTTCCTGTTTCTGCACTAGTGAATGTGCCTTGGCTCCTCAGCCAGACTGCAAGTTCCTCAAGGCAAGGATATTGTCTTCTTTGCTATTATCTCTCCCGTGCCTGCACCTGCAGGTGCTCAGTAAAGATTCTCTAGGACACCAGGGTATGGGTGCTGGAGAAGCCTTTCATCTAAGATCTTTGAGTAGACCTCCAACTGGAAATCACATTCCCCACTCTCTGCCTGCAGGTTCCAGAGCAGCCATGCCTCCCCCTGACAGCTCTGGTTGTGCTAGAAGGTTCTACCTCAAGCCAAAATCTGCCTCCCAGTCATTTTTCCCTATGGGTCCTGGTTTTACCTTTTGAAGAAGCAGTGCAAACTCAGATTTCCTTAACCTGATAGAATTTCTTCATACATGTAATTAGTATCCTGTCCCCCTCAGTCTTCTGTTATTGATACAAGGGCATGAGGCTGGGGTAGCAGTGAGGGGGTACAGCTTTGAGGGCAGTGCAAATGCAGGACAGGGAGAGCAGAACTCCAGCTGAGCTGGGGTTTCCCACGTATGGATGAAGAAAGTTGGGTGGGGGCTGGATCTGGTGGATATTTCCATCTCCGTCCTTCTGCCCTCCCACCTCTCTGTTCCCTTTGAGGTTCAGAAAAAGTGTGGGGTAGTGCAGAAAGATACACTATATACTATCTCTTGGAACTGACTTCCAGGTCTGTGTCTCCCCTGCCCCCACCCCAAACCCCAGGAGTCTCCCTGGAGGCAGCATGCCTGCAGCGGGCAGATCACATTACTTCTCACAATGTCCAGGTGAGGTAGAGGAAGTGGAAAGGGGGATGCACTGTTGTTTCTCCCCACTCTCAGGAGAAGGAAACTGAGGCACAGAGAGAGGAAGTGACTTGCCCAAGGTTATCAAAGAGTCAGAGAAAGAGCCAGAAGCCAGGCAAACTAAAACCCAGTTTTTTAAGCCGGGCCTCCTAAACCCAGCCAACACGGTCTCAGGGCCAGGGCCATCTCTGAGGGGTCCCATCAGGATTTGAGGGGTCCCATCAGGTTTTGAGACATCCCAAGGGAAGCAGAAGGTCCTCCTCAAGATGTGCGGTGTTGGACTTCAGCCCCTGAGTGCTAGCTGAGAGCACGTTGGCCAAGACCAAGTGCCCATCACCTATGCGGTCTGATCTTCCTCCTCCAGTTAATTTTTTGCATAGGGAGGCAGTGGCCAATTGCCTCTTTGTGACAGGGCTTGAGCACAGCCAAAAAGGAAGTTGGTGGGGGCGGGGACTCCATCCTGGCTCTGAAGAATACAAGGGCTCCTCTTACTGAAGGCCGGCCCCTCCCCTGGCTCACTGTGGAACTGGAGGATGGCAGGAGCTAGGTACATGGGCTCTGGGACTGGGGAGCCCTGCTTCAAGACAGAATCCCCCCTGCCCGTACTCAACCCCTGCCTTCCCCATGCTGGCTAGGCCCCTCAGAGGCCCATCTAAGACCCTCATCTGCTCCTTCCTAGTCCCCCCTTTCCCAGAGCCCCCCTTCCACACTCCGTGCACTGTAAACATGATAAAAACAAAAGCAAAGGAAAAAACAAAACCCAAAACAAAACAATAACACCCCCTCCCACCCCCCAAGCTGGGTGAAAAAAAAATCATCCTTTTTCACCGTAAACAGGATTTGGCTTTTTTTTCTTCACCTTTGATTCCTTTTTCCTTTTCTCTCCTAAAGACGGGAAGATATGGGCTGTCGTTGGTTGGTTCAGTCAGGCACCAAAACAAGAAACTCAATGAGAAATATTTGGTGCGGATTCGGTAATAGCGACATGTCCACCACAAGATGACAGAGCACCACACACGACATTTTTCTTAAGCTAACATGCTCCGGCTGCCATCCACAGAAATAGCTAGAGACCCCTACATGGTTTCTACGTGGTCGAGAGGTATATACACAATCCCTCCAAGGACAGGACTGAGGGGCCGGCCTATCAGCTGGGGCCTTAAGCATCCCATCTAGGTTCTCAGCCGGTGCGCCGCCCTCCCCAGCCCTGCTCTGGGTGGCCAGCCGCCCCCCGCGGCGAGGAGGTGGATGGGGCAGTCACCGCTCTGCATGGGTGGCCTCCACCACCCCCTCCTCTCCCTCAGACACTGACACCACCAACTGCTCTTTCCACAAAATGTGCTTGCAGGCTTTTCCTCTACATCAAATGGCTCAGAAGGCAAAGTTTGGCTGCAAGGGCTATGGCCATGGGGGGACCTGGTGAAGGAAAATGGGGCATCCGCTGGCTAATTCCTCCCTCAGCTGTCAGCTCCCAGTTGTGTCTCAATGTCCACTCGGCAGATGGGGCATTTCTTGCTCATGGCAAGCCACTGGTCCACGCAGAGTTGGTGAAAGAGATGCATACAGGGTAGGCGCCTGGAAGAGAGAGGGAGTGTCAGAGGAAGGGTCGAAGGGAAGGGGCCTGGGGCTGCACCAGGAGCTGAGGACCTGGAGACTCACACCCAGACCAGGGGGCACTGGCCGAAGAGGGTGTGGGGAGCCCTGGCCCTGAGGAAGGCTGTGGCTGGAATGGGAAGTCCTGACAAGGAAAAGCCCCACGGCCCTCCTCCTCCAGGAAGCCCTTTCAGATCAGCCTGAAAAAGCCATGACTTTGTCTTAGACACAGCCAGGCCCGATATCATTGTCCTTTTACACTCTCTGAACACAAATCCACACCACAGGCACCACACATCCAGAATGCTCCACACCCACCCTCCCAGAACAACCACAAAGCACCCACGGCACAGGCATAAGCAAACAAGCCCGCCACCCTGACACAGGGCACCTGACTGATCACCACTACCCTGGGGGGGGTGAGGCGGAACCCAGAGGCCGGCTCCTACCTCACGTCTTCTCCATCTTCCAGCATAGACAGACAAATTGTGCATTTCTCGTCGGTGTCCGACTCCTCCCCCTCGTCCTTCTTGCCCTTGCCATCCTGGGGTCTGCGCTGTGAGAGGTAGAGGAGGAGCAGTCGTCACCTGGAGCACACTCACCTGATGGCCATTGTCTTCCACCCACAGCCTCCCCATCCCTTGATACCCAGACTTCCGTGCTCTCCGCAGGCCTGCTCCCTGCCACCTCCCCAGCCTCTCCCCCTTGCTACAAGATACAGAGGGCTAAAGCCAAGCGATAAAGAGGACAAGAGGACTTTACTTTTGTTTCCCCAGGAAGTTTATGTCCCAGGCATAAACTTTATGCTGACCCAGGGGGCATAGAGTTTAGAAAGAAATTGGGTACCCATTGAACTGATTCTTTGCAAAACTGTGTCTGGTGCACAAACAGCTCTCCCCTTGTGCTGTCCACTCCCCTGTACATCCTTTCCAATCCCTGCCTCCAGGCATCTCCCTCTACTTTTGGGTCCAGCATGCTTCATCCATCCATTCATCCATCCATCATTCCATCCACCCATCCTTCCTCCTTCCAACCTTCCTCCCTCCCTCTGTTCCTCCCTTTCTCCTTTCCTCTTTCTCTCAACTAACATCTCTTCATTTATTCATTCATTACTGGATGATGACAAAATTCCCGCCCCTGGCATTAACCCCTATAACTTTACCACAAGGTTATTTTATGTGGTTGGATCTCTTCCTATCCATAAAGTTCCTTTAAGATGCGCTCTAGTTCCAACACAAGGTTGGGCTTTATGCAGGCATTCTATTTATACTTGTTGACTTTAATTGTTTTATTTTAAATTCTATGCTAATTATTTGAAAATAGTTGACTACTTTGTAAAAAGTTCCAAGTGTTTGGATGGCGTGGACCATGGCTCACCTTTCGTTGGATGCTTCCCCACACTTAGCCAAGTACCAGGCCCACCACTGATGCTTTAAAAATATTCTGGTGAGGAAAGAATCTAATCACTGAGTGAAATCAGCCCACCCTCCTTGTTCCCAGTTCCATGCTGTGTAGTGAAACAGTCTGATAATACCCATGGGAAGAAAATGAGCCCTCTGTCCCCTCTCCAGCGATAAGCAGACTTAGAGATCATTTGGCCAAGAGAAAAATCTGAAGCGTCACAAGATGAAGACCACCCAGAGAATGACTATGACCCGGAGCCAGGCCTAGACGCCAGGTCTCCCCCTCTGGTCCCTGGTCCTAAGCTCTGGCGTTCCTTAGTCTGACACAGTCTGTGGAATAGTGTAACCTCACGGCGACATACAGGATAACCTATGCCTTCTGCTCTACACCCCCGTGCACTCTACACCCCAACGCAAACCATGTGAGGCTACTGCAGTCAGGCTTCCCTTATCCAGAACCCAGAAAATCAGAATTACAACTGTAGTCCCATATAACTAACTGTTGTGGCTTTTTAAGTATGAATGAAGTCATGATGATGTGCCTGCCTAAAAGTCCAGCTGTGTTTGTGGCGGCCTTTTATTATCGGCATTCAAGAAAAGGTATATTCCATAAAAGACACCACTAAGACTCACCTCCTTGCCTATTTTCTATTGTTTTTGCTCCCACCATTATTCATTATTTCCTTTTTATACAGCTGACTCTTGAACAATGCAGGGGTTAGGAGCACTGAGCCCCTGTGCAGTCAAAAAGTCACATTTAACTTTTGAACCCCCCAAAAGCTTAACTATTAATAACCTACTGTTGGCTAGAAGCCTTACCAATAACATAAAGAGTCAATTAACACATATTTCATATGTTATATGTATTATATACTGCATTCTTACAATAAAGTAAGCTAGAGAAAGGAAAATGTCTTTTCAAGTTGTTGCAAATCTCCAAAAAATGTATCTAATACGTTTATTGAAAAATATCTATGTATCAGTGGATCCGTGCAGTTCAAACCCATGTTGTTCAAGGGTCACCTGTAGTCAGTCATTTTAACTTGGTATTCTTAGTTTTACTCTGGCTAATCTATGTTTCTTTAAATTATTCTTTCTTTTCAAATCTTATCCCATTTTCTCTTTTTTATTTTCAGTTTTTCAGGTTGTCTGTTGTCTTCTCCTTTCATTATTTATGTAATTTTTATTTTAACTATAACATTTTCCAGCATTTTTAATTTAATATTTGTTTTATCCCTCTTGTCCTTTCTCCTCATTTTTATTAACATCCCTTTTTCACTTTGATGTTATTAATTTTAATTTTGTATATTGTTTCCCTACCTTTTCTTAATTCTTATTCTTTTTATATTTTTCTATTTGACTATATAGTTTTTCTATTTTTTATTCTTATCATATCATGACTATTTTTAAATATCTTTTTTGTTTTGTCCTTTAATAAAAGTTTACAAATTTGTATTACTTTACTCTCAGGTTAAATTTTTTCAGTTTCTTTTCACTTTTTATTTGGGTCCTACACGTTATCATCTCACATTTTTAGTTCTTCTCATTCTTTTATAATATTTTTCTTCTCTTAATTCTCCCTTTCTTCTCATAATTTTTTTTACCTCAACTCCTTATCTCATTGGTTGCGTCCCTTTTTCCTCATCATTCCTAGTGTTTGTTCTTTTCCTGTCTCCTCACAGCCAGTTGCCCTGATGGCAGCTGAAGTGTGTGGCCCTGGCCGGAGGGAGCACCCCCTGGCCGGGAACGTGAACCTACTCCAGGGTTCCTGAGTACACCTCTCATTCCCTTCCATATTCTTTTCCAATAGCCTAATTCTCTCCCTCCAGAGAATGATCATTTTCCCCATCATCACTGACATGGGACATACTGTCTTCATGACATCATCAATGTGTCCACATGATCAGATGACACCTTAAGTACAAAAATACTGTCATTTCCTGTATTAACATGCTATCCATGTCTGACGCAGAGTAGATACTCAGTAAATGTTGTTTGAAATCACTTACAGATAAATCCAAAACCTCTATGAGCTGCTGCACAGACCGAGATGCATGATCTTTGACATTGACACCATGAGCACCTGGGCAAACTTAGAGCAAGTGATTCTCCTTTCAAAGAGAGAGCAGTCCATGGTTCCTGACCACTCACCGGGTACCAGGCACTGTAGCAAACTATGTATATGCCCCACTGACTCTCCAGAGCATATCTTATGATGACCACTCATATGTCAGTCCCATTTTACATTAAAAAGCACAGGGAAGAGGCCAGAAAAGCCAAGTAAGTTGTCCAGAGTTTATACAGCTATCTTGATGGCTATGGACTGAATGTCTGAGCTCCTCCTACAAATTCATAAGGTGAAGTCTTAACACCCCTGCCTCATCCCATAATAGTATTAGGAGGGAAACCTTAATTGCCTGTTTATCCATATGTGAGAGTGGCCTTTGGGATGGGAGGTGGGGTCTTTGGGAGGTAATTAGATTCAGGTGAGGTCACAAAGGTAGAGTGCCTGGAATGAGAGATTAGTACCCTTATAAGAAGAGAAAAAGACACAAGTCTGCTCTCTCTGCCATGTGAGGATGCAGCAAGAAGGCATCTGCCTCCAATCCCGGAAGGGAGCCCTCACTGAGACCTGAATCTGACAAGGCCTCGATCTTGGACTTCCTGGCACCTCCAAAACTGTAAGAGATAAACATCTGTTGTTGGAGTCACCCAGTTGACAGTATTTTGTTACAGCAGCCCAAACAAAGAAGTGAGTGAAACTGAAATGCAAAACTGGCCCTGTTTGACTCCAATATCTAGAGCTCACAACCAACCACTGCACCCCAGGGCCTCTTGAGGAGGTGAAGATGGGCTCTGGCTTGACCACAATGAGCATTTTCCTGCTCCAAGTTTCTCAGCGCTTGTCAAGATTCTAGTCCTTAATTCTTCGAAGTTATTTATTTGTTTTCATATTCTGTAGACTTAATTTTGTAGAGCAGTTTTGGTTAACATGAAAATTGAGCAGATAGCACTTCCCATTTCCCTTCCCCTCTCAACACACACATAATTTGCCCTGTTATTAGCATCTTGCATCAGCATGGTACATCTGTTACGAGTGATGAACCAATAGTGATAACACTATTATTTAAAGTTCCATAGTTTACATTAAGTTCATTCTTTGTGTTGTGCATTCTATGGATTTTGACAAATACACTGTTATATGCCCACCATTACAGTAACATACGAACTAGTTACACTGTCCTTAAAATCCCATGTAATCCACCTGTTCATTCATTGATCCCTCCCCCAAAGTCCCTAGCAACAGTGAGTCTTTTTACTATCTGGTTTTACCTTGCCAGGAATGTTACACAATTAGATCATACAGAGTGTAGCCTTTTCAGGCTGGCCTCTTTCACTTAGTAATATGCATTTAAGGTCTCCTCATGTCCTTCATGGCTTAAAATAACTCACTTTTTAGTATTCCATTGTATGGACATACCATAGTTTGCTTATGCATTCACTTATTGAAGGACATCTTGGTTAATTCCAAAATGTTTTATTTATCTGAATCAAAACTTTTTTGTTTTTAATTTTAACTCATATCCCTGAGCTCCAATCCTACTCCAGATTCCTGGGCAATAATCCTGGAGAGTCTACCTTTTCAGGTTTAGGGTAGAACCTGTGCATTTGTGGCTTTAAAAGCTCTCCAGGTGGTCCTGGCTCTCAGGGAGGAAACTCCTTCTCCGAAACCTTAATTGCCTGTTTATCCATATGTGAGAGTGATCTTGAATTCCTTTCAAAGGCCAAAAGTCATTTTCAGTGCAGGTGCTCCCTGTGCTCACCTCCCTCAGACACAAGCATTCATATCCCTGTACCCATACCTAATGTACCTACTCACAAGTCGACATGCACACACATACCTAGCCCTCCTCCTTTACTGGTGAGATCCCCAGCCCCCCACCCCCGCCTCCCCTCTTGGTCACACCTGGCAGTAACAAGAGAGAAGACCCTGGGAAGGTATCACAGCTTCAGAGCATCTAACCAAAGGCTTCCAGATTTTGGACTCTACAGACAATAAGGCCAAGATCAACTAGACAACCTAAAACCCCTCCCCCTGACTATGCAGACTGACCGGCTGGCAGACTCACCTTCTTATACTTGTGGGGGAAGGTGAACCTCTCAATGGTGTTCTGTACAGCTCCCCGAGTCACATTTCCCAACCTGTCCTCGAGTTGCAGCAGCTCCTGCAAAGAGAAAATGTGGATGTGTGTACACTCAGCAAGTGCAGACACACAAACACACACACATGATAAGGACGAGGGGCCCTGGAAGGTGTCAGCAGGAAGCATTCACATAGCCGTTGGGAAGAACTTGCCTGATGCTGAAAGACCACAATATCTCGACTTGCGCTCTCTCTCTTAATCGCCACACGGAGGCCTCCCCCACTACCCATGCACCACCCACCAGCAGGGGGAAGGGAGAGGGGACAAAGAACAATAATGGCATCTCCACCAACCCACTTGGAGCTGGACAGAAAGGTGGGTGTACCTCATAGCTCTCCCGCACTGCAGAGGTGTGTCTGTTGGGGTTCAGTCCCTGGAGAGCAAGGAAGTGAAGCTGAGGGTAAGGGTAGTTTCGGATTTCATGGACAACCTGTTGGGGAGAAAATGCCTTGGATAGGATTCAGGCTCCATGAGCCCCTCATCCCACCCTCCTCCCATCACCGCCAGTAGGCACACCCCCAGACTCCACAGACGGAAGTGCTGCCCTTCCTTCTCTTGCGCCCTCCTCCTCAAACCAAGCCTGTGCTGGACCAGCCCCAGACAGAATAACAAAATCAGCGAAGTAACAGCGAACCTCATTGGGTGTTTATGTGATGACAGGCACTGTTCTAACAACTTCCCATGACTCATAATTATCTCATGTAAGCTTTAATGTGGGTGCAACTATTATCCCCATTTTACTGATAGGGTAAATCAGCCACACATAGATGGAGTGACCCAAGTTGTGCAACCAAGCGGCAGAGCTACAATTTCAAACCCAGGCTGTTGGGTGGCAGAGTCCACTTCATTCTCCTCTTTTTGCATTGTGTCCAGGGCACGGACCAAAGCCTGACTAGGGTGGGCAAGTAAGCACACAAAATTTAAGGAGAAACCAAAAGATTCGAAAATCAGGGTAAATAATATTTTAATGCAGTATCTTTTTAAGTCTAAATTAAAACAAAAAAAATCCATAATGAACAAAATAACTAAATTTTAAATAAAGACAGGATCTGACTTTGTACTTGCACGGCCCTGCCTCACCCACCTCACCCTGGCCATGGCTGAGGCAGAAGGGCCAGATTCCCATCACAGCTCTTCAACTTACTGCGTGACCCTGGGCCTGTTACTTATCCTCTTTATGTCTCCATTTGCCAATTGGTAAAATAGGGATAATACCCTTTTGTGTGGGATTATTGAGAAGCTTAAATGATATAATTCTTGTTAAGTGCTTAGAACAGTGCCTGATATGCAGTAACGACTCAATAAATGCCAGCTTTTTTTCTTAGGAGATGAAGCTTCATAATACAAATCATAGCACCTCAGAGCTGACAAGGGCTTCGGAGATCAGTTGTCCAAGCCTCTCATTTTGCATAAGGAGACCAGGGTACTGAGTGGTTAAGGGCAGGGGCAAGGCCGCAAGGGTGGAATTATGCTTCAGGGCAGCAACAAGAAGCGATTTTCAATCACTCTTTTGCTGCTTTAATGGAATGTCTTTGCCTTTATTCCATGCAGCTTGCAATGCCCAGGACACCAATCCCACCTGATCCTCTGCAGTCTCAGCACCCTGCAGTGACTGGCCACCCTTTGCAGGCAGGACTGGATATTTTTGTCCTTCACACCAGCCCTGTGAAATGGGCATCTTCATCCCATTTCTTAGATAGGTAAAATCAACCCCCAGGGAGGCGCTGACCCCAGGAAATTAACTAAACAAGGTTTGTGGGGCCCAGGGACTACCCTGCTGGCTCATGGCCCTGAGCCTCTTCCCTACAAACCATACCACTCCTTTCTACTCCTCCATGCCCACCCAGGCCTTCAGCAGCACTAGCTTTAGTTCTGCAGGTTCCATTTCTTTCTCCCTCAAGCAAGAGAGGAAATAGGAGCTAGGAAGTGGGGGTAGCAGTTGGCCTACCTGGGAGTTGCACACAGGGGAGCTGCACACAGGGGAGCTGGACACAGGGGAGCTGTTACAGAAGGGAGCTGCACACAGGGGAGCAGGGGCACAGGGAGCTGCACACAGGGGCATAGGACACAGGGCGCTGGACACAAGGGAGCCTCAGGTCTCAGCTGGCAGGCAGCAGGGAAGTTAGGGGCCTGGTGGAGCCCTCTCACTCACCATCTGCGTGGAGGAGGAGCTTCTGGGAAAGTGGTGCATTCGCGGAGTGGCCAGGTAGTGCTGATAGTGCTGAGGGATGGGCCGCACCTGGAACTGGGCAGGACTCAAGCCGGCATCCACGCTGAGGTCCCTGCAGGGACACAGCTACAGTGAGCACAGAGCAATGCGATCCAGCTATCCTCCACTGAAGGGACCTCAGACATCTGCAAACTGCCAGAACTGCAAGGGCCTGGGCCTCACCCAGCACTTCCCCTCTCTTTATACCAAAGTAAACTGAGACTCAGAGAAGTAAAGAGTTCTGCAAGGTCTGAAGGGGCTACAACAGTCTGGGCCTCATAAAACTGCTTGAAGCTAGCTCACGAATGCTTCCTGCCAAGACAAAGCCCATCCCTGAGAAATGCTGAAAGAATCCAGATAGAGCTGGTCAGGGATGCAGGACAAAGAACAGACAAGCCCAGATGACGGGCAAGGAAGAGCAGAGACCATGTCTTCACCACTTTGAGAGAACCCCAGAAGGGGATGACTACAGTAGGGAGGCTAGAGAGCTACCTGGACCCCAGCCCCCCACTCCTGAAAGTACAAGAAATCTCATTTCACTGAAAGCTTCATCAATTAATGCAACTGAAAAGGAGCCAGGGCTCCTTGGGAAACTGCTAATTTCAGGTCTGGGGCAGACAATATGAAAAATGAGAAAGAACCTTTTGTGATAACTGAAAGCAAGGAAGTTATCAAGGTAATGTCAGAAGGACTTGGGAACCACAGTGAGGGAGTTCTCATTGGCCAGAACTTGGACAATCTGCATGTCAGCAAGCATGATGCAATAGATTAAAAACACAGCAACAGGCTCAAATCCATGAGAGTGAAATGATGCTAAAGAAAATCAGCCCTTTGCAGGATTTTAGGAGTCAACTCTCCACTCTGAAAATTAGTAAATCAAAGGGAAGAATCAAATGTTTATCCCGCCCTTCCTCTAGTAACTTCAGGCTACCCAATGGTTGAAGAAGGGAAATTTCTCTTTATAATAAAATTTTCAAGCTGATAAATGAGTAAGGGATGATTGAATTATTTGTCCGCTTTTTGCATCCTCTAAGGAAATAAGGGCTCCGGGCAAAGATTGCTGACTGACATCAGGAAAGGACAGACAACCAGCTTTCTAGCTTCTGCTGGAAAAACACACCAACTATGGATTTCTTTCTGCTAAGAAATGAGTTGAACCTGAATCTGCTGAAGCCTGGATCTGAGTGCTAATGTAGAGGGAACAAGAGACACTCAGAGCCATCTTAAGGAATACCAGCACACAGTGGAGCCCGTGAAGCCCAGAGAAAGAGGACTCTACAGAAAAAACAGCCTGGATTCCTCAACAGATGCAATTTAAAACTATAGAAGACAGGAGAGGCATTAAAAGAATTTCTGCTCTGGGCTGTGATGTATATCATGATGTGTGTGTGTGTGTGTGTGTGTTTATTTATTTCCTATATATATATCAGCCAGATTCCCTGGAATAACTCCTGATAAGTCTATTTGGGAAATGAGCTAAACTCTTGGAGCCAGTTGGAAGCAAATTTTGAACTCTCCTAAACCAGCCCATCTCTTCTGCACGCCCATCTGAGGGGTGCAGTGCCTTATCCCTTATCCACGGTCCTTGGCTACCCAGTTAGGGCCAGCGGGTCTCTGACCTTTGCCTGGGCTCATCCCTCTGACCTGTCTCAGAGAAAGGAGTTCCATGGGGCACCCTCACATGGCAGAGGCTCTGACTCTTGGCATTTACCCAGCAGTCTTGGGGAACCCTGCAAATGCAAAGCAGCGAGGAGACACTCAGGGAATTCTACCAAGAGCAAAGTCTCAAGGAACTTGGAACAGAGTTCTCCCAATTCCAGGAATGCTAACTGGAAAAGTAAAGGCCCCCTGGCCCCCAGAGGACTGGGATGATCTGCCCAGGGGGGCCTGGGCGGGCCCTGGGACCCCTCTCTTATCATCTCACCAGAAAACTCCTTCCTATACCCAGGACATCTCTGGATAGGGGATACTCTCTGCCACCAGTCTGTGAGAACCCGGCTGAGTTTTGAAAGGGGCCATAAAAATACCCTCAGGCCTAAAACCACAGGGTTAACCCAGAATGGTGCCCTGGAGATTTCTTGGATGTTGTCTCAATACATAGTTTTTGTCATTTTTGCCTGAACATCAAAGTGAACTGTATTTCCCACCACCAATGGCCTTGCAGCATGGTGCAGTTGGTTGCTGCACAAATCCTCACATTCTTCCCAGGTTGCTCGCCCTAAAAAGTGCTGGCACCATCTTGCAGGCAAGTCTAGGCTTTGCTAAGGCAAGGCTGCCTGCAGGGGGAGGACAGTAGGAGCTTCTCAACCCCTACGCACCCTCTCCACAGGTCCAGGGCTCCCTGGAGGCCTCCCAATGGGCAGGGCTTGGGCTGGGTGGTGGAGGAGGGTGCAGTCCGAACTGGGCATCAGAGTTGGAGCTTCCAAGTCGGGACTGAGTCAGAGGAGGGACATGAGGAGGACAGAGGCCTTGGAGTGGTTCAAGGTCATGGTCAGGTTATCAGGCATGGGCCAGAAAGGGGAGTGTGTGGAATGTATCCCCCAAAGCCTGCTGCTGCCACACACTCTCAGGCCTGGATGCGCAGCTGAGAAAAGCTGCCTGGGTAGGGTAAAAATACCCTAAAGTAAGGGGGACAGGCCAGGCAGCCTCCAGTCTGGGATTAGACAAGGGCAACTGGGGTGTCCCAACTCCTGGAATGACCTAAAGCAAAATTCAGTGGTTTCTGGTGGTTCTCCAAATAAAGGAGGGCAGGTTGCTAACATTCTCTCCCCATCTCCTTTCTCCCAAGGTCCCATGCAGGGAGTAAGAATTGCCCCTCCTCTAACCCTGCTGATCTAATTTCCAGACGGCACATCTGCTGGTAGGAGAAGCCTCTCTGGACAAGTGGGCTGGGATGGTGTGAGTATGAGCAGTTACAGAAGGCCCTCGCCACCACGAGGCTGGCCCTCGCAGGAGCAGAGTTAACTACGAGGAGGGGAAAGGTTTGTCTCCTCCTCCGGAAAGGGCTGCCTACTTGGGAAGTGGGGACAGGACAGGCAGAAAGCTCCCAGCAGTGGCCCCAGGTGGGACTCAGGGCAGGGCCTGCTGGGACACCGACCAGTTCTCCCTGAGCCTCAGTCTTTATGTTTCTCGGGGCAAGAGAGGATCAGGACTGCAGAGTGACTGAAACAGGTGAAAAGGATGAGGAGAGCTGGCTAAAGAAGGCAGGGAGAGCGCCTGCGCTGCTGCTGCTGACACCTCTCCAGGACAGAGGTCACCTGTCACCTGGCCAGGCCCTGTTGCCATGTTGAACCTGGTATGTATTCAAATTACATAGTATGTTGGATTGACTTGACTGCTGAGGGACAGAATTCAATCTAAACTGCAATTGAGTCTTCTAATAAAAATCTTCTAATTGGAAAAAGGCTGGCTGGAGTTGGCTGGGGCGCAAGCTATCTTTTCAGAGAGTGTTCAATTTAACAGACTCTACCTGAGGACAAGAAGGGCTAGAGGTATTGGAACAGTTCAAACAACTGCACCTGGAAACACCTCTGGCATTCAGTCAACCAGAACTATCCTGCTGTTGAATCATCCCTGGGTGTCCAGTCCCAGGTTGCTCCCAAAGGTACCCTTCACAGAGCTAGTTTGCCAGACTAACTGGCTGAAAATAACACAACTATACATCTGGTTGCTTTTGTTTTTGCTTTTTCTTTTTCAATAATCTATCCCTTTCCACTGAGGGTTTTGTTTATTTGTTTTTACATTCTTTAAAAAAAAAATCTTTATCTCAAAATTGCACAGACAGCATAAGGAATTCCTGGATACCCTTCACTCTGATTCCCCAACTGCTAATACTCTACTCTCTCCATGCACGCATGCAGACACACAAGCACCCATTTCCCCATGATTTTTATTCTGAACTATTTAAAAATAAGTTGCAGGCATGATGCCCTGTACTGCTAAATACTTCAGTGGACTGCACATCTTTTTCATGTGTTTGGGTGTTTGGGTCTGACCCTAGTTTAGGTCAGCCCTCTCCTGAGCTAGAACCAGAAAGTCAGCTAGGATGGAGGATCCAAAGCCAACAACTCCACATCAGCACCTCTGTCTTGATTGTGAGAGACTTCGCAGAGGCCGGTTGCCTGCAGAGACACCACAATAAAGCCCTTCCTCTCCCCAGTTTCTCTCCCCACCCGTACCTCCAACCCTGCAGGCTCTGTCTCTGTGAGCCTGTTTCTGCCTGGCAGGCCCTGGCTCTTCTCTGTGGATCTCTCAAGGCCCGCCCCCTCAGGGAAGCCTTCCTGATTATCTTAGCTCCTGAGACTCTCTCTTCTGCCTTCCTCCCAGGGCACTGGTTTCCACCCCTCACAGAGCATGCAAAATGTTTTGTATCTCTGTCCTCTCCTCCCCTGCAGGACCTTAAGCTCTTAGGCCCACAGAAGGGCACCCAGCCACATCTGAGCTAATTGCTGGAAGTAGGCCCAGTGGGGAACCATCTGGGCCTGAGGGTGGCTGGGGGCAGGGTCACCTCCCTCCCTCCCCCAGGGATCCCAAAGACTCACCAGTCAGTGCCCTCAGCCAAATACCTGGGCTGAGGTGTCTGTAGTTGGTGGCCAAAGTCGAAGCTGGGGTGGAGGCGGTGGGGATGGACAGACACGCGCTCTTGACTCCGCCTGCACGGGAAGGGAAGGAGGGCCCAAGACGTCAGCGCCGCCCACAGCCTGCCCAGCTCCCAGGAGCACTGGGCAGTCCTCGCCAGCCTGAGCCACAAGTCTACAGAGCAGTGGGCTTTATTCCTCTCCCCAGAGTCCAAGGAAGCTTCCCAGCTGGGCAGGAGCCAATAACTCAGACATTCCTGCTGTCTCCGGGCTGCCCACTGCACTGAGGCCTCTCCCTGGGTGTGTCTGCTGTGGTCACCTGGCCCCACCCAAATGCTCACATCCTCTGCTCCTCCTCCTACTCCCCTCTGAAAGTGGGAGGCTGTCTCTGAGACTCACAGATGCGCCTCCTGCAGGCTTGCCCACCTCTCTGCACCCCACTGCTCCAGCCATGCTCTTCTCTCCTGCACCCTTCTCCACACTCTTCCCAGCTTTCATGGCCCAGGTCACAGCTTCCTCCTGCAGGAAGACCTCCCTGAACATTCCACTCGTGGTGACCTCTCCTCCCTTTGGCCTTCTACAATACTCCCCTTCTGTCCCAGGCACCCCAACGCCTACAGTCATCATAGATGCTTCTTAGGGCCTTAGAGATCAGCTAGTCCAGCAATTCTCAAACTCTGCTCCAAGCACCCCTGGGAGTCCCCAAGACTCTTTCACGGGTTTTGTGAAGTCAAAACTATTTTCATACTAATATTATGATGTTTTTGCTTTTTTACTCTCATTCTCTCCCAAGTGAACAGTGGAATTTTCCAGAAAATACATGTAATCCTCCAACAGACTGATTACAGAAGAAGACATGAGAACACAGCTGTCTTCTATTAAGCCAGGCATTAAAGAGATTTGCAAGTATGTAAAAAATGTCACTCTTCTCACTAGATTTATATATAGCCATTTTTCAAAAAGATATTGGCATTAAGATATGAGTTTCTTATCATATTTTTTAATAAATTAATAAATACTTTAAGAATTTCTCATTTTTAATTGCTAATATGGTATCGGTAGTTATAAACCATATAAACAGAAGTTTGTTGTAAATCTCCATGATTTTTAAGAGTTTAAAGGGTGCTGAGACAAAAATGTTTGAGAACCACTATCTAATCCAACTCTTCCTCTTGACAGTTGAGGCTCAGAGGTAAAGCGACTTGCCCAAGGTCCCACAGCTCCTTTGGATAAGTGTTGTCCAATTTTACTCTCCCTTTGTTCCAGAGCAGGTCTCTCCAACCAGACTATGGGCTGTTCGAGGGCAGGGCTGAACCAGCCACACCTTTGGTATCCCTTAGGAATCTTGGGTGTCAGAATCAGGTAATCATGAAGCTAGAGGAGACATGAGGGGTCCCCTAGTCAAATCTCCTATAGCACACAAAAGTCTATGCCTGCATCTTAGATTACACCCTTCCCTGAATTTGGGTGATGTAACAAGGACACATATTAGCTACAGAGGGAACCCATGTGAAACCAGTGCTTCTAACCAGAGCAAAAACTGCCTCCTGCACAGAAATCAACTCGGTGACAGCTGGCCAAGCCTGGCAGAGTAGAAGCCCTGTGTCCTGCCCTATGCACCGCCCCACCCCGTTCCTGAGCGCCCACCTAGGGTGCGAGACGAGCCTTCGGTGCTGGGCTTCCAGGAGCTGCTGCTGCAGGAGGTATTGCTGGTGCAGGGCCTGAGGTAGGAAGGAGGGACCTGTGACGTCCTGGAACTGCAGGGTGGGCAGCGGAGTTAGCGACTGGTGCAAGGCGCCGCTGTGCTGGTGGGCCGGGGCCATGTGGGCGCTGAGGCCCGGCTGCGACTGCACGGGGTGGGCCAGGGGGAAGTCGGGCGCCAGCTGCTGCGGCTGTGGGGGGCCCAGGTGGAAGTGGCGGCAGGAGGTAGCGTGAGGATGCTGAGACCTTTGAAAAGGGGCACCTGGAGAGGCAAGCACAGAGGAGACGCTGTGAAGACCAGCCCCGCGCCCCTCCCCACAGGCCCCGTTCCTGCCCCGGGTCACCCTGCAGCTGGTGAAGCTCAGGACCTTCACTGGAACCCAGCAAAGTCATCGCTGTATTCTACCTATGGTCATCTTTAATGCTGCCAAGTAAAGGCTCTGTGTGTTGTGTGTCGGAGTGGGGAGAAGTGTTTTGTTTACTGAATAAGTAAGCATCCTTTTAAAGATGAACACACTTGTTAAAGGAGTTTTAAGGTCCCTCAAGACAGTTTGGCTTCCTTGAATTAGATTACTCCCATGCAACTTCATTGAAACTACTACCTTTTTAAATAGATGCCACCTGGAGAAAACTGAGTCCAGCCTAGCCAAGCTCTGCCCGTCACTGAAGCCTTGGCTAGCTGGTACTTAGTCCAGAGGGACCCACAGTTTCCAGAGGGAAAGCAACCAGAAGTTGTTTTCCATGCTGTTTTAAGGAGAGAAAACTGATCATGCAAAACATGTTTATTTAAATATTAATTGATTTGTTGTAATTCATTTAAAAGCAAACATTTCCAGGAATAAACTGGGCTTGGGCTACATTTAATCTAGTTTCCACTATTTCTGTAAGTAAAATTGACTTCAAAGACAAGAAAGCCTTACACATTCTCTGTGAGGAAAGATCCACTCTCAGCACTGGCCTCCTTCGATAAGGCAAGGAAGAGGCTGTAGCACTTCAGAAAGGTTTGCGGAGGCTTCCTGCTCAACATGGCAGATTCAACACATGTCTGCTCTTTCCCAAGCCCCAGTGAAAAAAGAGCAAAGGAATAAGGAGAAGATATGCAGACAAGGACAGAAAGAACAGTAGAGGTGACATAAGCAGGCAACAGATGTCCACAGATATTTAGAAGATGGGAAGCAGATGAAAGAATTAGTAGAGCTGAAAATCAGAAACCGAGTGCGTACCGAAAGGGTGGTCAACAAGAGTGGCCAGGTCTTGCCACACATGCTGGAAGGAGCAGGAGTTGGAGGTGCTGGCTACTTCAGAAGGCATGAGAAAAGGTGGGGCTGACATCAGAGAGACCAATTACAAGTCTGTATGAGGAGCAATTCTGCTGGCTTCTCTCCTTTCCCATCAGGGCACTGACAGAACCTCTATCACCCTGGCATTTTGCAGGGAAACTGGGCCAGAGAGGCTCCAGTAGAGGAGGGCAGGGGTACAACACTGTGCTCAAACAGGGGGCTTAGTATAAGTCTATACATGGAATTTTGGATATCCCTGTCCCCTTCTGACACTTGGCTCTAAAAGCACTGTCGCTCAGGTACCCCGTCCTGTACCCTCCACAGCTCCAGACTGCAAACTAGTCCAGAAAGAGTTCTACAGATACTTCTGCTTGGGACTACCCCAATAAGGTGGTTAGGTCTTCTGGTTGGGTCCCCAGCTGGCTACTCCATAATGAAATCCATAAGTTGAAGGGTACACACACACTCACACATACACAGCCACACAGCCTATAGACAACTTTTAGTAACGTACTCTTCAATATGAACAGATGGCCCAATCAATCTCTGAGGAAGATTACAAAGTGGGAAGAAAGAGAGAATGCACCAAATTAAAAAGAAAAAGGAACTCAGGGGAACAGAGATAATGCAAAGACTAGGGTAAAGCAAACAAGAAGCTCTTTCAAAAGGAGCAATGAGAAAACAAGAAAAAGAATTATTGGAAATTAAAAACAGAAGTGTTGGAAGGTAGAGCTGGGGACATTTCCCAGAAAGCAGAATGAAAACAAGAAGATGGGAAATAGGAGAAAAAAGATGCAAACATTGAAGGATCCGAAGAGTCAGACAAGTCCATATTTGCCTACAAAAAGAGAGAGAACAGAGGAAAAAATGGGGAGGAGATTATGAAAAAATTACAAAAAATATTTCCCAGAGCTAAAGTTCTGAATTTCTAGATAGAAAATGCTCTCTGAGTGCCCAGCAAAATAGACAGGGAAAGAACCCCATACCAATGCTTCTGACTGTGAAATGTCCCAACTGTGGGGGCAAGGAGATGATTCTAACACCCTTCAGGAGAATGCAAACAGGCCATTCTAAGGATCAGAGAGTGGAATAGTATGAGATTTTTCAAGAGCAGCATTGGAAGCCTGAAAACAGTAAAGCAACGGTCTTCAAGATAGTGAGGGGGCAACAAAGGATTTTCAGTCTAGAATTCTATGCCCAGCCAAACTGTGTGAGAATACAACAAAGTCATTTTTAAATATAGGTCTCAAAAAAATCAAACTTCTTGACACCCTTTCTCAAAAAGGTACAGATGCAAACCAAGAAAGAGGAGCAAAAACTAAGCAGTGGCACCTGAGAGAGGTGGCATGTCCCAAGCAAACAGCTGTACAGGGGTTCCAGCAACCATTTCACAGAGAGCAGAAGGGTAGGCACTGCGAGAGGCTATCTGGGAGTCAGGGGAAAAGATAGGATTATCAATAGACTTTAAGCCACATGAAAATAATATTTGAAGAACTTTCATAATTTGATACATAATTGGGTAAGGATTCATAAAAATGTCATAGGAAGCAAGCAGCCAAAAAAAAAACAAGGCAATTAATTATATGCAGGAAGAGAAAAAGTTATGCAAGAAAGCATAATTATTATATACTATTTGGCTCAGCAATGAATTACACTTGTATATTAATAATAAATCAAACATTAGTAAACTACATTAGAATGAAAAATAACCATTTTTCATAATAAGAAAATAGACAATGTCAAAATTGAAACATCCACAAATGGCAGTGTAAGAATTAATTTAGAAATTTACTTGATAATTTCTGTATTTCAGGAAGTAATTACCTGAAAAAAAGGTCCAAGTGTTGAGCTTTGGTCTGTGGTAGGGAGGGCAAGGGGCAAACAATCTCTGTTTTACTAAATGTGTCTTATATTGGTGCTATTGGCTTTTGTAAATGACACCCAACCTACTGACCCATTTTTTAATAATCCTTTAAAAAATAACTATTTGCAAAATCAAATGAAAATAAAAAGAATTTCTGACTATCCTCAAGGGAGCCAGAAAAGAATTATCTAGAACCTTCATTCCCACAAGGGTTCTGGAGGAGTAGAGCCTCTCTGCCTGATGAATTATGGCTCTGATGAGCCCAGGGGCAGTAGTATGGGCAAGCATCCCCTTCATCCCCTATTGTCAGGCTTCACCAGCTATTGTCAGGCTTGCCCATAGAAAGAGGAGGAGAAGGCCAACGTGACAGAGGGAAAGAGACAGTAAGGGGAGAGGAGAGCTGTCAAATGGTAATGAAAAGAAGTGAAAGATAAGCATGTCTGCCGAGGAGGGATGGAATAAAGAATGGTGGTTGTAACAACTCTAACTCAGCACTGTCCAAAAGAACTACAATGTAAGCCAGATAGGTAATTTCAAATTTTCTAGTAGCCACCTTTAAAGAAGTAAAAAGACACAGGTGAAATTAATTTTGATAAAACATGTGACATAATCCAATATATCCAAAATGTTATTATTTCAACATGTGCCCAATATAAAAAATTTTTTAGATATTTTACATTGGTCTTCTTTCTGTACTGTCTTCAAAACCCAGTGCACATTTTGCACGTGCAATACATCTCAGTTTAGATCAGCCACCTTCCAGTGCTCAACAGCCACTTGTGGTGAGTGGCTTCTGTGTTGGACGGTGCGGCTCTAAAGGAAGAAAGCCGACTTCACGTGTAGAGCAAAGCATTTTAGCCAAGTTTCCTTACTGGTCTGCCTTCAAATGGAGAGCTCTCATTGCTTACAGGGGAGAGGCACACCCCTTATCCTGATATTAAAGCTCAATCTCCCTAACCCCCATTCACTCCACAAGCCTCCCCCAGCCATCCATGCTAATCTACTCAAAACTCCAGACACCCCACGCACATTCCCACTGAGGGGCCTTTGCTCATGCCTCACCGGCTGTCTTCCCCATCTTTAAAGGTCACCTCTCAGCTCTTCCAAAAACGCTTCCCCTGCCCACCAGCCCCCAGGACACAGCTTCCTCCTCTGAGTCCCTGTAGGACGCCCTGTCTGTATTACTCATTGGCACCTGGCAGTGGCTACCTTGAGCTGTTTCTTCACACTCACACCCCCAGCTGGCTGAGCTTCATCTCTTACTGTTTCTGGATCCCCACATGCCTCGTTTGGAGCTGGCATCCAGTGGCGATCTGGCTGACTGACAGTGAAAAGCAGTGGCTCAACGGGACTGATGCACAAAGGCAGGTGGAAGGCAGACCGGTTTGAGTGGGAAAGAGAGTTACAAAACAGCTCTGGGCTTTAAAGCTGCAGCTCAGCAGGGACAGGTCAGGAAAGGCTGGCCAGAATACTGCCACAAGGGTGCCCTCCCTGTGAAGTGAGCCTTTGGGTTTCCAAGGGGCCCATCCGCAAGAATGACTGACTGCCCTGACCTCCCGGTTGATGCCCTGGGGAGTAAGAGCAGGTGCCCTCTCTCTGGGCTGGGCAGGGAGTAAAAGTAAATCAAAGTATCTGTTTGTCCCATAATGTTTCAGGCAATTTCTATCTGCAAAGGTCCTTTCACTTCCATTCTGGGACTTTGTCCTGTCCCCATTACCTCCATCCCCAGAAGGTTCTCTGTCCCATCACCCTTCTCAGAGGGAATGGAAGCCAGGAGACACTCATTCAGGACCCCCAGCCTCTTCTTAGCCTTATGTCACATGAGGTCTGTGAAACCAGCAGATAATGTCTTTTCTATTTGATCTGTAAGACCAGAGAAGGGATGTTCTAAGGATAGAAAATCAGGGCCCATAATAAGCCAATGATCAGTGACGTATGAACAACACTTAGATCCCAAAATGCCCCATCAACAGACAGCCTACAATTTTTCCCATCAGAGTGACTCCTTTGGATTAAAAAATAACCTCCAGATGTCCCTGACTACACTATCCATTTATCATATTTCCCCGGGGCCGAAATGCCATCAATTACAAGGTTCATCATGAGCTAAATAACGTT